AGATTTCTGGTCTGAGGAAGGTAGGACCCAAGCCACCGGGTTCCCCTCCACATCAAGGCAGCTACCAACTGCCAAACGTATCCAATACACTGGCAGGAACGCTATTGCCTTGTGGAATAATCAGCTCAACCCTCGATCTAGAACGTTAGGTACATACTAGGTAAACCTTAGGAATATATGTACCTAGGTACCTTAGAGACCTACCTTATACTTGTATACCTTAAATGTCTCAATTCTATCGCATGTGATTTCAGGGTCCGGAGATGTCCTACGTTGCTTCTATTCGCAGATCTAAATATCATCTACCTATAGGCCAATTTCTGACATGGAGGTAGGTACATCCCATCTAGCTGCCCGTCGACTTGCATCGCCTCTGGAAGAACTGGAGGCTACCTGCAGACTGACCGAGCAACATTGAAGTTTCCAGCCAACCAAACTCCATCTTTAGGTTGTACAAGATTGGCACAAGGGAAGGCTAGTTACAAGGTACCTATCTACATAATCTACTTGGACTTTTATGCTTCTTTTTTTTTTTTTTTTTTTTTTTTTTTTTTTTTTTTTTTTTTTTTTTAAAAATTAAAATTATTTTTTATAATTGAAAAAACCCCAAAAAAAAAGATGTACAAATACAAAATTATATTTTTTTTTTTTTACACCTTTATTTTTTTTTTTTTTATTTAATTTTTTTTTTTTTTTTTTTTTTTTTTTTTTTTTAAATTTTTTTATTTTTTTTTTTTCTTTTTTTTTTTTTTTTTTTTTTTTTTTTTTTTTTTTTTTTTTTTTTTTTTCTTTAGTAGTACCTATTCAAGTACTTACTTCCACAGGTGTATACAGATCTGGTTGCACAATCTAGTCTCGGGTCGTTGTTTCATAATCCCGCAATAAGACATTACCTATTATCTATCTAATTGTTAGTGCCTCCAATGCTCACCGTCTGAGCGGAATTAAACAGATGCTACCTACCTATCTACTAGATTATGGGGGTTGCTGAGGCTAGGTAGTGTCAGCCGCAGACGCCTTCTAGCTTAGGTAGGGGTGGAGTAAGGGCGGCTAGGATTCTAATAGAAAATACTTGCTCAAACCGAGAGTCGGGGCACTGGAGGCTCAAGTGGAAGAGGCGATGGCTTGTATCAGAGGCTTGGGAGAAAGGCTAGCCCGTATGGAGCAAGAAATGGGGTCGGTAGAGGGCTGCCCTTCTGTAGAGAAAGGAATGATGGAGAAGACATGAATGTAAGTAGAACAGAAGAGGACGAGTAAGACAATAGCTAAGGCATCTTCAACTAGTAACATAAATATGAAGGGGCTAGAAACCCAAGGTGAGTAAAGACTTGTTGAAAAGCAATATTCATAATGGGCTTCTGTTAAGGTAATATAATATAATATACTTGAAATTCTCGAGTTTACTATCTTAAGAATACCTACGAATTCAAATCAACACCCGCCATTCATTGGGTTGTATATTGACGTGCTGAAGATTGTTAGCTACTTGACGTTATCCCCTCTCCTCAGTTTCAGATATAGGGTAACCTTCTCAAGAAACATACGAGGGACCTACTAGAAACCTTTTTATCATCCCATCTCCAAAGCAGAAAGGGGGGGAAACGAGGGAACAGGCCACATTTCTCCATTAACATATCCTCACATCGACACTTGAACAGTGTCACTATAGTAAGCTCAAAAAACCATTTACCCACTCACAAAACCTTACTTCTCCCACTCCCCATCTCCAAAGTACCTATCCGGCATATCGACATCCCACAGCGGCCTCTCCACTAACGCCACTTCAAGAACCTTTCGTGATTCTGGCCGCGTCGCCTCATCACCTGCCCCGTGTACGGATGGATCCTCCCCTTCTCCAAGAGGTACTATCCCTAAGATCGGCCTGTATTTATACGTATGCCAGAAAGCTAAGCTATTGCCCGGTTGCGACTCCGAGGCCGACTTCCCTTGGACACCGCGTAGAAGCGCTAGCTCGCCTTGATTTTCGTCATCAGAATCGTCGCTCTCGCTCTCTTCTTCTCCTGGCTGGCTGACTTCGTCTTCGTCCATGGGATCGGACGCGGGTCCGTCGAGAGGGATATCTTCGACTTCGCCGTTGACCCTGTGGATGATCTTTGTAGGTCCGGCGGCTCCAATTTCCGTCTTGCTACCAGCACCGCTGTCGGGTCCCCTCTTCCGCTTCGTTCCTTGTTTCACGAGTTCTCCGTTAGGCGATTCGTGGGACAGAACGGGTTCAGCTAGATCCTGAGATAAATCTAGCATGAAGAGAAACGTATTGCCGTAAAGCCATACCCTTTCGCCCGACCAGAGAGCTCCCTTCACAAGATCGCGGATATTTCGAAACTCGGCCGGAAAGCGTGTGATAGGATTCCGTCTAGACCAGGGTGTTAGGGAACCGAGAGTGGGGTTAATTAAGAGTATTTGCGGTCTAGCGGTAATAGTAAGAAGTATATAATCATCTGTGGTATCGTTGTCGTCTGATACAGAAGGGGTTGAGACTGGAACGTGATCGGAGAAAGACAGAACGGTGGGAGCAGCCTGTAACTTAGGAATAAGAGACCCTTTTGGGTTACGGGTCCATCGCGGACCCTCCGCGTCGATTGCGAGCTCTTCCTCATCCTCACTGCCAGATGAGGCCTCATCGTCGTGAGTCCCATTAATGCCGTTCTCAAGCTTCGGCCGCGTCGTATCAAGCACCCAGGTGTCTATATAACCGGCGAGGTCTGCAACGGCCAACATTTTACTATCCAGAGAGAAGGCAATGTGAGTTACCGTCCTATCGTATTGTCCTAGTCCGCCTACAGCCGCATGCTTCTGTATCTTCCGCTCGATGCGTTGCAAGCGAATCGCTTTAGAGTGTAGCGATGGCCTGCCGTCTGCTGCGGAATCGCGCAGTATCGACGTGACGAGAATTTTACTGCCACCTTTAACGGAGCACAGCCACCGTCCATCCGGAGATATCTGGATTTGGGTCGCGCCTTGTTTAGAGAAATCCTCTTGTAGCTCGAGCTTAATAATCTTAAGCTCGTCCTTCTTAGAGTCGTTTCGAGGCTTTAAATAGAACGCTTTGATATCGGATGTTGTCGAGATTACCAGAAGGGAGCCATCGGAACTGATCGCCGCGGATGTAATATTCGCTTCGCCCTTGACCAAGATGCGCGCCAGCAGCTTCCGATTCTTGTCCACGGCAGACTCCCCCTCCGGCGCGTCTACTAGATCTCGCAACGGTCTTCTCAGTCGCCAGACGTGGACCTCTCTCTCCCACCAGCTAATTATCAGCCTGCTCTTGGGCGCGCTCTGCAGTGGGGGACTCTGGGGTAAATGCGATAGGGTCCGGTGATTCTCCATGCCGGCTTCTCGCAGAGGTAGCACGATCGGGCTAGCATCCGGTCCTGGGCTAAATTAGCAACGACGGTGGACTCAAATAAGACGCATGTACAAACCTCCCGAAACAACGACGCTCAATCCATTCCCTTCGAATGACGCCATCGTTTTGACGTCGTGGTTGTGGTATCTCCTGTGCCAGACCCTACTCCACCTTGCCGTCGCGCCTGATGTCTTTCTGTAGAGAACGGTTCGGCGGTCCATCCCACCACTAACGATGGTCGAACCGTCAGCACTGATGGCCAAAGACAATACGTCTTGGTTGTGAGTCTGCAGCCTCTGCGCCTGGGTGTACGTCTTCCCGTCCCATATGCAGACCTGACCGGTCGAGTCGCCCGAGACAATGTCGCGCCCATTGAGACACTTGACGGACCAGACGATGATTTCCTTGGCACCACCAGAAAGGTCCGACCCCAGCGTCATTTTTCTCAATACGTTACCGTTGCGCATGTCATAGACTCGGATAGCGCTATCCGAGCACCCCACCACCACTATGTTGCGGTTCTGAAAAGCGATACTGACCATCTTGGTCTTCTTGGAGGACGACCTTACTAGTATCCTGTCGAATCGAAGATCATCTTCGTCGATCGAATAGAGGACGAGGCTTCCATCCATAGTCCCGGCTACCAGCTTCTTCCCGCTCTGGACGGCACCGTTGGCGGACTTCTCGCCATGCTTGGCGGGAGCGAGGAATGGTTGAGCGGCTAAGCACCATATATCGCCGTGCATACCGCTTGCCTGCTTTCTCGGCTGTCCCTTCTCCAGATCCCATTCGGTGACGGTACTCGTGTAGCCAATACTAAACAGCCTTGACTTTCCGACAAGTTTGGTACCATCTTGGAGGAGCTGGTCAGGTTCGGTGACCCAGACGAGGCTATCAATGCTTCTATCCTTTCCTCCATGCAGGGTGGTTTCATGATGCCATATTCCGTTTAAGGGATTCCAGATCTCGATGTCGCCGTTCGCTCGACCGATCGCTAAACGGACAGGTGCGCCTCTCTGGGATTTGGTGAGCGTCGGGTAAGAGAATGCGACAGCATTGATGGCGGAGGGAGGATACGGCACAAAGCGACAACGGTGGATGTCCATTATCGCAATGTGGCGATGCTAATTGATCCGTTGTTTCCTCTAAACAAACCACCAAGCGCGATGTGTGAAGAGAAAACCGTTAAAGTTAATTGTTAATGCAGTTAAGAGTTTGGCCATTAGTTAAGATTTCTCTGCCTTAACTTTTTTTTTCTTATCGCCTTATCGCTAAGCAACCTTAAACAGCTACAATAGGTACATACACTAGAGTTCGTAGCCATGCATCTAGATTTGCCCCACCAATAAAGGTACGTACCTTCGGAGCTCTCACCCTTTTCTCATTTCACACGTAACTCAAGTTATAGACTGCAACTGCGAATAGATAATTCTACTTAAACTCCCACAACTACTACTCTAAATCAGCAATAGGCTTTCTAGAATGAATTATGACAGATAAATATATTATTAATGATTTTAAGATTATTCAAGTCTGATAACTAACTTATTTGCAAGTAGTTGACAGGTACCTACAGGTAGGCACCTATCTAATACAGGTCCAGGGTTTCTTCCAAACTACCGAAATGATGAAACATCATCCGAGAAAATATACAGAAAACGTCTATCGACCACGAACGATAATCTAGGTCCTAGCATTAAATATCATATCCTGAATAATTCGTCGAATATTCTCATCGCTCTCAGCCTCGGCATTTAAGCCGGCTTCAGCGTAAGCTTGTGGGGTTCGCTCAGTCACACCCTGGTAAGCCAGGATTTCGAGATCTACCAGACGAGGTCGGTCTTGCCAGCGGCACGCTGTACACTGTAATACGAGGTCGAGCAAGAATGAGTCTATATGGCTGTAGTCTTCATTGTCAGGATTGTCCGGACACAGAAACCCCGCGGCCACTGTGATTGATGGCTGGCCTTCTCCCATATCGAGTTCCCCGTTATACTCGGCAATACCACCATCTGTTACCAGTGTTGTCTCGTCGCTATCTTGTGATATTAGTAGGCACATGAGCTGTCATCTGATTAGACTATCTTCTAGGTAATAACAAGCGGGAAGGGGGTGGGGGACACGAGTAACTTACAACTCCCATATGAAATACATTTCGTGATTCTCCTCTCTCAACAAACTCACTAAGTATCGGTTAGATAATGTCAAGTTTGATATCGAAACTCATAGACTCCCAAGTACAGCTTTAGGTAGTTAACTTACTCTTCATCTGGAAACTCTTCCACACTTCCAAAGTCAATTAGCTTCAGAATTGGAGTTAGGGCATGTTCGATGCCGCCATCTGGTATCATGGGGCCAAACATGACTGTATTAGGTAGGTAGGTATACATTAGCTTTAGATTCATAAAATTTTACGGACGGGACATACCATTCTCATCATGCATATCGCCGTGCTCTATCCTCCTAGGACGACGATCCGGCCTAATGCGCTCGGTTGCGCCTCCGATCGGACCTTCATGTGGCGGGTATGACATGGCAATACACGCGCGTATTACTGCGGTAGTAATCATTAGTCGGAGTATATATCATAACGTGTTAGCGGTTAACTTACAGCACAGAAATAGTCTCCATAACAACCTATTCGGGAGCGGCCCGTCTAATAGATCGTAGACGTTGTCTGTAAACTGGCGCAAGGTTCCACTAGTATAGAATATTAGATTAGCTATGCCTCTGCAATGAGAAACCAGGAGAATGGGGAATTGGCGTTTCACGATTCCGGAATACCCTGGACACTTACTTTTCTAAGTATTCCATGAAAACCCACCCTTTGAGGCCGTGGGGGTCGACATCTGGGAATGTTTTGGCAAAAGGGTCGTGAGGTGGTTCTATAAGGTTAACAACGTGCATGGCCTTTTGCATCATCTATGATTGTGTAAGCTACTATATGGTAGTGGTTTACCCAGGATTAATTATAACGAACCTTAAGATAAATGCGCTCGTTAACAAGCTGAGGAGCGTTGTCGTCATAAGTATACGGGATCCTGCCGTCCACCTCGGCATTGTAGTCAATGTTCTCATTGGCTTCATCTTCATCGTTGTCTTCTCCACCGTAGGCGTTATTCGCAGGTATATCTCCTTGTTGCCCCCGACCTTCTATTGGGCGATCTACCTTCAGAATTAACCGCCTTGTTCGTGTTTGCCCCTGTACTTGTTCCTTATACTTGATTCTCCATGCTATTCCGTTCATTCCGGACCCAATCGCCCTTTCGAGTTCGAAGCGTTGTTCCGGGTCGCGTGAGAAATAATCTCTCAAAACTTCTTCCGTTCCGTCAAAATCTTCAAACCTGAATGCAAGTTAGCGACTTTTCTACGTAACGCCGCGGGCAAGATAGTACACATGACAGCAAGGTAATACATACATTTTCAATATATTTTCCTTTTATTTTCGGATATATGTTGATCGGTTGTAGAGGGGAAGTTCAATGTGCTCGCTAGTAACCTAAATCATGAGGCTATCGATTTCTCTTTTATACATGCGCCTGGCAAAGAAGATCCTTAGAATAGCACTTTGGGCTTTAGGTGCTCCCGTACCTACATCTTTTCAAAGAAAGAAACCTTTGTATTTTAACTATCTGTTTTTCGTTTTTCTATTGATTAGACTTTGCTTTCATAATCACATAACAATCCATTGTCTAATACTTTAGTACGGGATAAGATCCCCGAAAACTAGAAGCTATTTCATTATCCCTTTTCCTAGAAAGAGGGTCGGTCATAATGCTGCTGGAGCTAAGAATAGTTTAGCCAATTGCCAGATCGTAATCTTATATAGTACCGGTAGTAGAATAGAGCTGGAGGCCTATTTTTGGTCGCCACTCCCCATACCTATCTTACAGTAAGTCCAGGCTCATGTTTTCAAGAGAATACCAGCGAAACTGTCAAGATTTATACCCGTTGATAGTTGAAATATATAGAGTGAGTGTCTAGGGTAGGTAGTCTATGTAATAGATAGTATTGAACTGGTAACGCCTGGCCTTCTATCCTCTTACGAGGGCGCTGTGTCCCTTATAATATAGATAGACCCCTGTAGCTACCCCTAACCCACTTATACCCTGACAGAAACGAACGACCTAGGTTAAATAGGTACATTAACCTCAACGGGATTAATTTCCTATGTTTTTAATGAGTTGATGACCGTGCTTCATCCACCTAAAATATTGAAAATACCTACGAAAATAATTATAGATGAAAAGCTTTACTCTTCTTTATATGCCATCTCAGTCCTACAAGCAGCTAGTAAGCAACTACCATTCTCAGGATAGGTAAAAGGGTAAAGGAAAGTGTCTTACCAGTCGTCATCCGTGATAGGGTTAAAACTCCCTATCATCTGGCGACCAGGGTTGTCTTTAATGAACGTGACTTTCTGGGATAGTCTTCCCCTGCCCTTCTTACTTGAGCTGGCTTGTTGGCCTGTGACTTCATGAATAGTCCCAAACCTGTATGGCTCCTTGGCGTGTTCTATGACATACTGGCGAACTCTAGTGTCGATTTCGTTAGAGAGCTCCATTGGGGATTGAATGCGCTATGGGGGTTTGAAACATAATTACCTCTGGGCTGTAAATTTCTCGCCATATGGGATTTCGTGTGAGGCGTATCCACTTGGCGCGGTCAGGACCGGTTCTCCGCCGTCATCATACCTCTTAAGGGCTCGTTTCAACCGGTATGAGTCAATGTATTTCCGGAGTCTTTGCTCGGAAAGAATTAATCGAGCCAGGCCTGTTAATTCACGGGGACTTTCATCGGGGTCGACATAAATCTTCTTGACTCGTGATCTGTCGAGGGAATCCCAGTATACTTCGAAGTTGTGGTTGCGATATTTAAACAATCGATTTTCGTAGGCTATTTTTAGCTCATTTGATAAGAATAATACACTTCAAATTAGTAGGGGGGCGGTACATACATGGGCTGCGACGGGTGAGATCGATGGTATTAGTACGCGTGGTGATGGCGGTGATCCCTCGCGGATTGGTGTACACTTGTGTTCCGTCGAAGGCAACACAAGCGCAATCGACATCAAAACCTGTTAAGATCTCACTAATAGACTTATAGAGCCTAAGTATAATCTAAATCAATAAGAATTAATCTTTCGGTAACCCACTCGAGGAAATGATTCCAAGTTCCTACCTGTACATGACGAAAAGGGTATCTCGGTGAAATGAATGTGATTGCATTATTCGTGCGCATAGACAGGGCCTGGCCGGTAAATAAACGTTGGTTCTTTCGAATTATGTTTTCTATTTCAAGAATACGTCTGACCGCTTCGTCCTCGCTATCCAATCCGTAGAGAAATATGTCAATATCACTTGAGCCTGCAGTGGTTCTGGAAACAGAGTTAGTCTCTTAACTTAATAGTACAGCAAGTGCGAATGAAACTTACTGGTAGTAGGTCTCTAGTGGATTCTCTATTGCGTGATCATACTCGATATGGACGTCTCTGCGGTAAGAAAGAAGGGGGAGAAGCGCAGATGACCCGGCTACCACGATGTTGGACCAATCTATCTCAGGGTTGATGGCTTTAGTAGGTATCCGACTATCAATGATGCGATATGATCATACCTAGACCTGCTAGTGTACCTATTTTTTACGGTCAACCATTAATAAATTTCCATAAATGAATAGGGGTTAAATTTAGGGGGCAAACCATGTGTGAATCCATCGAAGTTATCCCTATAATCAGCTAATGAGGGAGTGATGGCCAGACTTCCATCGGCTTCTCGTTGATCATCCTTCAACGGCATGATATACTTATCGTCATCAGCTAGTTGGCGATCTATCGTCCGAATCTTGAACATATTTTCTTGGCCATCATAGACCGGTACTAGGTTCGCTAGATCGTCAACCTGGGGGTCATGCTTTGCAAACAATTCTCGTAACCGAGCTTCGTATGTTAGATATGGCCGTAAAAGTTCGCGCGTTGGGGTTCGAGGGTGTTTAGCGAGATACGATATAAAGTGGGAAGACGGCGTCGGAGGCACGGAATTACTTCTGGAGGTTCTCAGAGGAAGGGCCATCGATGTACTCGCGCTGGTTCGTCCATCGTTGGAACGACCTGATGCTTTGGATCGCATCATTTGAACAAGTGTTGAAAAACAGCCCATGTATGTGTCTGGAGATTACTCTGCAATGGCGGTTTCAGTATAGTGCTCCCGGAAACTGTCTTATACATAGGACAAGGCTTTTAGTATATCTAACCCATGGATAACTTCAGTTAGTATAAATATAGTTTATGTCTGTAAGAGGAAGGTTGCTCTGAGGCATCACTCGAATTCCTATACATTTGAATGCAGACAATTCGGATTGGTTGCAGTAATGAGCAAAGGAAGTAGTTATTGATAGCCACGTCATCTCAGCTCCTGACTTACAAGCGAACAAGGAAATCGACAGGGGAAAGAGAGTTATCTTGACTGCTCATTGGACTACGAGGAAGCAGGCTGTACTACAAAATATGAGTATTATTGGCTGCCTCACATTTTGGGTATACTGGCATATCACTCCTTTGAGTCCTATCGTATGATCCAATGTTATAGGTCGATATAATCTTTGCAAACTGAGGGGAGAACAATTCATCACGCTGGTGTTTGAATAGTTGTGTGCTTGGAGCAGATCTATGGCCTAAACTCTCCGCACCTCGAGACACCAGCCAATCACCACACTTGCTATTTCTCGTCGTCCATATTTCCCCATATAAGCCGGGCGAGGGGCGAGGGTGAGATTAAACTACCTCAATAGTAGAATTCCGTTCTGTAAACCGGCTGTTCACTTCTAATTTTGAACAAAAAAAAGACACACGGTATTAATCGGGAAATTTAAGTGAACTATGGTGGACTCTAGTTCAATATGGCAAATTCCGGAACGGCCCAGACACCATCTGTGCAGCACCTGCGAGAAGTTAGATCTAGAAAGGAAGTTCGGCAATGAAATACAAGAACAGATCATCGGTTATTTTTCCGAGTACAAAGATCTTAGCTGCCCATTCTGCATTCTTGTTTCCAGGGCTATCGAACGTGCGTGGGGAACTACTAAAGTTTCGTGTCGTATCTTCATCCAGAGTCGAAGTCCATTATCCGTTAAGGAAAACGGGCACATTCACCATCCCCAACCCAGGTTGCTAGTCGCCACTGATCAGAAGCCGCCCGAGTTTCATGATAACAGAGTTCCCCTTAGACAAATAGATCGGGTACGAAACCGGTTTATAATCGCCGAGATCGAACGTTTACCGAGCGAATCGGAGTTGAACTACCTCCCTCGGCTGGAAGTTGGAACCCGGCTCAACATCGCGCTTCTAAAAAGTTGGTTGAAGGAATGTCAGAATCACGAGCATTCGAAGCTAGCTATAGAACGAGGAAGCAGTGGTCTATTCCAGTCTCAACATCCCTTCCGTCTCATCGATGTCATTCAAGAGTGTCTAGTGCAGAAGGATACGAGATGCGACTATGTAGCACTATCTTATGTCTGGGGTCGACGCCCGACTCTCCAATTCCCTGGCCAAAACGAGCGAGAAGTGCCAATCCTCCTTAGTCTTCAAGATAATGTGAAAGAGCTGAGTGTTTCTATGGGATTATCCAAGTCGAGGCCGGAGACACGGAAAACCGGAAGGATACCCCGGACCATCCGCGACGCTATGGAGTTTACTCGACAGATAGGGATGAGATACTTGTGGGTTGACACATTGTGCATTGTACAGGACGACCTGGAAGACAAGGCACGGTTAATAGGGCGAATGGACGATGTCTACGACTGTGCCGCTGTAACCATAATCGCCGCGGCAGGCTGCGATGCGGATGCCGGGTTAAGGGGGGTTAGTCCACGGGCAGGTCATCCTCTCAAACCAACGAAGATTATCGATGCATCAGATGGATCAGTTCTCAATATTTCAACATGCTTACGGTCTCTATGCGAGGAAGTGCGAAGTGCGACTTGGAATACGCGAGGTTGGGTTTTCCAGGAACAGTCGCTGTCGCAGCGCTGTCTTTACTTCACAGCCGAGGAAGTCTTTTTCAACTGTCGCGAAGCGCAGTGGAGAGAAGGATACAACTATGCACGGAAAATAAACGCGCATGTAGACATCGATATAAGGACAGGGCCGCCGTGGTGGACGAGGAATCTCAGGAGGGATCTTGATCCAACACCATACCATTATCTCGGGGATGTAGGTGGAAAATTAGATATCCAGGCCTTTCAAACAGCAGTTCAAGAATACAGCCGAAAGAACCTCACATACGCGCATGATATACTTAACGCGTTCGAGGGCATATTTAATAGGTTCAACGGACATAGAGATGTCTCGGAGTTAAGTATTCGTCAAGCACAAGGAATACCTCCTCATTTATTATACCAGGCGATCCTCTGGTTTCCTTATGGCAAGCCTGAGAAGCGCCCATGTCAATCTGAACAGAAAGCTGACCAATTTTCAACATGGTCATGGTATGTGACCCCTTTTGGTCCGATTTAACCAAAATTTGGTTAGGATCAATGTTATAATGCTGATCATACGGTTACAGGGTGTATTGGACGGGTCCCGTTGAGTTTGTCTTTGTTGATAGCCTTTGGCTATCTCGAAACATTTCCCAAGCCCCTATCAAGCGAGTGCCTATCTACGTTCCTATTATATGCTGGTATTACGGAGGCTCGAAAAAGCAGTTCTGGACCAGAGATGTCTGGAAGACTATCTGCGAAACTCCGAATCATGCAACCAAGAAGACTACCGAAGAATTTAGGCAAACAAAGCACTATCTCAGTCGCATTGGGATGGATACCGATGTATTGCTGGACTGGTCGCGTAACACACAGCCGCCCGATCTTGACTGTGGTGAGCTTGGATTTGTTGCGCCTTATTTGAACGCGGGGCAGTTTGAAGTAACGACTGCGAAAGGCGAGCATGTCTGGATTCTAAAAGTGTCTTCTCATCAAGGCCAGTTTAGGTTTGATGGTAGAGTCGAGGCAATCGACGAACTTGTCGTTATTGTTGCTGCCAATACTATTACCCAGCCTCCCGACACACAGTCGATTCTATTAGGTCTGACTACGCGGGATGGCGTTTCAAGGAGAGTGGGCATTGGGTATATATACTATTCCAAGGACACGGATTTCATTAAACCGCAGTGGAACTATAAATTCTTTAGAATTCAGTAAGTTTTATTATGCTACTGTTGATAGAGTAGAAATGAATACCTACATAACAGCATATGGGCTTTTAGAAGAACTGACACTTAGTGAGGCTGCAATTCTCGTTTAGCTTAGTGAATGTAAAGGAGTACGGTTCCTAGTCATTACGTGTATAGCCCTTGAACCATCGAAGATGGCTCGCCAATACGGTATCGTGAGTCGGGTGTCCGTGTTACCTCTTAATATGTATCTAAGGTACCTGTCATGAAATAGTATAGTCGTCCGCTTATTGGATATCCACTATTATAACTACACCACCACAAGTCTATGCGATGACCCTCGAGGATTGACTCCAATCCTGGGCTTACTCTTCAACAGATTCAATGTCTATTCGCACTAAACAAAGTCCTACATATTGCTGCATTGCTTATTGTGTCTTACGAAGTCAGCATATCATGACTCAAAAAGTACCTAATCCTAGCTGGCCGTGTGAGTAATTCAATATCATCCCCGCACCTATTGTTTATTGTTTTAATATTAGCAAGATTTGACGATGCTTTAAGCCACCACGGAATATTTTACAGTCAGTATAGGCATATCCAGTTAATCTATATATTGTCAAGTGTCGTTTTGTGTGGAACTCAATCGATTCGCAGTGGACTAAGAAACCTGAACCTTACCCCTGAGCACAGATACTTTACAATTCATCATCGTTATTATATATCCGTTATCATGGATTTTTTCCACTCCGAGGCTTTTTCCTCTAGTATTAAGGAATTGATGGACGAGCACCACGTACCTGGTTTCTCCATTGCAATTGTTCACAATGGCGAAGTCGCTTCTGCTGGTTATGGATACGCAGATGTTGAACCATCGAAGCCATGTACAGCGGATACGCTCTTTGATGTCGCGTCGTCTTCCAAATCGCTTACTGCAGCGGCTGTCGCGTTGCTCATAGATGACGATGAAAAGTATCCCGAGGTGCAGTATGAAGCGATCATGTCACACTTATTGCCGGATGATTTCGTGATGCCTAGTGCCGAGTACACAGAGAGCGTTACCGTGGAGGACATCTTGAGTCACAGGTCTGGCATGGCCTGGTAAGAGCTTCGTATCTTATAACATATAACCTATGGTCGGAAATACTAACCGTAGAATAAGCCATGACGATTCTTATATGGGTCCGCACGCAGCCCATCCAGATGATGCACGATCCGTGACTAGGAATTTGCGGAATTTGCCTGTGGCCGCTCCTCTGCGAGCAAAACATATATACTGTAACATGATGTATACAGTAGCAGCATATCTAGTCGAGGCAAAGACTCAGCAAAGCTTCTCCAGTTTTCTGGAAGAACGCTTCTTCCGGCCGCTCGGTATGAAATCAACTAGCGTCCAGCCCATAAGAACTCTAGCAAAGGGATTCGCAGACCGCATAGCCACTGGATACTATTGGAATAAGGAGAAGTCGACGTACAAAGGGTTCCCGCCCCCGGACTGCCCAGAGGGAGAGGGTGCTGGTTCGATAATCACCAGCGCAAACGACTTTATCAAATGGATCAAAGCACTCCTCCATCACGAGAGCCCTATCAACAAGAAGGTATACCAAGGCCTCGTGCGGTTGCGTAGTCTAGCAAATCCGGACGCCGAAGATTTAGCACCATTTGAATCTCCTGCCATCTACGCAGCTGGTTTGGAAGTATACTATTACCGAGGATATACGGTTGTGGGTCACGATGGGATGATCTCAGGGTTCACGAGCCGTTTCTTCTTCCTCCCCGAGCTAGGATTTGGAGCTGTCATGATGGGAAATGCAACGGGGGCAGAATATGTCGCCGATGCTGTGCGTCGGAAGTTATTCAGCGCCATACTGAAAGTACCAGAGGAAGACCTTGCTAAGAGTGTCTCTTGGGATAAAGAAGGAGACAATAATAATGAAAACGACGGCGCCAAGGATGAGGAAAAGGAAGATAAAGAGGTACAGCCCCAGGTAACGCCCTTGAGCGCTTACGTGGGAAAGTACTGGAACCCAGGATACCACACTCTTACTGTTCAAATCAAAGACGAGAAGCTCTTCATCGACGCTACCGACCGCTCATTTAGATGTACCATCACGTTCGACCACGTATCGGACCAGACAAAGTACACCGCTCACCTATATGATATATATGAAGAAGGCGACGAACCGCTTAGAGCCGAATTCGTGTTCGGGGGCAGCCGAGCCGTTAGATTGGGCCTCGACTACCAAGAGATTTTGAACGAGTTGATATGGTTCGAGTTTATGCCTGAGGGAAAGGCATGATACATTTAGTAGACTAGTAGAATGGGATATCGATCACTACCTTACCTTATAAATTCCAACTTTTTATTCTAAGGCTGGTAGGTAGGTACGTAGCTACCTAAGAGATAAGAACCCAAAGTCTTTCCTTCCTTACAAGGTATGTACCTACCTACCTTCCTCAGGTACATAATTTTCACCTCGTAGTTGCCACGGCAGGCGGCATTATATGTAGGGCGGTGTCATATAACCTTATCTAAGTGACTCATTCCTGTTCTTTCCTACTTGTTGGCAGGTGGTCCACGTCGATCGTGAGTCACGGTAATAGCATCAAGGGAAGGAACGAGGCCCCTAGGGCCCCACAGGGCTGACTATATAAACAGACGTGGTCCCGTAGTCTTTCTAGATTCAACAACGCTTCCGCAATACAAGACCAGTTCCACACTACTTTTTAAACTGGAATCTTCAACGGGTTTTTAGCCTTCAAGATTCATAACCAGCCACTTAACCCTAACCGAACACGCAACATTACATACAACCCTCCTCCCATATCTAATACTAAACCCTCATCTTCTTCAACACCAGCGAGGATATTTCTAACCTTACCTAACTCTAAAAAATCATCGATTACAACCAACTATTTTCACCAAAACTACCATCTTGGTCTGGGTAGAAGCCAACCATTCGTCAGAGCCTATCGCGGCGATGCCTATAACAGAGATATTAGTACGGATTTTAATTACCAACTTGCGCAAATGCAGTGCGTTCGTATTGATCCAGACTTTAGCGCTGATCAAGATGAAATTGATGTAGCCTCTAGCGCTGAGCAGAATGGTATCTAGGCGACTTGTGTTGCGACGGCATTTCTTTCAGAAATGGTTATTGGGGAGGAATCTCTAATATATGCTATATTTCGCGATAAGTTTTGAAGATCTATATTGATCCTCTCGCAAAAGCTATGAAGATGGTCGATACCCCGGATAAAGCCCAAAAGCAAAACCAATTGAAAGAAGCTTTCCAAACACTCGACAACCCCAAGAGAAAGCGAACGATAACCAGTCAATCTACTAATCCATCAAAAAAGTCGCTAACTAGCTTCCAAGCGTACTACAGAGTTTGGTAAACAGGGCTTCATAAGCACGAATTGTACCGACATATTAGAACGTCGGGCCACAGACTCCCAGGGAAAACAAAGCGATCAACTCACTAATGACAACGGCGGGTTGTCATGAGTGGAGATGCTAAGAAAAACGACGATGCTAAGAAATGGTTGGCGGTCGCCTCTAGCCCGAGCCATAAAGCATGTTTACTGACGAACTTTATGCGTACGGTATCAACAACGATTCTTGCAAGCAATGTCAGAATCGCAAGTCGCGAGGTCCCTGTACTTCTTGTATTGCAGATGAGATCGAAGAGGCCAAAGCAATTAAGAGAGAAATCGATACTCACAGATTTTGATTCACCGACGTTATATCTGTTCGGAGAATAGGCTTAACAACACTTACAACCGGCAAGATACACTGTCTAATGCAGAGAGCGAATTTAAATTTTGGCGCTGCCAGCCAAGTAGCAGCGCCCCTTACAGAAATGTCATGATGGAACTAAACCAAGTTTACACCAGAGGATTCGAGGGCAAATAGATCCCCGAAAGATGCCATGGCATACTAAACCATGTTCCCGCGAAAGAATATTTCGAAGCCGTCCGCATTAACGGCGACTCATTAACAGGTTTCGGAAAACTACCCACTGGTATCACCGAAGCTATGGCAGCCCTCGGTTTGGTATGGGTGATGCAACCGCCCCATGGCCAACGAATCCCCACATTCTGGCAACAAATGCTTGAGCTAGCCAAAAGCCGAAAAAACACCACCAGTACAGTGGAAAGAGAGTGGCCAACCCCATCGCTGATGGAGAAGAACCAGAACACGATAACGCACGCGCCGATACACCCGCACGCGGTGACGACGAAGACAACCAATGCGTGATGGAGAAGTTACGTCAAAAGGCCAACATCCAAAGGTATATCCCGTGGCTGTAAGTAGTTTTATAACCTCTCAGCCAATTTATATTCTAATAATAGTGGATGAAAGTAAAACAGAAGAGAAAAATGCTAAAAGCTATCACAAAACGCATCGGAGACTTGGCATACGAATTGAACATCCCAAGTCACCGGAAGATACCTCAACGAGTTATCACCCCCAAACGGATGGCCAAACAGAGAGAAAAACCAAGACATAGAAACAGCAATACGATACCATTGCGCAGCGTCATCAGAACCATGGACAAACATCATTCCGGCACTACAACACAATTCAAACAACACGAAATCTTCGGTGTTGCAACGAAGTCCCAACGAAGTCGTTAAATTGATAAGGATCACAATGATTACTTACGATAAGATAGCATAGCTTACATTAGTTTAGTGAGAGAACGGAGTTCTCTCATTTTAACTTACGAAATACAACTTCTATTCTACTGCAAACCCTCACAAATTGGTAGCTCCACACACAAGGTGATATCGGTAGCCTAACTCTATAAGGTACCTAGGGGGCAGACCCTTACAATAGACGGAGACCACAACCCGGCCGCATTATCGTCGAAGGCGATGACAATGGGTGGCCGCCATACGGCAGGTTCTTCGAAGACAACGAAGAAACCTCTAGCGACAGCATCGGCCCTAGCAACAATCAAAGATGACGCACTACCAGCAACGCCCCGTAGCAGCAAGAAGAGACGGCTGGTGGAACCTACGTAATTTTCTTTCATTATTCCGTTAACTAAATGTTATATCGGGTTTTCCCAAGTCCAAGGCAGACCAGAGCACCCGTGGTTTACATTGTGGCACATTTATTAGTATTGCACTATGTATGTCATCAGTCCCGGACAAATTCCCCCCTTTTTAGCAATCAACTAACTATAAACTACCCAAGTAAAGCTTTATAGTTTAGATAACTAACTTCAGGAATCTCAACTAGTAACGTAATCTTGTGTCCATTTTACCCTAAGCACACAAAGATAAATGGCTCGTCAAGTCCGAAAGGCAACTCGATAGATCTAACCAGGTAGTCTCTGTGCGATTGTAATTAGGTACCTTTATAGTTACACTTCCGCGTTACACAGCTCAGTCTTGGCGACGGAGTCCTCTTTTGCTTCGTATTGAACACAAGTCTTGACTACTACCTACCTAGGTAGCTTACATACCACCTACAGAATGTTCGAACGTATCCCGGCTAAAGTAGCGTGAGATCGAAGAGCCACTTCACCGGTAGTACGTTACTATGTTACGTAAAGCAGACGATCACTTAAATATCACCATCACAAGTCTCAAATAACACAGGCGTATGCAAAATTTCAAAATACACCAGCGGCAGAGTCTATTCTGAACCAAGACGATGCTTCAAACAGCACGTATGCAAATTGCGACGTGGCTACCCAGCTGATGAAAAAGCCAGCAGGACATCTCCCGCTCAGATTTCATCTGCTCGTCGTTTGCTGGGTTCTAGGGTTCCGCATCCCCTTTTCATAGTACAATACGATTTCCACGCCCACGCCCCCAAAGTCCGGACGTGACCGTAATCGTTCGTCAACCCGTTTCCTCCCAGCCCATTCATGCAGTTATATAACCTGAACGCCGGGTCGAGGAGAAGCCCGTGTTCTCCTCACCCCTCCCTCCCCGAGTAAAAAAAGCAAAAGAAAAAGTATATAATGCTACCCAGCCCAAATAGGTCCGTTGCGCCAGAGATTTTATTCCAGAATGCATATGACGATGCGGGCCACAAATGAGAACGACATGTTCTGGTATCGCGATAGTAGGATGCGTAGGTAGGTACAAGCCGCAGGCGAATGTAAGGTGAGCTGTACTTCGACTGCGGTAGAAGTGATATTAGACAAATGAGAGTCGGTGATATGCCGGCCGTCATATTCTAGGTGGCCGAAACTAGGTAAATTTAACCGGTTTAGATGCTAGATGTTGGGGTATATATTTCGCGGTTTCTAATTATTAGGCGGCATGTGACGTTAGTAGTGATCGGTAGTGATAATTATCAATATTTTCGTAGACATTATCTTCGGTGTGTATCTCTCGGATCCTGGAATTGTTGGTTGCGCCGACCGTTCTCTCCGCGAGCAGCAACCCATTCAGCATTACCACTCTGCCGGGCGGGCTGTTCGGCAGGTAGCTTTTGATCATCACTGGCAGAAGAAGAGACGGTAGGCCGACTTGTTGAGCCGGATGCAGAGCTTGATGAACCGGGAACCATGCGCGTAACTGCCTGCGTGATCGAAGCGACTACGTAGCCTCGAAGCTCGCGATCTTCTCTCGAGTCTTCCTTCTCTAATCGGAATCGCTCCTCTTTACTCAAGTTGGCGCGCCGGATGGTCTTGATTTCCTGCATTATATAGAGCATTACTTCTTCGGGGCACTTGTTCCTCTCAAGCGCGTGCTCGCTCTTGCGCACGTATCTGCGGGTGACATCGGTTGCACCGTCTGCACTAAATGCGATACAGTACGACATCTGCTTGCCCCAACCTTCAGTGTAGAGGCGCGGGTTATCCCACGCTTCTTCGCATGCATCCACGTGGATCCATCGCTGCTTATGTTCTGAATAAACCTCAGTCCACACGTGGTCCTCGGCGTTCCATACCCAGCGCACGCGGCCGCCGACGGCCCGGCACAGCATGCTGAAGCAGTTAGCCCACTCGCCGCATCGGCCCCGTCTCGTCTGTAATAACCGCCAGACGTCGCTGTATCGCGGGAATCGCTCGAATGCTCTGCACGCCTGGTTGGAGCATTCGTATAGCTCTACCCGTAATGCTCCAAAGGCATTTTCCTCTGGCGTCGGTTGTGTCATGCCTTTTGCGACGGTTGGCGAGAAGCACACGGGGCATGGCGGGTTGTTAACCCATGTAAAGAATGTTCGCTTAAACCATCTGCAACCGAAACGGGTTAGGGAGTCAATTCTTACTGGAATCGGGGGAATTGAGTTTAAGAATTGAGTTAAGAGGTTGGCTCACCTTAATAGTGCCCGAATCACGCAATCTTGGTATCCCCATTCCGGCTTGCGACCGTCACCCATGCTTTCCGCCTGTGCTTGCAATACCTGAGATTCCTCTTCGGCCTCGCCGTATATCCTATCCAGAGGAATTGCCTGGAGCGCTTCGTCGAGGAGACCGGGGTTCTCATACTTCGTCGGCGTCTGAGACAGTGACAAGAGTAGGCTACGAAATTTCTGCGACTCTTTGTCGTGCGGCGACGGTGGAGTCGGTATCTTGGGTAGGTTACGCAAGGATGAGTACGAAGGCGGTAACGCGGGAGAGCTGCGGCTATGGCTTGGGCCGTAAGAAGAAGATGGTCTACTATTACTACTACTGGAGGGCGTCGCTGGCGCTCGGAGGTTTGATGACGATGCTCTTTCTCGGGGATCTGGTGAGTCCAGACGTGATCGATTCGCTCGCGACTGCTCAATTTCGGTTAATCGCTTTGTTCTTAGCAGCTGTTCGAACTGGATTCGCAGATCCCGAGCCCAATCCTCTCCGTAATCGCCCTGGCCGTTGCCAGAGCCATCACTACGACTAGCCATGATGTTGCTGCCTAATTATCGAACCGGAGGACAGTTCGAGGTCGAAACGGAAAGGTGTTCTACGCTGTAGAACTCCTGAAAAATGGCCCGACTACTTGTCGGTTGGAGCAACGCTTGCTAAAGATATTAAACTCAAGCCCAGAACTAGGTGAACTCGAGATTACGCGGAGCGAGAAGATAGACTTCGTCAGCTGGAGGATCGCTGATGATGTGGACTCGGCCACTCCCTCCGAGAAGTCAATCGCCACCGGCTAGCAAGGGGCCCGTTTCGTTGAACAAGACAAATCGGTCGTGGATAGTCAATTAATCCCCCATAATAATCATCGATCGCTGCATTCGTGTGTCGTTGCCTCTATGGGTCGTACGGTAGCGTATACTTCTCGTCTATTTCTTATTTAGGTAATTCTACAGAGATATGTGTTCCCTCGACGTCGCGCAGTAGAAGAAACGAGCGGATGACAGAATCGGCCAGTTGTCGACTGCCTGGGAGGAAACGGGTCGACGATAGTCCGGCAAAGAGGCGGGAAGAGGAATGTATGAAGTAGACAAAGATGAACAATGAGTAATAAACAATGAGGCGGAAAAGCGGGAGAAGGGACGGATGGGTGAATATGGATATTCCAGGTAGTAGTGTAGTAGGTAGTGTAGTAGTGTTAGTAGGTACAGTAGTGTAAGTAGTGTAGGGGAGGACGTGGAAGATGGGGAATTATGAATTTACTAAGTGTAACATTCGTAAGTTAGGAGGAGTGTAAAGTGGTCAATGGTGGGGGGCGTGCGTGGGTGTGGTATTTCTTTTGCAGGGAGCCCAAGCAGACAATCGCTATGTAGGTACAGGAATAAGTGCACGACAAGAAAAGCGATAGGCAGCATACATAAAACAAAAATAAAAAAGCAGGCAGTACATGTAGTTGTGAAGTGCCAATGCAAGTGCATGCGTACTCCATGCAGTACTATGCGTACTTGAATGCGCAACTCACAGTCCGGATAGGGATGGTTTAGGACATATGTGGTAAGAAATGAGCTAGAAATGGGATTGGGCTTGCTAAGGATGGGTAAGAAGACGGGTACCTATGGGAAAAAAAGAAGGAAGCAACGAAAGCAACGAAGCGATGGGCAAGGTTTGCGTAGGCTGCGTAGGCCTTCTCCGCCTGCTGTCGTCTAGGACTCGCGTAATTGGCTGATACTTGCACTAAGTACAGTGTACTGCACTAGGCTGGATTTCATCTGTACTGTACTTCGCGGCAGAAAGCGCACTAGGGCGCAGAAGAGAAGGCGTGAACGCGCGTCTCCCACGAATCTCTAACCAATCATTTAACACGCATTCGGCCTGAAGGACCTTAAGGAGTGGGGTCACGACGACTAGACTTTAAGACGGTGTTTCTTCTTCACCTTCCATCGACAACCATCTGGACCCCTTCTGCCCTTATTTTTTAGAGTCGCAATTCTTTTATCCCACGAGTGCATATATACATCCACGCAGTCTTATTTTGAATAGGATAACTAACTATACGAAATATCTAATGGATATTTTGCATTTGACGCGTGTATAAAGCGTAAGAAATGAATACTTAATCAGGTACGTATTGTACAAGGATCAGATTGCAATACATATTTAAATATAGGTACATGATAGCCTATAGGTATATGTATCATCTAGGTACGTACATATAACCGAAGCCATGGAGCGAACCTTCCACCACTCAACGATTGGGCTAAATTATAGTTCCGGCCTACATCCGAGGCTTTGTACCTTTTTTGGTGGAGGCGATGACGAGGCGTGGCTTTTTTATAGTGGCTGAAAATGTCTAGGTACACTACCTAATAAGAATTGGAAGTCTGCCACAGGCGTTTCTCGCTTCGCCCGAACCGCTGTGCCACTTTCGGCTTTTTTACCTACATTTGTTATTCTATGTAGCAGCATTAACGATTCGATCCTCATCACTTATGATTTGGACCTACATACTTAAGGTATGCTAGGAGGTACGTAACTAAGGTATGTAATTGTTAGTATGTAAACTTTTAATCCGTACGCTTCAACGCGTTCTCCTTTTAGCAGACAAAACCATTACGATTCGATCTTGGCCCTGTTACCGGACGCAGTTGTAAACCGATCCGTCCAATTACTGCTGTAGATATATATTAACAAGTAAGTTAGTAAGTAGGTGAGGCAATGGTAATATAGGTACCTACCTAATGTTCGGGTTTGATGCCCGGTTACATTTCGACGAATAGCATCGATACACCAACATCAAAGTTATAATTGTAAGTCTCATCACGATTCCCACTTCTCTTTCAGCCTCATCCTCGAGCAGAGGTTCTTTCATGCTCGCGGCTGATACCTAGCACGTACACAAAATATAAAACATATAACCAAGCCAACCGACCTTTCGGTAACCCGGGAGGATCCAACTCCACGGCACCACAGATAAACTCGTCGGTCAACACGGCTGTAAGCTTAAATCTGCCTGCTATCACTCGACAATTCTCCGGGCCGATTGTACGAATGAGTTGTACGTGGTCAGCAAATCCCACGTGTTGCACCGTATGCAGTTCAACGCGCAGTGCGTCACCTAGCTCTTCTCCGGTATGTATTGGTCTTCTCACGCGGACCATCAGCTGCATATAGAAGCCTCAAAGTGACTGGTCAGTTGCTCTCATCGGAGTCCAGAGATAGGTAGTTATCTCGGATTACGTGAGAGATTGCTTGGACAATTCAACTTCAACTTCTCACTAACTGACGAGAGATTAAAGAAACAAGAAAAGAAAATAAAAATAAAATAAAATAAAAACCTGATCGCCTTCAATTGCCTCAATCTCGGTCTCATGACTCGATATCCAGATATCCTTCTCAGGTTGCTAGCATATGTACATCTCATATCTCATATCCCATAGGTATTCCATCAAAAGTTGTTATGGATCACGTGGAGATTTACGGCCCCCATGGCGTGGTCTTAGTTAGGCTCTCCTTTTAGTGTCGAGACTTGCTTGCGCGTCCTTCTCCCCTTCAGGAGACTTGCGTGTTTCTAGCCAATAGCAACATTGCCACCTCTTTCAAATGTCGAATCCCACCACTCCTGTATGATGATTTGATAAGCTAGTTGACCTCTCATTCTGGGTCCATGCTACGTTGCTTGCTTCGGCTCTTTACATATCGTCTAAATTTCGAGGCTTGGCGGTCCTTCTAATTCTAAAATATGCGGCTGACTGCTACGGATTGCCACGGACTGCCACGAATACCATGTCTACTGGCTTATAGCATGTAACATTATCGACCCGATCAAATTCCATCCCGCACCATTGAGTAAAAAATTTACTTCGTCGCTATACTCAAAACATGACGGGACGGGGATATCCTTCGCGTCGGGGGGATCAGATGAAAACTGCGTCATAAGTATAAAGAATATTAACTGATTAGATATCTTCCCGGTAGCAAAGTATGTTTCATCTTCGGCTTGATCCGACCCAAGACACTCATTCCCCTATGGGGTCGTCATCCGGGTGGATTTATTTGTTCGGATGGTCCAAGGTTCCGAAGCCTACACTGACGCCAGCCGCCTCTTGGATTCGAAGGCCCCCTCCAAACAAGGTTGACGATCTTTTGTACTTTTTAAAATTACCGTCGCGAAATTCGCATTTCGTAAGCCAGCATGTCGGTTAGTGTCTTCATATTGCCGACCTTGTCGTCGTAATATGAGTGAGTACATACATTAGCAGATCGCTACGAATTGACATGTGCGAGACAGGCCGACAGGGACTACGTTTGTATTCCCCAGGACGCGCGTCTCCCTCTTCACACGGGCTTTGTCTAGTGGAGAAATTTGCCCACGCCGTACATACAGAGAAAATCCCTGTCGATCTCCAAATGACGGCATAAGATCGTGCACCCCTGTTCTATATCAGTGTAGCTAGCGGGTTGCTACCCAATAAGCTACGATGCAAGTGATCGTAGGGGCCATAATACGGTACGACTCCCTTCAAGACTCGAGATTCGAGTCTCGATGGCCACGAGGTGGCTATCCGGTGACGCGCAGCGACGACCGACATCTATTCCCTATATGCGGGCTTTCTGATGAAGCGCCTGGACCTCTCAAAGCCCCCCTCGTCTCTTATCATGCTAACCAGGTTTCGCCCTCACTCAGATAGGAGCGATATCTCGCCAAGCTTTTTATATATGATATTATCAAGCGAACCGCAGCGTATTCAATACGGTTCCTCCAAGAACTATATATGATAAGGCTCCCGCACCGGAAACCCCCCCAAGGAACCCCCATCTTGTCAACCCACGCGCTCTGTCTCGAGATATTGATCCTACGGTGAAATCAGTCCGGCTCGCTTATTTAGGAAGCCATCGCGATCTTCCATACGCCCAACATAGCTTCTTACACGTTAGGTTAAAGGGATCTCGGTGTTAACGCCGAAACATGCCCTATCGTGACAATTAGCCGCAGGCGATGGGCAGATCCAAGGTGTTCTCCTATTAGACTCACCGACCAGTGGCCGAATATGGTGGTCTAGAAGGGAAACACAATTTCACTTAGTCTAAGGACGTACTGTTCTAGAAATATTCTAACGCCTTAGTCATAAACATAGTCCTTCCATTGTAGTCTCGTAGTCACCTAGAGATCTGAACAAATCGCATGTATCTTAGTTTATACGAATGCCTAGCGTCTCATAGGTTTCGGTACGCAGTTCTACGTAATATGCTGAACGCGTGGCCTTTAAGTGGCTCAATGTCGAAGTAGAATAATCATGATATCTACTTAAAGTAAAGCTCGATTGCCTCTCACGGTAGCCATCCTTTAGGTACGTACGCATGTCAGTAAAAAAAACTATTTCAGAGCCCAATCTGCAATATCACCTTCGCGTGTGTACGACTAGACTTGACCGAACAATACGCCGCCCCGGATAGCTTCCCCGGTGCAGGAGTTGACGTACTAGAAACTCCGCGATAGCTTCTAATTAGTTTTCTACCTAGATCCATTGATCCAATACACCCCTGTCGAAGCATAAGCATAGATTAGGTATCTAAAGAATGCCCAGTTTTCTACATCTCCTCTCTCGTAGTAACCGTGCTGGGATCGATATCGTGCTTCAAGGTTAGAACAAGAGCAGCCACATGTTTAAGTACAGCCTCTTTACCGTCATATCCATCTAAAACTCTTAAACGACCTAGGTGATCATGCTAAATTGCCTCTGCATGTTATATAAGTAATGATCCTATATATAGCCTGCTCCAGACCTAGGCTTGGAGCATTCACTTTTCTATATTTTAAACAATGAGCTATTCTCAAGCAGCGTCCTAGTATTCCAGCTTATATTGACATTCCGTCGATAAGAACAAACCGGGCAAGCCGTGTAGAATTAATATATTGTAAATTAAGAGTGTCTCAAGTCAGGCGTCTATTTTAAATCTATCTGCTCACTTAGCTAAACAACTCTTATCTTCGACGAATGCCTTCGAAGACACTCCGAACACCGTAGGTGTCCGTCGGGTAGGACTAGCATGTGAAGTACCAAATAGCACCACGATAGACCTAGCAGAGGGATTAATTGAGAGTCTGGGCCGGATAACGTCTATGGCTTGTCAAGGCGGTTGGACCTAGTATCCACGATAGGTAGATCAAGTTTATTCTTTCCACTCGGTCGCTTCAAGATTTATATTAGGATATACGTCAAATCCATAGTTATGTTACCTGACCCCTATCTTTTATCATCAATTCATAGCGAGATTGTAGAGGGGGGTTCCAGGCCATGGGCCCAGAATACCTGCGTAGATACCTATTATATAGCCACCCAGTTAGAGACTTTTATTAAGAAACAACTCTATCCTTGGTCCGATAGTCTATCTACCTAGACCACGTACAGACCCGGCATATCAAGACCTATAATTAGTATGAGAAACTTGCTGGAATGATGCCAACGCTAAATCGAAGCATACTCCAGAAGGCAAGAGACCTGGGGAACTTATCTCTCCTCATAAGTCACGCACATCAGCTTCAACATTTATACATCCTTTTATATCAGTTCAGCCTTTAGCCCTAGCGCATTGGTAAGCGTATATCTCTTCTATATATTGGCCTGGTTCCGAGCACTATTGTGTCCTCACCGCTACCAGCAATGGGCATTTTTGGGCCTTATCATTTAGGCTGTAGGTAGTAACTACTGGGTTAGATAGTCTACTAAATCTACCACTCTAATATCAACTCCGATTCATTCGATTAATGGGCTTACCCCCAAGTTCCCTTGAAGTATACCCCTCAACGGCCTACCGTTCTCTTTTCAAGGATCTCCCTAGGTTCGTCAAATAATTGCATAATTACCTACCTAGGCACCTAGCTACCTACCTAGGTAATCATGAAGGTGCTTGTGCTTTGTGTTCCGTTGAACTAGACGCCTGGCATAGTTATGATTGGATTGCCGTCACCTTGTGTTTGCTCTTCGAATCCTGATTGAGTAAACTCAACCCCTTGGTATTAATTACTTACCTACACCAGTGCAATATCCTAGACCCGCCAATTCATTTGCGCAAATGGGATTCTCCTCTAAGACCTTCTCGATAGTCGCGGAATACCTGTCTAGGCCATAGACCTCTTCGGAGGTAAGTTAGCTTCCATAGCATCTGGATTGAAGATCTGAGTTACTTACCTAGATATCTAATAGGCGTAGTAAGTGATATGCCATCATTCCATTAGATAGCGGGGTCATCAAGTTAGTTGTAGTTTGACTAAAGTAGCCAAATATATAGAAATTTGTATGCCTTGGTATCTAGGATACCTAAGCCCAACACTGATACCATTTGTCAAACTATTTTCTAAGGTACTATATTGCTAGCCTTAGGTAGTCTTCCAGAACTATAATTCTTTTCTTCTTCTTTTTTTTAAACAAAAAAGAAAAGAAAAGAAAAGAAAAGAAAAGAAAAGAAAAAAAGGCTCAGGACCTTGATATCAAGGCCAGAGAGTAAGGCTTTGTGTGTTGCTTATTATTACGGTAGACTATTGGTAGCTAGTCATATTCACGAGTCCCTCTGGAGTCTTCTCATCTTATATTGACTAGGTATTGTTCGAAACTCATGATGAATTTGCTCCAAGCTTAGTTGAGTCATCTCTTATTCCTGCGTCTACCTACTATGTTTACTGAGATAACAAACTGAAATTTACTATCCGAAGGCTCGAGTGCCTACCGAACTGTTTGAAACTTGATTCATTAAGCCTCAAACAAATTGAAATCGAATAGTCCTCATGGTTTAGTTTCACACGTCATGTAATAACAAAATCATTATCACTGCTACAGCCACAACTAGTCTAGGTCTATTAGTTTTAATGCCACTCCGATTGACTCAGGAGTGAGTTGGGCAGTTTTCATTTACAACTACACGACACAAATTCTCAGGCAGCGTCTCTGAATTATGATTAATCTTGCGTGATTATGAGAATGTCAATGCTGCTTGTTACGAGGCCTTCATTCTATTGATCTACATATAGTTACTCTGTTACCTTACAGTTTAGCCTTGGGAGAATTTTCGAGTGAACAAACCCCGTCCCTCATAGCAACCATCTGCTTCCTTAGTATCTTTCCCGTCGCATTCTTCGGTAGCGCCTTAATCTCCCAGACTCCTCCCCTAAGCTTCTTGTAGCTGCTCACCTGGCTGTCAACCGCCTGATGTACCTCCTTGAGAGCATTCTTCTTCTCTTGCGGAGTCTTGAATCTATCTTTTAATATGACCCAGGCTGTCGGGAGTTCTGTCAATTGACTTTCGTCCCAGAGCGCGCTAACACCCCCTTCTACTACGTTAGGATGGGCGTTAATATAACTCTCTAGCTCGGCTGAAGATACCTGGAAGCCCTTATATTTTATTAGGTCCTTTGTTCTCCCCACTACACTTATTCTCCCTTCTGAATCGATGGTGCATACATCCCCTGTGTTGTACCATCCTTTCATCGGGAACCCCTTCTTATTCGCCTCCTCGTTGAAATCGTATCCTTGCGTAAAGTTCGGCCCCCTCAACCAGAGCTCGCCTGGTTGACCCTCAGGCACGTCTTCTGTACTTCCTTCTTTCTTGAGGCAGGCCTCAATGTTGGGTAATAACTTGCCTGTCACTCCATCTGGGGTTTCCTCGCTCGCTTTCTGGTAAGCGACGTATCCGGCAGCCTCCGTCATTCCATACACTTAGATGAGCTTCCACGGCGCCTTGCTTAGCAGCCGGCTTTTAAGATCATTCTTCAGCAGACCGCTGACGTTGATGTATTTCGCACGACTGAATCGAATCGACTGGTTACATCAGAATTTGTTATCTGAAGGACAACGCTTGGAACACCCTGGAAAGTCGTAGCTTGGTTCGATCCGACTAGCTTCGCAAACTCTTCTATATTGTAACTCGGCATGGCGTGGTGCAGCATCCCGGTGTAAGGGCCCAAGAAAAGGGGCAATGTGGTCATGGCGATGTGAGTCCATGGAGTGAAAGCTACAGTCCGAGAAGACGGATTAAACTGCTCTCGGTCATGTGCGACGAGTTGATAGCAATTCGAAACGAAATTGTAGTGCGTCAGCTCAACTCCCTTCGGTTTGCCCGTGGTCCCAGATGACAGGTCCAAGCCCCTATATCTCGTGGGTGAATATCGCTAGGACCCTATCTCTATCCTTCACCTATACGATTCTCGGCCGATTGTCAGATCTCTTTGGACGACGATGGTTCTTCATTGGTGGCAACGTTGTTGCACTTATCGGTATCATCGTGTGCTCAGTCGCCCAAAATGTCGACAGTTTAATCGTGGGTAGTGCGATCTACGGTCTCGGGGAGACAGTCCAGTTGAGTTTCAGTGGCCGTGGGCGAATTAGTTCCTAACAAGCATCGCCCGATGGTCCTATCATTGATCTTTGCAACGAACGCACCAATTGCCGGCATTGGTCCCATGATTGGTAAGCTATAATTAATTTCAATGGGCAAGAATAATAATAATAACTGACTTTGGCGATAGCTCGAGCTGTACTGCAACGCCCTAACATGGGATGGTGATGGTGCTACTATCTCAACATCATCGTGGTCTCCGTAGCGATAGTCCTACTATTCTTCTTCTACCACCCCCCAACTTTCGACCTCCTGCACGAACGAAAGACTAAGACGCAATTACTTACCTAAGCAACTTGACTGTGAGTTTGACTACCCCTTAATCATTAACACGAAGCTTACGAGGATCAGATGTTGGAATCTTTATGTGGACTGCTGGTCTTACCCTCCTGCTCATGGGCGTGAGCTGGGGTGGCACTATTTACCCCTGGAAATCGGCCGCGACTATCTCTTCCATCGTAATTGGAATTGTTCTCCTCATTGCACTCTTCGTTTACGAGGCGTATGCCAAGCTCGAATACCCAGCCGTCCCAGTTCAGTTTTTCGCCAACCGAGGGTTTATTAGTCTTGTTGCTTGCGCTACAGTTGCGACTATGTCCTACTACTCTGCGGTCCTACTATGGCCTCAATAAGTCAAGGCTCTCTACACCTCCGATATCACCTATGGTGGTTGGATCTCGGTAAGCATGCTTATACGTAACTAAGATATCAATAAGAAACTAACTGGGAATCTAGTGTACCGTGGCTAGCGCTACGGCCTTGGGTCAAGCATTTGGTGGTTTCTTCGTAAAGTGGGGAGGAAACGTTCGATACTGGATCATCTTCTCGACTTTTTCCATGGTCGCATTTGTCGGTGCCTGCGCGTCTCTTACTCCCGACACCTTGAACGCCGGTATTGCTTTCACGATGATAGGTCCTTTCTTCGTTGGCGTCATCGAAGTTTGCGCTCTCGCACTCGCCCCCCTTTTCTGTCGGCCTGTCGACATCGGTCTTGCGTCCGGCCTGTTGGCTTCGATTCGATCAGCCGGCGGTTCTATCGCCGTGGTTGTCTACAGCAGCATATTGTCAAACCGTCTTGCTTCGACATTCCCTGCAAATGTTGGCCCGGCTGCAATTGCTGCTGGTCTCCCGGCGGAGAAAGTTCCTGCTCTCGTTGCAGCCGTCCTGGGAAGCAAGCTTGCTACTTTCCTGGGACTGAGCGACGCCAGAAAAGCTGCCGTTGCTAGCGTGTTACCAATAGCATATTCGCAAGCATTCAAGACCGTGTACCTGGCCAGTCTGGGATTCGGAGGTATCGCCATTGTCGGCTGTCTCTTCTCCAAGGATGCTCAGAAACATCTCACCGATAAAGTCGAGCGTAAGATGCACGGGAAGGTAACCGGGAAAGATAGCCCAGACTCCGCGCCATCGGCATAAAGGGGGGATTAATTGAGTCAAAAGTTGTGTTTGTCTTTATCCTTAACGAAAGGGCGACGTCTAACGCAGGATTCATTTGACATGATTTGAACGTATCATATTTATCTAATGCCTATGTTATTGCCGTTCTAAATGATACCAACTTGTATATAAGTAAGAACTAGCAGCGTTGCCCCGTCCGCTCAAGCCGCGGACGGGGGAAAGAGGAGGAAAAGGGAGGGCATCATGCGCAAAACCAACGCCACAGCTAAAGTCTGGCCTGTGATTGGCTAGCCACACCTCAGCGCACGTCCGATGAATCTTTTTGTAAAATCAATTGAACTATTTTAGTATTGTATAAAAAGTTTAATAATTGGTATCGTTAGATAGAGCTCGTTTTGCATGACCTTTTTATACCATTTGCACCTTTTGCAAACGTTATGCGATGGAGTGGCAAAGGAAAAAGTCGCAAACTGCGGGGCGATTCTAAGTATCTGATTGGTTGAAAAAATTGTGGCAGTACTAATTGAATAGGTATATAAGACTTGATATTTTAGCGAAGGGCGGAAATCTGATTCATATTATTGCTATAAGAATGTTATTGTACTCGTATATAAACGTCATTATGAAGGCAATATTATCAATGATCATAAACCTTTTAACTTATAAGTAACTCGATAATAGGAACGACTTACATACATTCAACGGGTATCTGGATTGAATCAACTATAAACTTAATCGGCTGATCGGTCCGGGTGTGGAGCTAAAGACTTGGGGCGACGCTTATAGTTGGAGAGGTTACCGTTTACGGAAACGGAGCAACGATTTGATTGGTGGAGTCGAGACGATAGTGTTGTTGACGAGCCCTATGTATAGAAGTTATTCTGCGGGGAATACTAGTGCTAAAGGATTAACCTAAGCTATTAAAGCTCTACTACGTGGTATTCGGTGCAGTAGTTAGCGAATTCTATTCGTTATAAAACCTTGGCTACTGATCTTTATTCAATCACTCTTACTCAACATTTACTAATTTCTTTAAACAAATCTCTAACAGATTATAGAAACTCCAATGATACAAAGCAGATTTAACGAATGACATTAGGGAAAGCCTCAAAGTCTTAGTAGAGTACCCAACCACCTATTTAGTGAGATTACTTGTATTGTACCTACCTAAGCTAGATACCTGGAACTACCCCGCAGTCGTCTCCTCATTAACCCCAGATTTGCGATGCAAATGTTGGCATAGGTGTTGGCACACGATGGAGAAGTGTAACGTTGACCTGGGACTATTCCGACTGTTCCTTCATGTTGCGAAGGATTCGACCTGGATCACCCTGGCTTTTTGTATAACTTGTTCACCCCCCTTGCAAGAGTGATTTCGAATCGCGAATGGGATTCCATGCCTTATTCTTCGACACTCGCTAGGATGGAGCTGACTGCAGACCGCTTGGGCGAGATCCGAGCAAGAGCTGGGAAATATCGTTCCACTGCATTGGATCCGCATGGGAGGATGGGAAAGCAGAAAGGAAGGAGTATATAAGATTGACAGGTTCCATGCGAGTACTTTCCACCGAGGAACCTTCCCTCTTGCCTCTCGCCAATCTAAGCGACACGCCAGTAGAAGTTAGACTCCTTCCCCGGCTACATCAAAATGAAGGGCCTCTTATCCGCTAGGCTTATTACTCTCGCTTCTTGCTTGGGTATAAGCGCGGTTACTGCCCAGGTCTTCGATCCGAACAAGGGCAGCTCATCGGGATGGGACCCAGCTGTAGTCGGAACGAATAAGACCACCAATGCTACCTTCTCGAATCCCGTCATGACTCTCAACATCGGAGATCCTTTCATGACCAAATACACTGCCGACGGCGAGGACTGGTATCTTTTCACGTATACGACTAACTCTAATATTACGTTGAAGCGTTCGAGATACCTCACCGACAACTGGGATAATGCCGAGAGCAGGGTCGTCTTCAACCCGGATCCTACCAGCGGAGAGCCGTGGTCGACAAGCCTGTGGGCTCCCGAGATTCACAACATATCCGGTTCTTGGTATATTATCTTCACTGCTACGTCTGACGGTGATAACCCACCGCCGCTCCTCGACGCCATGTGCCCGATTAATTGTCCCGTACGTGTTAACCTTGTAATGCAGTAATTCAGTGATTCAGTGATAAAGAGCATATATTTCAAATGAGGATTCAGGCACTAACAGGAAACTACCTAACAATAGGCAATTAACCATCGTATGTTCGTTCTTGCAGGTGATGGGCCCGATCCTTGGACCGCCAAATTCGAGATGAAGCCTATGCTGGATACTTACGATATGTTCGCTATCGATGGCACATATTTCCACTTCGAGGATAAACTGTACCATATTTACTCCTGCTGGGAGCAAAAGTATTCCTCGTGGCCGGCCAATTTGTGCATCACGCGCATGTCGGATCCGTGGACGATCAACTCGACGCTTTCCGAACGCCGGATCATCAGCATACCAAACGAGCCCTGGGAGCAAGTCCCGTACGGCCGTCCAATCCGACTCGCGACAAACGAGGGACCCCAGCAGCTCACGAACCCTAAGACGGGCCAGAACTTCGTCATCTACTCGGCGGCACGCGTTAACACGCCATTCTATTGTCTGGGTATGCTTGAGCTTGTTGGTAACGACCCGATGGAGTACCAATCGTGGAAGAAACACAAAGACGGATGCGTCTTCCATCAAAATACAGCGACGGGCATTTACGGTACGGGCCACGCGAGCTTCGTCTCTTCGCCCGACGGCTCCGAGGACTATATCGTATACCACGCGCAGACGACGCCGAACCCGGCCTCGGACCTATTTCGCACGGCTCGGATACAGAAATTCACGTGGAACGAGGACGGCACGCCTAAGTTTCCGCTCGCGGAGAATGGGCCCTTCCCTGTTCCTGCTGGGCAGCAAGCTCTGACGCATTAATAGACTATAAGAGTTATGATAGCCTACATGTATATATTAGCATAATAAATAATAGCGAATATTTTTTCTACATTAATGCACTTTCTATAATGAGCTAAAGAGCCTGTTCTATATACCTTTTCACGTCCGGATATTCGTATAAAATCCCCAGTATACATGATGCATCCCCCCGCTCCCAGCTCTGCTTCCATTTATACAAATATGCCCAAGTTTATATACACCTACAAATTAACCTAATCCTATCATCGCGTTTTGCTCGCCTATACTTTTTGAATATAATAGACACATCATACCAACCCCCACCATGCAACCATCACCGCACCAACAACCAACACCTCAGCAGCCCAGGAGCCCACCCCTTTCTTTGTCCTCAGTGACACCGCACCGCTCTCCGGCTCGACCTCCCCGGCAAACGCACCGAGAATATTCCCGCGCGGCCAGTACTCGCACGCAAGATACCAGCCGTAATTCCCAGGACACAGTTTCGCTCCACACCCGACATCCGTCGTATCGCGCCATACCAACTGCGTGAAATGCCCCGTCGCTTCGCTGAATCCCGGGTCGTCATAGTTATACTGCGCATCCTCGTTACCCCATAGATCTACGCAGTCTCCCGCATCAGAGCATCCTAGCGCTAGGTTTTCGCCGTAAGGACCTCCCGAGTGCTTCATGCGGCAGGTTTCTGTCTGGGAATGTGGCGACGAGGAAGAGTGCGAAGATAAGTAGCCCGAGGCGAAAGCCGCTAGGGTGTCGTTCCAGCGGACGGTGGAGGCGTTGTGGGCGGCGCGGTGGAAGTTGGTGCTGTTGATGATGGCGGAAGTGAAGGTGTCGTGGTTGATGAATGAGGGGGCTTCGCTAGGGATGGGAGGAGCGACTGTTATGACGATTACAGTTTGGCTGTTGACGAGGGGAACAAGAAGGAGGGAAGACAGGAGAAGAGAGGGTATGAGGGAGCCACAGGGGGATAAGGCTTTGATTGGTAAACGGGGGTATATAGCCACCATTGAGGCTATCGAGAGGTTGAAGATATTATCGTTATAAGTCGACGATGGATATCCAGCTTGCTAATTGATTTTCCCTTCTGGAGTAATGAGATAAGAAAACTTGGCAATTATAAAGTATATGGGTGATGTAATTGTAGGTATAAAACAAGGAAGAAGACAATACCAACCAACTGAACAAGAGAAATAATACTATGGTGACTTACAAAGGCTTTTTCATCCTAGGTACCTATCTTTAAAGGTGAACAAAAGAGTCCAGGTCGACCCTGACTACGACCCGGACTCACCTCTAAATGTTCCTTACCTGTTAATGACAATACGACTTCTAAGCGCGGGCGGCTAAGGAGGTAACTGGCGCTTCTCAGCCTATCATGAGTTGGCGCCACTGCTGAGAGGAAACATTTGGGGATAACTTCCTTGGCAGGGGAATTTTCTACAAGCTTATTGACAATTATTTTTAATTTTATTTTTTAATTTTTATAGTTGTTATATAGTTGTTATTATGAATGGAGTATCGTATCGTACCGTGCCTAACTTAAACCTTTACATCTCACTAGGTACCTAAGGTAGGTACCTAGTTAATAATTCCACAACCAATAGTTAACTTTTCTTTAAACACGATAATTTTCCCACCACGGTATTCAATACTCACAATACGCATCTCCCCTCTCACGGAATCAACACGCCCCTAAAGCGGGCCTTATTCGCCGCACACGACTCCATCGCCTTCGCCGCCTCCGCAAGCGGATACTTCTCAACCCAGCACTTCACACCATGATCGACGGAGAACCGGATCGCCTCCTCGGAATCCAGCGCGTGTCCGTTCGACCAACCGTGCACGGACAAGCTCTTCAGATTCATCAGCAGCGTGTTGAACGGCACGGGATCGTGCGGCGGGCCCAGCACCAGCAGCTTCCCGCCGGCCTGCAGCCCGCCGACTAGCGGGCTGATGGCAGCTGCGTTGGGCGCCGTGGACACGATCATCGCCGCGCCCCCTAGTGCTTGCAGCGCCGAAACCGGGTCCTCTTTGCTCGCGTCGATGTAGCTGTGCGCGCCGAGCTGCTCTGCGAACAGGCGCTTCGCGTCGCCGGAGCTGATGGCCACGACGTGGTACCCCATCTTGTTCGCGTACTGCACGGCCAAGTGCCCCAGGCCGCCGACGCCCTGGACCGCTACCATGTTGCCGTGCTCCACGTGCATCTTACGCATCGAGTTGAAGACGGTGACGCCGGCGCAGAGCAATGGTGCGGTTTCTGCTGGGTCTACGTCCGAGGGCACGCGCACGACGGCTTCTTCTCGAAGGAGCGTGTACTCGGCATATCCGCCGTCTCTGCTAACGCCGTTGATTTCCTGGTTATCGCACATTTGGAATTGGCCGCGAGCGCACTGGCGGCATGTCCAGTCGTGGCCTAGTTACTGGTTATTAGTCCTATTGAATTCCAGTAGTTATAATATGAGATATAATATGAGAAGGGGAAGAAAGAAACCGACCTCCATGCCATGGCCCACCCACTCGCTCTCCACCCTTAAACCTCGTCACGTTGCTGCCGATAGCAACAACATCGCCAACGAGCTCGTGCCCCGGTACGCGTGGATACACGTCGTCGCCGTACTCGCCGCGTTGCGCGCAGACGTCCGAGAAGCACACTCCGCAAGCGAGTATTTTGACGAGCACCTGGCCGGGACCCGGGAGCTTCAGCTCTCTGTCCTGGAATTCGATGGGCACGTTTTTCCCCGTCAGGACACCGGCCTTGAAGGTCTTTGGTAACGAGTCCGCCATTTTTCTTTTCTCCTTGGTTGATTTGCTGCTCTATGATAATAAAACGCCTTGCTGGATTGAGCAAGTACCTAGGTAGGTTAGGAGGTAGGTATTCGTTCCAACGGCGAGATAATATCTCCTATCTATCAAGAACGAATTAAGTTGGCGAGTAAACAGCTACGAAGACTCGAGGCTTAAGTTGAGGTAGTTATAAGACAATCACAACAAGACAAGACAAAGCAAGGCAAAGCTCGACCTTGGATATAACCTAATATAAGCGGACGACTGACCAGTAAATTTATATCCTACCTTACAACCAACTTTACACCCGGACCCGATTAACAGCTATGTACCATAGTAAGAGACACATGTCTCCGATAAAGCAAGTTACATACTTTCAACTTCCTTACTTACCTACCATGTAAGCTTATACCCGTAACCCACAGCCCGTTGATTGATCACCGAGCCAATAACAACAAAACACCTCCGGGCCCGTCCGTCACCACCATCGTCTCCACGCGGTGTGATCCGTGATACCGTGATGTCAGTGGTCGCCCCTCCCCCAAGCGACGTCGTACGGCAGCCCACACAGTCCACAGTCGCAACGTAGATCGGGTAAATTGCCCATCTCATTATTAGCATACCTACCTACCTATACATACCATGTCTGAGCAGCAAAAATCTGGGTCTCGGAGTGACGGAGTGGCGGAGTTGACGTCTCACCGGAACTGTTACGTGCTACGTATATTACATACGATAATTCATTTACCGCCTCAGCCTGCTTCTTTTTTTCTCTTTTTTTTCTTTTTTCGGATATAGGATTTAATCGATCAAGACAATGTGAACACGTATACGGTCTTTATTTCTATCTAGATACTTTCTCGCAAACACATTCCAACACCGCTACTACTATGCTCTTATTCAATTGCTTATTCTTAGACAATGATGCCGGTCTTATATAGGTCTCACGCACACACCCATGTACTAAGGTAGGTTACCTATCTAATAACGTTGGTATAAGCCGACATGACATGCAGTATGACAACAAGGTAATTTTATCAATTCTCCATTAATCTCCACTGGTATCAATCGCATTATAAACTTTTGTCCCATAGCTATCGCGCCCCTAAGATAGCCAGCGCTGCCTCCAGCTCTCTTACTGCCGTCGGCACATCCTCGAAATTCAGCGCTGAAATTGCCCACTTGGCGTGCTTCTGTGCTTGCACAATCGCCATGTCGTCAGTATTCAGCGCATTTGAGGACCCGCTGTTACCGCCGTACTGTTGCGCCGGGGCTACCGGCTGTGAAGGCTGTGAATAGTAACTTCGACTAGCTGGTTGTGCCTGGGGGGGAGCCTGCCTCTGTGGTGGTGTAGGCGCAGGACGATAGAAGTCTTGAGGCGTTGGGGCCGCGTTTGGTGGCGAAAAGGGAGCAGGAGGCAGTCCGGCTGGATCATGAGAACTAGGATTGGGTATTACGGGGGAAGCTCCTGCAGGACCGAAGGTGCTCGAGCCCGGAAGAGGCATGTTCGTCGTGGATGGCAGATTTAAGTCATTGTCTGGGGCACCGGGCGCGCTGGGAAAATAGGTTCCTGGGTCTGATGTAGGCGGACCGGGAGGCGCTATAGGAGACACTTGGTCGGGCCCTAATGCTGATGGAGCTGGAGGTGAAGTCGGCGCAGATACAGGCGCAGGGAAGGTTTGATAAGATCCAGTCGATGTTTGGTGTGGTCTACCATCTTCGTCGGGCGCATCCTCTACGCTCGCTGTTTTGGGATGTGCACCTCCAAACATCTGCACATCTGGGTCGTTCGGGTCCAGTGCCGGCGGCGCCTCTTCACGTTGAAGCTCTTCCTGTTTCGGGTTTGACTCGTTGGGATCCTTCCCCTCTTTGATCGCCTTCAGTATGCGGGCGGCATTCCACTTCGCGTACTTGACCTTCTCTTGAGTCTCCGGATCGGGTGTTGCCCAGATGTTAATTAGTTGGAAGAAGGTCGCTGCGGCCTCGAATGTACTCGCTGTCTGCCTATATTAATTGTTAATTTGTATCTATAGGAAACGCGTTGCTCTTAAGTATATCATACTGTGTGACTTTATTGGCTTTCAGCGGTCGCAGCGCTCTCTCGAAGGTCTCTTGCGCAAACTGCTCCACGTACGCTTGACCAGCCACATCGTCGTGGATCGCATCGTTTCCTGCCTGATCCTCCTTGATCTACACGAAGACAGAACCTGGTTAGCGCATCGTGTCTAGGAGCAAGTGATAAATATTCTGTTATCTTACATTTTCGAGTTTCTCCATAAGATTCGTAGTAAAAAGGTGGCATTCTTCGTCGGCCGAATGTAGGTTTTTACCAAGGATCTGATTCACAGCCCAGTAGAAGCCTTTCGGATCGCGACGTTAGCAAGCAGAACTCATATTGATACGACGGCGGTAATTAGACTTACACCAATAAGCTATAACAGGTTTCGCGGCTTCGAGTTGCGTAGCGCGCACGATGAAGGGCGTGATGCCCGCTTGTTTTAGCTTCTGGGGTATGTTGGCCGCCATCGTAGACGTATGGGGTCTCCCTTAAGAAGCACAGTTGAGGTCTGACAGATTAACAGGTGCTCAAGGCGTATTAAGTGAGCTAGAACCCAGGTAGTATATAGACCGTAGGTAGCTATCAACGGATCTTAATTTACGGCCGAATTAGGAGGAAACTTATTGGGAACAATTTTCGGTTTGTGCTATGTATAGCAAGTCCCTCGATATCCTCGGTGGTGGTGGTGGAATGAGAAGTAAAATTGGTGACAATGTGAAGGTTTAAAGTCAGGACAAAGTCGAATCTAGCCACTATGTAATGCGCAACTTGCATCAGGCACGACATTCCAAAACCCCGCTGAAGTCATATAGTTCCCCACTGTTGCGGGCAGCTTCGGTGCTAGGTATTCCTCCAAGATAAGCTGATAAGAAGAGAGCTCGCGCCACAGATATATGGATCATACATTCTCTAGCCACAATGTACCCCAGATTCTCCCATCCAGCCAATCACTTCCCCTTGTGAAAGCGGGACAGAGGGGCTTGCATATTAGCGTCTTGGTTCTTCAACGAATTGAATCGAATTTCCACGGTGGCCTTTTGCTCGATTTAGTAAGAAGAAGAAGACAGAAATTCATTTAAGCTTCACCTCTGTCCCTATCGTGTGACGCCAGTGACCGGATGATCTGTCAGGAAACATCTTACGGTTTGATATAGTGAACTCTTTCTTTTCATCTACATAGCCTACCCTGTGATTCTTACATTCTCAAGTCTTATATTATTCCCTGCTTTGTTCCATCGTAAGATCTTTTACACTACTAGGACAGGGCCATGCACGCCTTCAATATCAACCCCACTACAGCAATTGCTGCGGTGGCTCTGCTCTCCGCCCTGCCGACCGCCCAGGCTGGCTTATATCTCAAGAGCTCACCCGTAGTCCAGGTAGACGCCAAGAATTACGACAGGATAATCAACAGATCAAACCATACTTCTGTAAGTATAACTAGTTATATCGTTATACTATGGAATTGACCAATAAGTCCAGCATCAACTAATGGGTTGTATTCTACCTAGGTTGTCGAATTCTATGCGCCATGGTGCGGCCACTGCCAGAACCTCAAGCCCGCCTATGAAAAGGCAGCTAAAAACCTTGAGGGTCTCGCCCAGGTCGCCGCCGTAAATTGCGACGAAGATGAAAACAAGCAGCTGTGCGGCATGATGGGCGTCAAGGGGTTCCCAACGCTCAAGACCGTCCGCCCGGGCAAGAAGGGGAAGCCGATCGTTGAAGATTACAATGGTCCTCGAACCGCCAAAGGCATTGTGGATGCGGTTGTCGACAAGATCAACAACCACGTAAAGCGCGTAACCGACAAGGACCTCGATTCCTTTCTTTCCACCAAGAACGACACGGCTAAGGCAATTCTATTCACGGAGAAGGGCACTACGAGCGCTTTACTAAAGAGTATCGCTATTGACTTCCTCGACGTCATCACCGTTGCGCAAATTCGAGACAAGGAGACTAAGGCGAATGAATTATTTGCTATCAAGTCCTATCCTACTTTCGTATTACTACCTGGTGGCGACAAAGAGAGCATAGTATACGAGGGGGATTTGAAGAAGGATGATATGGTCAAGTTCTTGTCGCAAGCTGGCCAACCAAACCCGAACGCGACATCCGCCAAATCAAAAGGGGAGAAGAAGGCCGAGAAGAAAGACAAGAAGGCATCTCCCAAATCTTCCGAGTCCAGCTCCAAGACTACCTCGACCGAATCAGAAGAGTCTACTGATGCTCCTCCTGCCGAAAAGTCCGTCGAGGTCGAGGTCCCGGTCACGGTCGCGCCCCGTATCCCAGCTATCACCGAGGCGGACAGGTTAACTCAGGAGTGCTTGAACCGAAACGCTCATACCTGTGTCCTTGCCTTCGTGCCCTCTGCTCACGGAGAGCCCGCAGAAAAGGCATTGACTAGCCTAGCCGAAGTGGCATTCAAACATACCCTCGCCCAGCGCCACTTATTCCCCTTCTTCGAGGTTCACCACGACAACGAAGCCGCCGAGTCGGTATTCAAGAGCTTAGGACTGCCGGGCGAAGTTGAGATTGTTGCTATCAACGGCAAGAGAGGATGGTGGCGTCACTACGAGGGAGATTTCAGCTTTGAGAGTGTTGAGGGCTGGATTGACGCTATCCGTCTTGGTGAAGGCGCCAAGGAGAAGCTGCCGGAGGGCGTGATTGGCGAGGTCGCCGAGGAACCGACAGAGTCTGTTGAGGTAAAGATTGAGGAGGATGTTAAGGTCGAGGTCGAGACCGAATCTGACACGCCCACTAAGGGTGCCGAGCCGACTCCTGAGGCTACACCCGCAGCGGAATCGAAGGAGGTACCCAGGCACGAAGAACTGTAAGTAGGGGCTTTAGGTTAGTATAGCTAGTACCAATTTTTAGTTTCGATCGGGTATATGTAGTAATAAAATAAAAATGCCATATTAAATTTCCTGACAAAGGTCGACTTACCCGCGAGTAAATGAGCCTCCAACCTGAACACCTGTCATATCCTATACCGCCAATCCAGACTCCCTCGTAATTCTCTCCTCATTCTATTAACCGGCCTCCTTCAACGGAACCTAAACATCAATATCCATAGCCATACTGGCGCCCTTCTCTACCGCCCCTTCAGCTACCATCCTACGTCCCTTATCCCTCACAACCGAGTCCAGATACGCGCGTATATTCGCACAACCGTCCGCCGCCGCGACCATCATTCCCTCCAACCTACTAACCTGGACTCTGCTCTCGCAGACAAGTACGGAGACCTTGTCAGTAGCGCCCAGAGTGCCGACCGTCAAAAACGGCAATTCTTGTTCTTCCTGGTTGTTTAAGTCAATAAGCGGGTCCGCGCTCTCGTCAGCCGCCGAGTGCGAGGATGTGCTGCCCGCGCTGCAAGCGACTAAGTAATCTGTCATAGGCACGCCGGCATCGACGAGCGCGAGAGTCGCGGCGTTGATGAGGCAGGCCAGAAGGCTGCCGTCTTGCGACAGGATGTGTAGGGATAGTGATATAGTAGAGCGCGGGAATAAGTGCGTATGTAGGACCGCGGCGAGGGATTTGGCGAGGGTAGCTTGGAGTTCTTGGATGCGCCTGTTCGGACACGGCCCGTTAGCATTTGTTGTCTCCATTCCATGTCTGACTATCCAGACTAGACTAGACGCTCGTTCAAGGAAGTGAAGTGACATACTTATCGCTCCTTGCTCTCTTTTTCCTATCCACTGTACTAAACCCGCCGACAACAACACTAACCAATATATCCGCAGCATTGGTCGCCGAAGCGGAAGTCGACGAGCCGGAACTAGCGGCGGAGGCAGAGGAGGCGCCTTGGTTGCGTCGCTTACCGTCTTCGCTGGGGCCGGTAACCACGCACATGATTTTCGTGTTGCCCATTTCGAGGTACGAGGATCCGTCAGCCGCGGCTTGCGTCCGGATCTGGCCGCGTAATTGGCGCAGCTCATTCCATCGGCGGCCGTCGATGCGCAGGAGCGCGAGGTTATAGGTTGATGTGTCGAGGGGCATTTTTCTTTTCTTTTCTTTTTTCTTTTTTTCCGTTTAAACCTTCTCTATCTTCCCTCTTCCTTTGCTACTTCCAAGGGGCCTTCAAGTGAATTCGTCGATGAAGTTACTATTCGGTAGATGCCTAACTCGTTAATCGAAAGTTCAAGTTGACTGATTCGACTTTATTTGTCTTGGGTTTAAAATTATTTGTTTGTTGTCAGTTGTAAAGTTGTAAAGCACCTGAGCTCGATTTGCCCTGTCTAACCGTTAGAAATTTTTGGTGGGGTTCTGTGCTACCTTCCCCAGACGAAGGCCCAACTTTGCAGCTACCTCCAACTTACCCAAAAAAGGATAGTTACTACCTAAATATAAAGGCATGGTACCTATTGTACCTTAGATGAAATCGTATGGGTATCCAGTACCTGTCTCATTTATACTACTCCATACTCAATACACATACATATAGAAATAAAAGGTCTAACAATATTTCGAAAAGACTTCAATTTTGTACATAACTACTTGGGGATAAAATGACATAATCCATAACATACAAGTACAATGGATAATACATAACTAGGTAGTTTTCATTGAAACGCTATTGATTCCGTCCGATGTCGCTACATTGCCCATAAGAGAGGTGAATTCCATACGCAAGATAGGCTGCCATAGCCATCGCTACAGTAAAGAATAGTAAGGAACAAACAATTAGCCCTTCGCCACTGACTTTGTAACTATCCTTACCATTTGCCTATTCGAATTTGAGCGAGTTATAGTACTTTCGACGCAGAATCCACGTAATTGGCCTACAGTGCGACCATAATATCTGTATTGCCGTGATCCTTAAGAAGGGGGGCGTTGAGGTCCAACGCGGGAGGTGGTTCTACCTCATCCGCATCAGTCCATCCTCTCTCTTTACCCCAGAGAATCTTCAATCCCCGAGATTTTACCACGTCAATTAGCCCGCGCATGAGCACGCCTGACTTCTTCACGTTGAGCCAGGCTTCGAACTCGATCCGTTCGACCCACGGCATCTCGTCGAGAACATTAGTTAGCAGTGACTTCGAGAATCGCTCATAGAAGTTGTCCGGCTGGCGGAATCCCTTAAAGAAATCGTTTCCCGGGTCGCATTCGACGTAGACCGTGATCTTGGTGATATTTACACAGTCTGATAATCCCAATGCAGGGTTTACTACCCAACCGCGAGGAGGGCTACTCCAGCCTGGACCCAAGCGCAACTCGAGAGAGGTCAAGCTGGCTCGTTGACACGGCTTCATACGGGCCAGAAGCGGCTTTTTGGTTTTGAAATAACGTCCGGGATGCGTCGGAAAGATGCGAACGGGGTGCGTACTGTAGAAAAAATAAGAGGCTTCCCGATATATGGTACTACAGGATCGCAGAATAGCTAATTTTTGGTGGATCTTCTTGTAGTTGTCCGGATCAAGGTCAAGTACTCCGCCGGTGTTAGCGAAATGGTAACCGTAGACCTTCAAGCGCAGTTCGGATGGTAGATCGAGGAATCGAAAGGGCTGCGGTTTCTCTCGTTTCGGTTTACGTAGGTTTAACGCTGATGTACCTAACGTGAGGGCGCCGATCGGTAATTTGGATACCTCGTCGCTAACATCGTATTCGGCTTCGGAAGCGTAGGTCGAAGAACTGAGATGAGTAGGAAGGGCGGAAGAGATAGGTGTCGGACCCGAGGCATGTCCTACAGCCCGCGAGCCCTTCGCTTTGCTAGGTTTATGGCGCATTCTGTATATAATTATGTATATATCGAGTTACTTCTGGACTGCAGATAGTATACAATGTGGCGACTCAAGCAACGCGACGAAACTGTTGTCACGCGATAGTCGATATAGGTTTTTAAGAGGCAATTCGAGGTGAGGAGGAAGGCTCCGAGCTAGGATCGAATTTGCAAAGATTCGCCCCCTACTTAGTTTAGGGCAATTGGTGATTAAATCGAAGTACAAGGTGGCATCCCGAGGGTGGTGCCATCGCGATATACTTCAACGATTGCGACCACCCTCTAGAACGCAGCACTCGTGGCTGCCATGTTGAATAAATAAGGAAATTGGTCGTATGTAGCGTAATTCATAAGAGGGTTGAGTAGTTATGACAAATAGGCTAAGAATACGCAGCCAGATAAATAGGAGATATCAATTGCCTTAGAGCGACGAGAGGGGGGAAATACCGGCAGAAGAAAAACGGAGGGAAGAATGAATAGTGAGTACCTAAGGTAGTGGAAGAAGGTATTGGTGGTACCAGTGGTGGTAATTGGAAAAAGAGGAAAGAGGTTGAGTCGATTCGATCTAATATTGGCCGGAGCAAAGTGAATGTTCAAGGAAGTCTTACTACGAATGGTCAGATCGGATTCGCTGATGGCATTACTATGTAGGTCGATAATTGGCTAAAGTGGGGTCGAGTCAAGTGATTCGGGGAAGACGGATCAAGGGTGGCGGGGTCCCAATTTTCCCAAGTGGACCGGCATACCTATACCCAAATTAGGCTTAGAAGTACCTAGGTAGTTGATGAAAGTCTTTTTAAAGTCTTTTTAAGAAGGCCGCGACAGAAAGTCAAGGTATATGTCTTATCCCCGTTCCTATGTCAACTATATAAATAATCTCATTGAAAGTTCTGTAGACTATGTATTTGTATAAGAATGTTACAATCTGAAAAAGCCAACATCAAAACCTCCAATGACGTGATGTGGGGCATATACAAAACGGAGAAAATAGACGCCGATGCACGGAGTATCCGAGAATTGAGATACCTATCCCGGTACAGATTCCATCCCATTGACGCTAGGGTGGTACAAAACTTACCTAACCTACGTAGTGCGGGCAGAACTTCGGTAACTAACAGAAAAATTTGGAGTTCGGCTTCGAAGGTTTTATCTTTTTATCTTTTTATCGTGCTGCGGTAATCGAGCAGGGTCAAGCTCTAGGGTGTGCTTTAAATTTTCCCACCAGCTGTTATTCAATCTTCTCCGTCCCTTCTTTTCAACGGCAACGGAGGAGTCTCTGGTCTATAGCCCGTCCCGCGTCCCGGTGTGCAAAGTTTGGGATCCGTAATACGCATCGACGACGACGACGATAATTACCTAAAGTCATAAGTTGCTTGACCTGCGCAATACGCAATACGCAATACGCAATACGCAATAAGATCGGCAACCCGACGTCATGTTGTCTAGAGCCCTCGCGCACTCTGCGCGATTACCAGCGCTCTCAAGATCAGCCATAGCAGCTCCAATATTTTCCAGAGTTTCTAGCAGAGCAATTCCAATCAGCCGGACAACTCCGATATGGGTGCGAGGTATGGCTGAGGACCGATCTCAAAAAGAGCCACCACCAAGTACGAATTCAAACCCTCAGTCCACTCCCAACCAACCTTCGCCGGGCGCTGCTCAGTCGCAACCTGCGCAACCTTCTGAAGGCGCCGAGCCCGACCCCCCTACTCCTAAACCCGACCTAAACTCCCTTCCCGATCTCACGCAAGGTATTCCGTCAACTCTCGAGTATGAGACGAGCGGCGCTACCGACAAGTCGGCGCTTACAGCCATCGAGGAGACGCCTGAAACCCACGCTGGCGGCCGTGGTCGTGGAGAGTTACCTGCGTCTGCGTACGTAAGCTCAACAGAGAAGCGAAGGGTCAAGGTAGCTAATCGCATGTACGCCGCGTCTCTCGCACTGGGCATTGTTCTCTTGGGTTATCTGGGTCGAGACTGGGACGAGGAGGAAGCTAAAATGCATACCGATATCCCCAACGGCTGGTCGCTTGGGCTATGGTGGAAGAGAATGATGGCTCGATTTGGTGACGTTACAAGTTATTATAGCGAACCCGCCTTCGAGAAGCTATTACCCGACCCCGATCCCATGTTCGAACGACCTTACACGCTCTGCATTAGCCTTGAGGATATGTTGGTACATAGCGAGTGGACGCGAGAACATGGCTGGAGAATTGCAAAGCGCCCTGGCGTGGATTACTTCCTACACTATCTCAGCCAGTACTACGAGCTGGTGCTGTTTACGAGCGTTCCTTTCGCTATTGGAGAACCTATAGTTCGAAAACTAGATCCTTTCCGATTCATCATATGGCCCTTATTTAGAGAAGCCACCAAATATAAAGACGGAGAGATTGTTAAGGTTAGTTCTATTCACTTTCCACAACCGTGTTCGTTTGGTGTCACTAAAACGTAGTCCCTAAGGATTTATCCTACTTAAACCGCGACCTCTCTAAAGTCATTATAATCGATACGCACCCTGAGCACGTTCGGGACCAACCCGATAATGCGATTATACTTCCACCGTGGAAAGGAGATCCGAAGGACAGGGAACTTGTGGGATTAGTTCCGTTCCTAGAGTATATTCACACTATGCAATATAAGGATGTACGCGAGGTTCTTAAGTCCTTCAAGGGCAAGCATATCCCAACCGAGTTTGCGCGCCGAGAGGCGATAGCGCGTGCTGAGTTCCAGAAGCGGTACGACACCGAGAAGAGGAAGCGGAAGAGTGGGATAGGCGCTCTGGGAAATATGCTCGGGCTAAAACCGAGTAACATGAGCCTCATGGTCCCTCCAGAAGGCGAAATTAGCCCGAGCGAAGCCTTTGCGCAAGGCAAGATGCTACAGGATATCGCGCGGGAGAGGGGTCGACGCAACTACGAAATGATGGAAGAACAGATCCGCGAGAACGGCGAGAAGTGGCTCAAGGAGGAACAAATGGCAAATGAGAAGCTCCAAGCCGAAGCTATGAGCAGCATGAAGTCGTCTTTTACAAATTGGTTCCTACCCGCGAAAGAGTCGGCAAATTCTACGGAACCTAAGAAAGAGGCGTAGAAGAGTTAGGAATGAATGTAATCTACGAAAAAAAAAATGTATGATATGGAGAACGCTCATTGGGGGGCGTCGAATTGGTTGCATCAAGGTCGTATAAGAGGACTATGAGAACAGCTACTGCTACCACCATTACCACCATATTACCCCGGAACGAAACTCTACTCTAAAGCGGCGGCATCACATTTGCATGGGACGGATTGTATCAAGATATGGGAAAGTCTACTACAGCTACGAGTAAAGAACAAGGTGCTCATGTCATATCCGGGGGTGTCCCCGGAGGAAAAGGGGGACGCCTCGGAGAAGGAGAGAAAGACGAGGGATACACGCCGAGATAAAGCCTAATCTCTGTATTATTGTAGTATAAGTGAGCGACACGAGGCTTGCCTGCCCGGCCTCAGATTGCGGTGTATAGAATCCATCCAGCAGCTTCGAAAGAATCTTCCAAGAGGACATGTCGTCATCATGTGATGTTGTGATAATAAATATTTTGTGTCGTGTCGTTTGTTTGTTTGTGTTGCGGTCACCCCTTATTACCGAAATAACAAATAAGATGTAAATTTGATCTCAGACTTCCAGAAAGTGTACGTAGCAAAGTGAAATAAATATCCCATCGCCGCCCATCATTATAGCTAGCTGTCATCCTTTTAGCCTTCCTTTCAAGCAGTATCTCCCTATTGTTGTTGCTCGGCACGAAGATAGACAATAATAGGGGGTGGGTGGCTATTTTAAGCCTTCGACGATGACGTTGGGCCCTCGTCGCCCCAAGCGTTGTGATCACGACACCATTCACAACTCGAGTTGGTCTCGCATTGGAAATCGCTACGATAGTAAATTAGTATGCTATATATATATATGACTAAAGTAAGAAAACGAAATAGGGGAGTAAAAGGTTAGTCGTACTCGTCCTTGCACTTGCAGTACTCCTCGATCGAGGCGCAGTCCGGCGTATTACCGGCAGCCGCAAACTCAACCGGAGTCGGCGGGGTCCGGGCTGTGTTAGACGGGACGGCCACGGCGACCACACCACCGCAGATGGCGAGCGCGAGGGCGAAGAAGCTTGAAGAGTGCATTTTTCGTTGTTGGGTGGGTATATGGGAATAACACAGAATAAGATGTAATGTGGGTTTGGTTGCTTTGACGAGCAAAGTTCTCAATGGCTTGGCTTACATATGAAGATCTATAGTTATATTTATATAAAAAACTAAGACTACCTATCTGTAATGTCAAATATAGCTTCATAATTATTAAGATCCAAGCCGACTTCGTATGAATCTTAGCCGAGAGTAGCACACATTTCCCCCCTCTTAGTCATAAGCGATCTTCGTTTACGGCAAGTAAACGAAACGGGCTGGTTTGGTAGACGGGGGCTCCTTGTACTCGCCGACTCTGACTCAAGCCCTGACAGGCTAGGTACGTGAAACGGAAGCAATGGTAGAATAGTTACAGCAGAGATAGCGGCGGGATGAATATGGGACTAACAAACATATTCCGTGGTCTTCTACCGCAGGACTTTTTCACCGCTATTTATTATACATAGTACGGGATTACGGCAGATGTTGTAATCTCTCACAAGGTATCGTGTAGGTATTGTACATTTCCCCTTCTTTCTTTCGGGTATTCTTCCTCCCTCCCTCTCAAGCCGCTCGCTAAGCAAGCAATGGTTTCGAAGAATCCTAGGGAAGCCTGCTTGCTACACGGCAAGCAAGTACAAACAGAAATCGTGAGTTATCCAGCTATCCAGCCATAGTACGATACAACCCATGTGGACGAGCTCTCCTCGTGCTCATCATAATTATTGTGAAGCCATTCTCGCGCCGCACAAGGGAAGCGAACCATGGATGAGGATCTTTGTGGGAGCAGGCAAACCAAAAAAATTACTTTGAAACAGGAGTATCGTACGCCGATGGAGACCTACATCGGTATAAAGCCGTTATTGTGACTGACTACACGAGTACAAAACGTTTTGTGCAACTAATTTGGTTTGTCGGTATGTTAGCTATTTAGAAAAAGTAGACTAATTTCAGGATTTATTGGGAGTTAAAGTAACCGCAGGATACAAATAACTTTAAACTAATAGTTAAGTGTCCTTTGACTTATGTAGGGCATAATATTGATTTCAAAGCAAGTCATAGTGACGTTGGTAAAAAATGAATATTTTACACCTCTTCTACGAATCTTGTGAGGGTTTCCTTAGGGTAATGGAAAACGTGTTTTACACTTTTAAATAAAACGATGCTCAATATTAGGTACTCTATGTAGTTAGAATAGGAGAAACAGGGGATAACTAACTACCTCTTTAAGTACTGAAATATAAGATTCCCCTGGTCTTCTGTTTTTGAAATAAAATAAATATTCCTCCTATACTAGATTCACCCAACGCGGCCTGAATCGAGCCAAGAGATCAACAATTTCAGCGACATACATACCTCTTTTCATAAATCTTCGGATAATGAGCCTAGCTACCTAGCTATCCATAATCCCCGAAACCATGTCGGCACAGCACTTGTAAGTAAAGCCTCTAGAGCAGCGGAAGCAGGAAAGAGCACACAAAAGCCTTAACCCCCTTCCTTCATCCCGTACCTCATCCATCCATCCGTATCACCAAAACTCCGGCCTAGAACAATCCAAAGGTTGACTACCTACATAGAGACGAATTAGAAAGCCAATGTGCTACCTACCAATCCTGCGGTAGCACAACGACGACTCAGATCAAGACCACCCACCCATCCAACCCCATCCCTCGATCTTCGCGATTCACTTCTAAGCGCCCAACCCCCACATCTCCAATCTCTCCTCTCACCTGGGAGCGACGCCATGCCATGACACCAAACAAAGGGCAGATGACTAAGTGGCTGCCATACACGGCCTGCCTGCGTACCTATGCATGCGCGCACAAAGTACGCCCATCAGATCTACCGAATGCACGTACGTAGGTATCCGTGTCGCCAAGCAGGGCGGCGTTCCACGTCGATCGGATCATGTAGCCTTCCGCCACCGCCGGCTTGACGCCTGTAAGGAACAGCATACACATACACACCGTGTACGATCTAGATTACCTCCTTGGGTGGGTAGGTACCTCTTACCGAGATTAGATTCTAGACGGAAAGAAAAAAAACGGATACGAGCAAGAAACATCAACATACATCCTCAAGTCATTAACATAATTATAATGGCTCTTCTCTCAGACACATCGCCATCTTACGCGGCCAGGCAAACAATTTGCCTCGTAGCGATAGGTGGTATCTTCAATTCCGATTAAATACTAGGTGTCCCGGTCCCCATTTCGCCACGCGCCCGCCATCTCCAGATCGAGGAGCCCCTCCTCTGAGTTTTATGTACAAAGATCTAGATATACACCGGCCCCTTTACCCCCCTCCCCTCCCAAGCTGTCGTATGGTACATGACCGTCGTCAGAAGTTATCTCACATGACTAACGCCGCTTTAACCCCCCCTCGAATAAACATTCAAAATGCCAACTAAGGTTCTGTTGTTGGTAATAGCAAATGCGCGCTCGTGAGAGATAGCGAAACTTCATCTAGACGCCCGCGTCACCCGTAAATATAAACACTCTGGATCGCTTGCAAAATTGGGTGACAAATTCGGTATAAAATGTTATTTTCAAGTACCGCTGACCCCATCTGAAAAGAGAAGTAATGGCCACTGCATAGTGGCTGTAGTAGTCGCAGGGGTCCCGTTGATAGGTACTGCCATACCTAGCCCGTTGGCTCCGGTGCCGTCGACATGTGCACCGGGTCTCGGATCGGAGTTACCTAGGGACATCAGGGCGGTGGCGCTATATCTCTCCTGGTTGTCTACGATGGCGGCCGTCCAGTCCTGCCAGGTATTTCCTCCCGAAGGCTGCTGCCGCCACATTATATGTGCTGGTTGCGTCATCTGCGTTGTTTGCGTAGCAAACGTTGCAAGTGGATTGTGGTCCGTTGCTTGGACTTGTGCTTGCGCTTGTGCCTGCGCCTGTGCTTGGGCGTGCGCGTGAGCATGAGCCTGCGCTTGAACGACGGCCACCTGCCCAGCTGCTTGCGCGTATAGGAAAGAATGGTTCGGGTCGTAGGCGATAGAATTGGTTGGATGTGTAGTAGAGTCGGCGTACGAAAGCGAAGGGTATGTCCCCGACTCGGAACCTGGTTCTGTGTAGTAATTGTTGCGCTGTGTTGGGATGACGTGGCTTGCCGAGCCATTTACCGACTCTGTATCATTATGGCTGGGGTTAGAATCCGGTGCCGTAGGTAGACTAACATAAGCTGGCGAGTGTGGGGACTGTTTAATAATGTCTTGTGATAAAGGTGATTGCTCAGCAGGCTCGCTGGCCTTTTGAATCTGAGCGTGCTCTATCCAGGTGATGGTGCGGTCTATGATGGAGGATACCGCATCATGGAGACCCATACCACAGTCTATAATAGTAGGCACGCTATTAGTAACTTATGAAAACGAAGCCGAATTATAAACTTACCCATCATACTGCCAGTCTCGGCGAGGAGAGTTAACCATAGCTTCATATCCTCACGAAGGGCTTGGACCTCAGCCACGTTAGTCTCATGTCGCCTCTCCCAGTGCGCAACTAAGGTCGAAAATATCGCTGTGACGTATATAGCAAGACAATACCACGTGGTGTCTAGAGACTTTAATCTATACAGTTTATAGAGGATTCCAAGCAAAGCTTTTGCAGTATCTTCACATATCTTTGTGTTTTCGGCTATTATTTTTGAATTATTTGCTGTACAGGCGGCCGGATGCCGTAATGTGATTCCTAGAACACTCTGATTAGTAGCTGCTATATAGAGAATGCCCCAAGGGAGTGAGCTTCAAGGGATAATTTATATGACTGAATAGAAAACTGCGGAATATAAATCATAGGCGGTTTGTTGTTAAGCGTTTAGGGGCGCTTACTGAATTCGAGGGCCATATATTCGGCGTAAAGAGCAAACATAGATTGGTCATGCTCAGATTGCCCCATGCTACGGTACTTTAGGCCGGGAGGGAGATTTTCTCTCCACGCTTCGAGCTGTTCTTCGAGCGCCTCAACTACGGGAAGATATCGGTTTGGATCCTTTCTTGCGCAATATATGTTCGCAAACATCTCAAGAAACAACGCAGATATTCTGAAGGCGGAGACACCAATCTCATAGCGGCACGTGGCTGTTCTTGTGGTATCAACTCCATCCTCGGTCAGGAGCTCATCTGGTATCGTCTCTGGAAATTCAGTATCGATATCTTCTAACCGAATAGGCATAGGACGTCCCATTCGGCCGTTTAGTGTTACAGCTGTCGAAACAATAGCCCACCATATCCGCTTTCGAAGCTCATTTTCAAGGTTAGTTTCCTCGCCGGGGCTCTTCCAGGCGCGGTGCAAGTTAAGTTCGATAGCCATAGCTAGAGTATAGTTGCTTAACATGTTACTAGTTGTAGACTTAGGGAACCGCATTGTGTGTACACAGAGCATAGCTAAGGCTTGAACGTCGTAGAGGGTCTTGGATGTGGAGAGGTCGAAAAATTTGCTTAAAGCAAAGTGATAATGTTTATTAGATAGGTCGTTTAGGCGAGCCCTCTGGTCGGGCTGTTCCCGGTTCCGTATTCCGTATTGGAGGTATATCGAGGCAAATACTAGATGAATCATGGTAGTTTCGGCTACAGTGGGTTTGAAATTAGGGTCGTCATAAAGACGCGATAGCTGAGGCGATTATTTAACTTGAGTCTAAATCAAATTTAGGTATAGCAATGTGTACTTACGAGTGTCATAAAGGTGGGCTTATGTAGGATTGGGTGGAAGGGGTAAATCATAAGGAAATACCATTCGGCATACGTGAAAGCGTCATCTCTAGGAGGATAGTCGACGTGCAGTGCCGGGTTGATATTCGTAACAGACTGCAACATAGCCTGGGCAGATTTGTTGTAAACTGGAGTGTGAGCTGGAGCATCAGGAGAGGGCTCATCCATGTCCGGCGCATCGAACGATCCGATATCTATGGTGCTTCCAAGAATTGATAAAGTCGTGCCTTTGATGGAACTCAGAGGAGCCTGATCCGCACCGACGCCTATGTGAGTGTCTGTCGGCCTCGGCTCGACGGCGGAACGCAAAGTGCTTGCGTAGGGTATACTAGAGAAACGACTTCGATCCTTCGTCCAGACAGACGATCCGGGTTGGTTCCACTGAGTCTTTCCTATGGGATCTGATATCTGACCGCTTAGATTATCAATGCCCTCATCAGCAGAGCTATTGGCTGAAGAGAATGAACGCGAGTGTTTAATTTCAACGCCATTTTGATAAAGCAGCTTTTCCAATTCTCGAATATGATTTAACATGTCTGTCTTCTCACGTTCCAACTGTTGCATATATCCTCTTCGCTCCGTCCGGCCCGTGACTCGGTCTGTCACGTAACATTCGAGGTTCTGGTTGATGCAATGCGAGCAGCCCTCGGGAAGGGCATCGCAGCGGATCTTGCGAACCTAACGTGATCTATGTTAGATCTCGGCTGATTGGTATTGGTATTGGACAAAAGAGTAAAGAAGCACGGCATGGCTAAACTCGACGAACGGTGAACGGTGTCGTTGGAGGGGGGATTCGGTACAACAGTTGTCTCTCGTTCTCTCGTTCCTCCTTTATTTCTTTCTCTAACGTAACCGGATGTTGATGTTCAGATTAGAAACATACCTTACACCGGTCGCAAGCTTGTCCGGTTCTTGTGTAGGATTGAAGCTTGCTCTTTACGACGCTCGAGAAATCGCTGGGAGCGGTACGGTCGCGGTCTAGGCGAGGCAACTTGCATTTGGCGGCGCCATCGGGAGGGTCGAGGTCGGTAACGTCACCAGGCCGTTTCGGCGGACGGCCTGGAGGCATGGCGACACGAAGCTTTGTAGGCCCGCGATTAAAAAAACAAAAAAAAAAAAAAAACCTACAGACCTACAGACCTACAAGACCTGCGGTTCGTTGGCGCACAATGGTTGGAGCTTGTTTCGCGACAAATCGAAAATGGAGTTTCCCGAAACTCTAAGACCGGATCGACTTGGGGAGGGCCTTACCTAATAAGAGCTTAGCAGGCAGGCAGGTTAGGTAGCAGGAGAGGGCAGTAACAGCCAGGAGGCAGTCCAAATTCAGTGCAAGCACTCAAGTCTCAAGGTACGCAATGCAGGCGTGCATGTATTGCATGTACAATACATATGTACCTATATTAGCGTACATTATGTACATCTTACCCAGATAAGGGTGCATATTGTACATGTGTACATATAGTAGACGTACATATACAGTAATGTTCTCCGTACACGGACTTTGAATTGGAACATTGAAGTCTGTTAATCTGAGTCTCAACTCTAAAAAGAGCTTAATCCGAATTAGCTCTATGTGCACAGCCTCCCCTTATCAAGTTTATTTTCAAGTTTATTATTTATCGAAGTATAGATAGATGGAATACGAAATGTTCATTATAGAAAATGTCAACGAGGAAACGGAATGTGCCGCTGTTCTCGGCCTTGATTCCAAAAACCGTCGCTCATTATTCAGATCGAACGGGTCTCAACCAACGATACGGAGATGACGGGACCACGGGGAATTTTGATTTTAATTGTTAGTGATAGCAACGCAGGGTGGCAGTCAGGGTGCCATTAGGGCGTCTGCTTGTTTCATTCGTCATTCGTTATCCGCCGTGAAAAACCTCCACCTAAGAACGACATGTCTGTTTCTGCATACCTCGTGCCAGCCAGGACGCAAGGAGCCGACCAAGTCGGGGTTTTGTCTAAAACCAGGAACCCGATCGATGTTTGGAGAGTACGTGCGAGTGCGAATCCGAGCCTCATCAGCAGACATACAAAGCTTCAAGCCTCTCGATCGAACCATCCTGCAAGTCAAGAAATGTATTCTATCGGTAATCGGATTGGAATTCCAACGACAGCCGATTATGACGGACCTGTGGCTTACCAGGGAGATGAACCTCATACGATACGGATTGCTTAGAAAACAAAGTCAGGTCATAAGATTAACAACATAATTAGGTATAGTTGTCATATGCTATATTAACTTTGGAGTTATAAAATTGCAGTTAAAAAAAGAGGAAACTTTGTTATATAAAGTTCCAGTTATACAAAACAGCTACCTATGCTAGCGTCCTTCAGGAGCCTCTCGACCTTTGCTTAAGCCCTAGCAATGGGGCCCTTGGCTCGAAACCTACATAGGCGCAGATTAAACCGCGTTACTAATAATACGTAAGTACACTACGTAGCCCCGGTCACAATGGGGTTTCTGTGTTTCTAGAAGGATGGGTAACGCAGATGAACGGAGCCGCCACAATTACACTATAGAAAAGGTGAAGCGAACGAAGCAAGCAAGGCTTTATAGTAGATATATATTCCTACTATTTCGGCACCGACGCTCACCAGCATAGCCAAATTATGAGATCCTAAATGAAAACAAAACTGATAGCAATATTTAAGTTTATTTTAGGTTCTTATTTTATTGCGTAAATACGGCGAAGAATGTTGGGGGCGGTGGTGGCTTGAAACATAAGTGATGAAACGAAGTGAACCAGATGGTCGGGTCAGCACATCATCAGATAGGTATCCGACACGGTTTCTTCATTCTATTTAAGTATTAGTATGTAGGTCATGGGACTGACTTAGTCTCGTCATATTTTAGGTAAGGAGGAAGATTAAGTGACGATCTGCCCGACTTTTAAGAGGGTTATGTTTGAAAAAAGGGGTATAAGTTACCAGGTATAAGATATCGATAACAGGTACCGAAATATATACATATAACGGTAAGCAAACCAGCTGCTGTCAAGTGTTTGTCATGCCCCTCCATAGGTATGTACCCCTCTCCGCTAGTGAACCTTGGTGAAACCCCACTATCAATTATCATCTCAAGCACCTACACTACTGCAGCATCATCACCATTAACCCCGGCGACTTGTTACAGGGTAGATCAAACATTTCATAATTTATAACTTTCTCGGTACTAGAAAGAACGGAATTTTCCAACGGCGCAACCAAACCAATCACAATGGCCTCTCCAAGCGATAGTCAAGCGGTAATGGTATCGTCAAGCATCATAGAAACCATCAAGCTCGAACACGTGCCTTCAACATATACAGTTCTCATCGGCCTCTTCAAGGACGTTGCAAACGCCGAGTTTCTACAGCAGCAACTACTTAGCCGGAATGCCGAGTATGAGTATGCCTTCATCGACGCTAGTTCTGTATGTTTCCCTTTAAATATGCCTAACTATCTTACTTCACTTCACTTCATTCCCTTGGCAAACATGTAAATACTCTAGTTAATAGTTTAAGATATGAAAACATTTTACGCACTTAAGTTGTAATGCATTTTACTCACCCTGTTGTTCACTTACTCGGCTAGAGAAAATTAAGATAAAAATGAAGGAAAGATATACATACTAATTCTCCTAACCACCGATAGATAATATCGCGCGTCCAAGTCTTAGCCGCCGTATACAAGGCGATAACGATACATATGAGCGGTACCATGAAAACGCCCAACGTCCATTCCGAGATCGTGTGCTCCCTCAGCCCAAACAATAATGTACGTAAACAATACGTCTCACCCCTTTCTCGTTTTACTCGTCCATCAACTCATCAGCTTACTCCCATATCTAACACCATCCAGATCTCAGAAGCCTACCGCCGCTTCGGAATCACGCCGAGCAGCAAAGACGTAATCATCGTCAAAGTACTAACATCACCCTCACCCTCTAGCCTAGCGCCCGAAGCAGCAGTACGGCAGCATCTTCTCGACAACGTTCGAGGCACACCCGCCCCATTCGCGGACGAGGTCCTGCAATCGGGCCTTACGGACCGCGCCAAGGTACGCAAGTACTACAAGCTGAACGGCGTGGGCTGGCTAGACGGCATCAAGGACGAGCCCGTCCGACGTAGGGAGACCGAGCTGCTGGTGCTTGGGAGTATGGCACTAAGAAGTCTCTAGTTATAAATCTTACGGGGAGTTAACAACGGCGTAGTTTAGGTAACCATGTATAACATTAATAGTGGCTACTAATTAATAGTTTTCGGCGTTACAGCCGAAAGTTTTCCCTTGACAACTTGAGGTGATCCTGACCTCCCCTAATAATAGATACCCACATCGGAATTCCGTTAATTCGTAAGTCGTTGTGCCCGCACACCTAGACTTGGTAGGGTGTATGCGTGCTTCTATATCGAGTGCCCTATTGGTACTCATTTTGCCCTATGCTGCGCTTGCTCTAACTCATATCTCCTAGTCTTAATATGCTTCACGCTGCTGCTAATCCTAGCGAGGTTTTGAACCGCCTCTTAATCTCATTCCACATAGCATCACGCCCGCTCCTCGTCCTTGCTACTGCGTCCTTGTTTTCGTTCGCTCTCCTGAGTAGATACTTCATGCACTCGCCTGTGGTGCCCCAAACGATGTACTTATAAGCCTTTGGCACATCGCCCTTGTCCCGGACGTAGCCGTCGCACCGCCGCGACGCGCAGACTAGCTCGCAACTGACCTCATCTGCCATGCCCTGCAGTTGTGCAATCGCCAACTCCGTGGTACGGTCGGACTGCTCGCTGTCTCGGATTGCCCGTGCCCGGCGTACGGACTCTAGATTGTGAGACCCTAATATGATACTGACAGGCGGGAATTTGAGGCCTTCTTCCGGCGACTTTAGCACGGAACCCCACTGCCGGCAGATAAGGCTTGCCGCGATTCCATCGTACGCTGCGTCTGTGTCGGCTTTGGTATCGTGGATGATATACCGTGGATCTGAGCCGAGGTATGCGCCACGCACGAGCTTGACACCCAACGTAAAGCCCTCCTTGGACGCCACGGCGAGGTGTTCACCAAGTGTCGCTGCTGCGGATTTCAGATATGCTTGATATGTGCCATAGATAAGAGCGTGGCCAGGTATTTTGTTATGCTTGCGCTGGTACTCTAAGGTCCAGTCGTCGATGCCTTCCTGGACTGTCATCTGTTCGGCGTCGAAGAGCAGAGGCACATCCCTCTCTGCAGCTAGGGCACAGATTTCGTCGATAGCCTTGCGCAGATGCTTCGGCGGCGGTAGGCGATTCTTAAGCGCATACAATGCTTGCCGTCCGGCACCAGTAAACTTGAGCGCGACAAAATCCCCAGGCTGCGCAAGTCTCACCGTCTCCAAGGTCCCTGCCGCCCAGGGACCGATTTCGTTACGTACGCATTCCTCAGCTACGGGTCCCTCTTCGCACGCCGAGAGCTTCTGAGTCTGTGCATCGGTGAGGACGATCTCCCGGGCGTACCCTAGGATAACACCCGTAAAGCCGATCTTCTTGAGGCCGTCGATAGTACGATGGACCTCTGCAGCATTCTCACCCGCACAGAATTGCGCGTAGAACGTCTTCTTTAAGAACCAGCGGAGCAAGGGATTTTTATCCGGGTTGAGGATTGGCTGATTGGAGTGTGCGAGGATGTTCATGATGGCCAATGAAGGAGGTAATAGAATTGGAGAAGAGGATATGCTCGTAGTGGCCAGGTTACGTAGCACTGTAGACAGAGGAAGAACTGATAGTGGTGCGGATTTTGCCATCGGAAGCGAGTCGCCCGATACTTCTGAAGGAAGAGGGCTTACAGATGCCGTAGCAGCTAAAGCAGATTGGTCTGCTGGAGGTGAAGGTCTTGTTGAGGAAGAGTGTATCTTCCTTCTCATCGTCGAGACTATCCTGAGCTTCTGGTTCGAGCCGTTGCGGCTTATGACGTAAAGGCCGCATTGCGGATTCCTTATCGCATTTACATATATTGGTAAAAGGGACGACCTGCTCAACACCGAAACTCGTACCATTGTTAGCGTTTGGCGGTACTTAGACGACTCCGAAGGGTGAGAGCAAACCAGGCAGATAAAGGATGGTAGGGTATAAGTGAGGGATATAGGTAGGAATGATAGGAACGATAGGAATGGGAGGGCTTAGGTAGGTATAATGAGCAAACAGGAACAATGGGAAGGTATTAGTATGAAGCGGGAAGCGGGATGCTGTACTTTAACTACATATGTATCTTGGGTTTCTACTGCTGTGTATATTCTAGGTTAACTCTTTATCTCCGGCATCGCAACAGTCTCAGTCGCGTTGCTGAATGAAACCCGACTGGAGCGCATCGTACGGCATCAAGGAAACACCTCGAGAATGGCGAATAGTCCACCTCGAAGCTCCGATATTCCAATCACGACTCGATGACAATCCACCGGTTGTTCTTATCATTGATGATCACGTGGACCCATCGAGTCCAATAATGCCGTCTATAGCCGTGATGCAAAGATGCAATGAATGCAGCCATTGTCCAATCAGAAGCTGCGCCGTGGGGTAGCGGCATGGAGAGGACCAGAAAGAGTGAGCAATAGACTTGGGCTAGTGCGCGTACATAGTATAGTTGACCTGGCAGCCCCCTGCCATAACATGGTCCGGTCCGGCTGTTGAAGGTGGCCGAATATAGCAAGAATAACCTGGCTGCCTGCGCAGAAATTCTGCATGGTTCGAGGCCTCCGCGCTTAACGTGGGGTATACTAAGCCAAGCCGACTGGTCGACCTTGAGTCCTTGACATACTTTTGCAGGCATAGATTATTGCGACGTTGGCCGAACCCGCTGATTCATAATGATGGCTTTGTCGGGTAAACTATAACGTAACTTGATCTCGAGTAAGCCACGTGCCTTATTGGCTAACTAGCTCGTGATCATATCTCTTAGACACAATCCTCACCAGCCGGAATGCCATAAAAAAACATGACCCATACTACGGTGGCTAGTATGGGGTGTCTTTCTTTGGCGGCATTCTGCCAGTGTTTTAGTAACCACGACAACCTTTATCTTCCTCTGTAATGTACCTAACCTAGATACCGCGTCCCGGCCGACCAAGTGGGTAAGCCGTCTAGTGCAGTTATTATAACACTACTCTCATGCAAGGAGCCGTGGTGTAGATATACTGTTAAGGCCGAGACCGAGCTAAAGCCTACAGGCCTTTGCGACACTCTCGGCACAGCGCGGATGTAAGTGGATGCCTACAAATCCGTGATGTTATTAATAACCCTAGTTTCATGTCGTCTTTTCCTCAAGTTGGGTGACCTTTCCGATATGCCTCCGGATGAACTCGATATACCCAACAGGTCGACCTTTGGCAAGAGACACCATGTCCTGGGTAGCACCGTATGCGATCCCAAATATCAGGCCTTTTCTAGCAGTCCTCGCAGTTTCAGCAGCTGAAAAGCGATCTGCGTTGAGATAAACAATTAGATCAGGGTCAATCAAAGCAACCAGACTAAAAGTGAAGGGAAAAAAAAAGAAAAAGAAAAAAAAAAAACACATACTCCAGAAACTGAAGCCACCAGCCACAGCTAGACTGGCCATGACGGTGCTGAAAAGATCCTTGGTTCCTCGGTATACATCAAACAGATTCTCGGCGCAGAACATGGAGGTACTCAGAACACTGAGCCTCACACCGACCTTAAATCCTTCCTTCAACCCACCATATGCCAGATGGTAGTTCTTGCTCTTGTGATATAGGTACCACCCGGTTGTAGTTGTAGGTAGTCTGTGAGCATGTTCGGCTCTAAATCGTAGGCCGGCCATCTTACTGCCTTGGGCGAGACCCAAAGACATGCCTACACCAAATGCTGTCAATGCCGCAGCTGGAATGCGAATTAAGGGCGGAAAGGATAGGCGAGAATCTTTCCATAGCTGAGCATATTCTTCTCGAGTGGGCGACCACTGACGCCTAACTTCGCTGTCGGATTCTGTCATATTGGACTGGACTATTGGACTGGACTACAATCTTGATATACCTAAGTAGTTGTACAAGAAGATTGCATTGGCGTTGATTATTCGGCGGAGAGAATTAATCTTTTGATCTTTGCGGGTTTAGGCAAGTGGGAAAGCCTTGCGAATTACCTAAGACTGCTATCGTAAAGTCATCTTGTACCGGCCTTGGAAAATTCAAAGCTGAAAAGTTTAGACCCACTTTCCTAGGTACATACACAGGTACATACACCCTTAGACCCTGCAGGCACTTTACGCGGCCACGTGCAGTCGCGATTTGTTTGAGCTACAAGGTGGGTACATTAGTGTATCTTCATCTTCATCTTCATCTTCATCTTCATCTTCATCTTCATCTTCATCTTCATCTTCATCTTCATCTTTATCCCGGCCACGAATATGAGTCTCCGCGTCGCAAAGCTGATAACATAACAAAAAGCAATTTACAAATATTCTTCATGAATTAAAATGGTAAGCTGTCTTATTATGTCCTACATTATTTCCATTCATTAAAGTATCATATCCTTCATCCTTCATGTTCACTTATACATATACCTTATAATCGTGAAGTCCATCTCAACATTGTATATAAGCCTCTTCGTGCTCCTTCAAATGTTACGTTATACAGAAACACTCATTCGTTACTCATTTTGCTTACTTCAGCGTAGGATGTCAATGATATCGACTTATCTCTACGCTTCAAGCATGGCATCCATACCATCTTCTTGTTTGTCGATCCATCAAGACCCTTCGGCAGCATAGCAGAAGACCTTTTGGAAGCTCTGAGGGCACGCTACCCTTCGGGATTAACTACTTCCCTTTCCTCGCCGGACAAGACCGAGCTACCGAACGATCATCTACAGATCAAGTTCGCCTCGCCAAAGATACCTACAGACCTCAGCCAAGGCTGGAATCCTCTTGAAGTTGGAGAGAAGGATACCCCGGTTAGCAAAGGCATCAAGGACAACAGCATTTTGGCGTTCGCATTCTGCCCTGAGGATGCAGATGAGGACTACGAGCCTGATTTCACGGTCGACTTCCCTAGCTTCGACGAGGAAATAGAAGAGCAATAAGGATAGCAGGAGAAGGATGACATTCATGAGACATGACTTAGGATATGATGGCTAGCCGTGATGGAATGTAAGTTCGGAAGAAGAGCGGCTCTCGCATCTCTAGGGATGTGGAATGAGAGGTAGTTCTCAAATTCATAGCTAGGAAAACGTTGGGTAATTTTGCCGTATTTCGAGTGCCTAATGGAATGACAACCGCCCTATTGGCATCTCGGAGACTCATATTGGCATATGAGGTTTGAATAAGAATTGACGGTAAATAACACGCAGTAAGGCACTCAAATTGGGTGAGCCAAATATGCGTGTCGTCGTTGCTGTTATCGATCTCGTTGGAAAAGTTGAACTTACAATATTCAAATCATGATTAAAATACCTTAGTTTACCGTAAACCCTAAGGTTCCCTATAATATATAGGTAATCAGTAAATATGAAGCTGTACCTGTTTGTGCCTTCGGTTCGTATCGGCATATTTTAGCAGCAAAGCCAGCGCGTGGTTAAGGATCCCAAAGCGCTATAATGTCCGAAGGCCGGTCCTGCGGTACCTGGCTAAGTGGGACATCGGTACCTATATACATACCAGGGCTGCCAGGGGCTTAGACATGTATGTAAGAGGATCGACCCCTATTTTTATCTTTTTTTGCCAAAAACTTCTTTGACAACACACAACTACGCCTGAAATGTTTATTCTTTTCCTTCTCGAGTACCATTCTTAGGTACGATTTGCTATCAACAGGCTTCGGCCATATGCCGTCTTCTACATGTCCCCTGCGACTCTTCTTCGCAATGCTTTGCGAGCCCTCGTCCCTCTCGCCGTAGCTTGTACTTTCTACTTGTATCTTTATCCTGTCTTTCTTGGCTGTGCGTTCCCACTCCCACAAACAGAGAACAATGTCGCCGCATTTCAGGATACGGTGCGACAGCATGTCCTTCCGCATTCGAGTAATGCTGCACCGTTCCGGCTTCTCGCGCTTGGCGACCCGCAGTTAGAGGGCGATACGTCCATCCCAAATTATAACCGCGAATCTTTCCCTCACTTGACATGGGCCATTCGTCACCTTACCTACAAGACTGATCACCCGTCTCTACGTAAACGCTTGCGACAGGTGGCTCACGACGTTGTAGATGTTTTCTTCGACGATATTCCCGACACATTCGAGTCGATTCGCAAACGAATAGATTTGTTTGGAAACGATTTCTACCTTGCCCATATCTACCGGACGCTACGATGGTGGACAAAACCTACTCATGTTACTGTTCTGGGAGACTTGCTGGGAAGCCAATGGATCAAGGAGAAAGAGTTCAACCGGAGGAGTTGGAGGTTTTGGAACCGTTCGTTTAAAGGAGGCGAGCGGGTCCCTGATGAAGTTGCTACCTATCCCGCCGAGGAGTATGATGTAGCTGGATTCTTGGGTGTTGAGGATGACAATGCTGCGGCCTGGCGCCGCAGAATTATTAATGTGGCCGGCAACCACGATGTCGGCTACGCTGGTGACCTGACAGTCGAACGACTGGAACGATTCGAACGTGTGTTTGGCAAAGCCGCCTACGAGCTGCGATTCGAGCTACCCATTACCAACCCTGCAGCTAATGCGACTATCTACGACGAAGAGACTAACCCCGACTCCGATCGTCTAGCTCCTGAGCTCCGGATTCTTAACGTCAACAACATGAACCTTGATACGCCGGCTGCCGACCAGGGTCTCCAAGACAAGACGTATGCCTTCGTAAACGATATTATCAATACGGCCACTGCGGTCGAGTACCAGGGTCAGTTCACACTTGTCCTAACCCACATACCGTTGTACAAACCTGAGGGCGTCTGCGTTGATGCTCCTTTCTTCGACTTTCACCCTGGTGGCGGTGTCAAGGAACAAAACCATCTATCAGCGGATGCGTCTCGTGGATTTTTGGAAGGTATTTTCGGATTAAATGGCGATCCAAATGCGCCTGGACACGGCATGGGTCGGAAGGGTGTCGTGTTAAATGGACATGATCACGAAGGCTGCGATACGTACCATTATATCAACCAAACGGAGGAGGGTGATGAACGTCAATGGCGGGTTACTCGGTGGCCCGCTGCCAAAGCAGACGAGCTTCCTGGGAAACCCGGAGTTCCGGGTCTTAGGGAAATCACTGTTCGAAGTATGATGGCTATGTATGGTGGTAATGCCGGCTTGCTTAGTGTCTGGTTCGAGGAGGATACCTGGGAGTGGAAATACGAGTTCGCCACTTGCGCCCTAGGTCGCCAGTATTTTTGGTGGTTTGTCCATATATTTGACCTCATCGTGGTTGTCGCCATTGTTGTCTACGGCGTCTTGCGGGTGGCGATAGCGGCTGGTTTTGACATCGATAAATGGTCAGCAGCGAAAATTATTACAGTCCCAACTGTTACTGTTACCGATACCGCAAACGGAAACGGTGTAAAAAAGGTTCTCTAGGTTGGTAATGGCGAAGCTAAGAAGGAATAGATTATCTTGTATAGTAAACAGGTATAACGAGTCATGAGCGCCTTGTACCAATATAAAAATATAGATAGGTAGACAGACAACTAATAGAAGATCAATATTAGTATAAGAATTATCGTGTATTTGTTTCTCTTTCCTATATACTGGACTTGGGCTTTTCAATATAGAACTCGAACCAATATCAATCCAACGGATGTACCTTAGACCTCATTATAGCTTGAAATCAAGAACAACAACGTCAACTCGCGAGTTCGACTTTATATCTGCGCCATTGCTATTGGTAGCTCGTGTGAACACCGATAGTACGTTGTCATAATCCAGCCGCGTGGTATCAACTAAGGGCTCCGTCGGCGGGAATCCGTTCTCTCGCCACACGAGCTCGTATTCGGAGTAGTTAGATGCCTTGGACGCCTTTAAGGCTGTCAAGACTGGCGCTGTGTGGTCCGGCAGGATAAGATACAGGTCGTCATCTTTGCTCACGGCCAGCCGTCCTCTTTTGCCCCCTTTTACGCCTTGGACGTGGGGGAGGGCACGTTGCGTCCAGACGCCTGTTTATCGGCGGTAGTTCTTAGCATAGACTCACTCCCATAGCGATAGTTACTGGGAAGGGGAATATAATTAGGGGGGAGGAAGGGAGGGACGAAGATAGACAGACCTTTCGGTGATCGGTAATAATGTTTCCACTTTTGCTCGCCATCTACCGCATCCCGATTTAACACATGCACCCCTCCCTCATGATCAACAGCTTGCGCCTCCTGATTCGAGAGCCCCGAACCCTTAGGGATCTCAAACGCTACGATTCCCGGTGCATCAGGCCGTACGCTTTCACCCTTGGCCAAATCCGCAATCATTTCTCCCGTCCCATTCCGCCACGACCAGCCCCCATCGTCAGAGTACGCATAGCAGATATTATGATTATTCTCAGCTGAGTTCGGGCCCCGCTGCTGCTTGTGCTTCGCGTCTAACGGATCGTCCCAGCCCTCGTACCACACGAAACCCCGGTATACCCACGTGGCATGCAGCCGGCCGTTTCGTACGTCTAGGCCGTGTATGTACGGGTTATTATCTACGCCCTTAAGATTTGTGCCCAGCACCGTGTACCTGTGGGTTCCGTCTTCCTGTAACCCGTATACAGCCAAGTGATCGTCACCTAGACCGGCCTTGCCAGTGCGGAACGAGAAGAGCAGATTGCGGTCGAGCTGTACGAAGCGCGGGTATGTGACGTAGCTGAGAAGCTCGTCGTGTTCTTCCCCGAGGCCGGGGAGCTGCGATAGGTGTGGCGTGAAAAGAGAGGCGGACCACGGGAAGGATTCCGGGGAGTGGGCAACGCCGGGCTGGGAGTATCGATATCTTATTCTACCGCGTTGTAACTTGTAAGTATATGTTCTAGTAACTACCTCATATTTTAGGTGTGCCATGGTATCGTACCTGTCGCAGTGGTGGTCATACGAAAGATGAATGGTGCCGTCTCCAGGGCAGACACCAAGCTTACGTCTTACTCAGTATATTTCTTTTCTTCACTCTTAAGGTGTTTGTTTATATTACCTGTATAGTGTTGTGGCCATCATCTGTGGTCTGAGGATAGTCCTCAAAGACGAATGTGTCCCACTTTCCCTCTGGAAGCTTCCTACGTGAGAGATGGATATACAGCGGCTCTTGAGCGGAGTCTGCCGACAGAGAGCTGTAGAAGCTTGCGTACTGCCAGCCGTTGTATGATTGTATAACGTCCTGCTGAAACGCGTTGCCGTTCAGCACGCAGTTCCGGTGCGTTGGGTCCAAGCCAAGCACCGATACGGATGGTTCGGTCAGCATCTTCTTTATCTTCTATTCCGTTAAAGAAGAAGAAGAAGAAGAAATTATAATAAGAGATAAGCCTCGAAGGAATGCGGTGAAACGTGGCGCACCGGTAGAAGACTGTAAGAGGCTAAATGCAATTACGAAGATCTGGCGTTCGATGTAACAACATCGACTTCTAGAATGAAACCGGGCGGTTCGCAGCAGTGTCACAATAGATTGCGCGCAGCTCAGACGCCAGCAGATGCTATATTTATTTGTGACTAGTTATAGCCTATCTCCATAGTCAGTCGATTTTATAGCAACGCTCGTATGATGGAGCTAGTGTTGAACTATGTATTGTTTAGATGACCAGGTGCCGGTATAGTAATCGCCCGAGTTGAAGGCCGACAGCGTGGACAAAAGAGCCTCGAGTCGAGGTTTAATCCGCAATAGTTGAAACGACCCTGAATATTCACATCTTGTCCTTGCATACACTCTTGTTTTTCAATGCCGTAACGAGTCTAGAAGATCTACTTGTATATACCAAATAAGGTCTAACTGAGACTACTTTTTATAGTTAAAAGGAATAACTATATTCTCATCAATACATAATTATACTGGTACCAAGTTCGTCTTATATCCTTAGTTGCGTAATAGTATCTTCACCATCAAATACCAAAGCTTTTCATCTTCGTCATATGAAATACATAATCGTCCCTAAGCTTACCTTAGGTACATTTAGTTGGTCCCGGCTCGCCTCCCCCGCATTGAGCCTAAAATCAAGTCCATCTCCGTAGTGGAGGCCGACTGTCACCCTGAACCGGCCAGACTGGTTGGTCGGATCTGCGTTCAAGAACCATGAAAGCTTGCCACACCACCTCAATATTCGGCCCTGAGTTCCAACCCCAGAAGTATTTCCCCACTTCTCCTACAACCTCAACTGCTAACCCTACCATCATATCCCTAGTCTTACATCTTAGAAGGTGTTCTGTGTTCGACCCTTGAGATTTATGAGATGGAATGATAATGGTTGATGCCTTTGCCGAGAATATAGAATTCGCAACCGTATAAAGTTTCTCAAGCCTACGGAGGAGAATGTCTTAAATATAAGTGTTATAGAATCTTTATACCTAGTAAATATCTAACCCCAAATCTACGGACTAATTCCCCAACCTTGGCTACTCCAGTCCCCAGATCCTTTAGTCTTAGTGTCCCTAGCGGCCCATGGGGTAAAAGAGAGCTATATACAAGTCTACGCAAAGGTGGGCTATTCGATGAATTCCCTCGGTCTAGTGAGCCCCAGCGCCTTTCATCCAGGCTGTCTGGTTAATCTGTTTGGTGGAAGAATACGGAACCTGCCCATTTCCCATTTTCCACCCATCACATGGGTTCCCCAAAGGGGGCTCCAGGCCCCAGATCTCCCATTCCGCCAAGCTGCGCGTTATCCTAATCCTAGTCCCCTAATAACGTGGTACTGCTGCAAGGCGAGAGAAACCTCTATCGGCAGCTCACCCGCAGCATGCATCTTTTAAAAGTAGGATCTCGCCGCTCATCTCGTCCGGCACTGCTTGTCTGTCCTTCTTCTCGCGTATCGCAGAAGATTCCCGGACGATAGCAGCGTGCCTATTCACGATAAAAGAGAGCGTCGCGGACAAACAAGAGACGCCGATATAGGGAATAGTGGTCTGGGATTTATCCCATCTATTGGCAATCATGCCGTCCTTATTAAGGTATATCGTCAAAAATGACGCCATGAAAAATGATCCTAAGGAGATCTATGGATGGAGGGTCTATCTTCTGGCTTGTTCGGTAAGCAATTTCTCTCAATAGATATATCTTAGATGACTAGTTAACATATATTTTCACTAGGCTTGCTTCGGCGCTATGTCTTTCGGTTGGGATAGCGGTGTAATCGGAGGTGTCATTAATCTTGACTCGTTTATCACGTATGTTTCCCCATAAGACGCCACCTAGTCTCTATCTGGATAGAGGGAAATCTCTAACATTCTTTTCTATAATAGTGCATATGGTTTAGGGAGCAAAGACGACGTAGCGACTGCTAATCTTCAAGGAAATATCGTTTCAGTGTTGCAAGCTGGATGTTTTGTAGGCGCTCTCGTTGCTTACCCCTTAACGGATATCTATGGTCGCAGGCCTTGCTTGATGGGCGGTGCTCTATTCACTCTTGTTGGTGTAGCTATGCAGGCTTCTGCTTCTGGCCATCTTGAGCCTATGTATATTGGTCGATTCATCTCTGGTATGTCTGTTTTGATTTTATCACCACTCCCTTCGTACGCTAATATCCAATAGGTCTTGGTGTTGGTTGCTCTAGTGTCGTTAACCCAATCTATGTTACCGAAAATGCGCCTCGAGCCATCCGTGGTCTACTTACCGGGTTGTATCAAATGTTCATCGTCACTGGTGGTATGATAGCATTCTGGGGTAACTATGCAGTCAGTATACACTTAAGCGGTCCTGCGCAGTACATTGTGCCACTTTCGATTCAAGGGTTACCCCCTCTACTGCTCTTCTCCCTTATGGCTATCTGCAATGAGTCGCCGCGTTATCTTGCTCGCAAGGATCGTTGGGAGGAGGCGAAGGCGGTGCTCACACGGATCCGACATCTCGCGCCTGACCATCCCTACCTACAAGATGAATTCCGGGAGATCGCCGATCAACTTGAGTACGAGCGAAGTCTGATTGGTGACGCTGGTTTCTGGACGTTGCAGAGGGAGATGTGGACGATCCCCACAAACCGTAAGCGGGCTATCTTGAGCATCGTGCTCATGATATGCCAACAGATGACGGGCACCAACGCCATCAACACATATGCGCCGCAGATTTTCAAGAATCTTGGCATCACGGGAACCTCCAACTCGTTACTCAGTACTGGAGTTTACGGCATTGTTAAGGTCGTAGCGTGCGCCCTGTTTTTGTTGTTCATGGCCGACTCCCTTGGCCGCCGCCGCTCGCTACTGGTCTCCTCCGTCGGACAGGCTTTTTGTATGTTCTATATTGGCTTATATGTACGCATCTCGCCGCCTGTCGACGGAGAGCCTGTGCCAGGCGCCGGCTATTTCGCGCTGGTCTGCATCTTCGTTTTCGCCGCCTTTTTCCAGTTCGGATGGGGCCCCGCCTGCTGGATTCTAGTCTCAGAGATCCCGGCTGCCCGCTTGCGACCTATGAACGTCGCACTGGGAGCTGCCACGCAATGGCTGTTTAACTTTGTGGTGGCTCGCGCTGTGCCTAATATGCTGGCTACTGTCGGCGAGCACGGATACGGTACCTACCTAATCTTCGGTAGTTTCTGCGTGTGCATGTTCTTCTTCGTCTGGTTTTTCATCCCTGAAACTAAGGGTGTTTCGCTCGAGCACATGGATCAGCTTTTTGGGGTTTCCGAAGAAGAAAGGCTAGATGTAACCGAGGGTACGAAGCGAGATATGTCCAAGGTCGAAGCTGAGGAGCATTCCAACCGGTCGGACAACAAAAGCGTATAGAGGAAATGATGGTGGATATTTGAATGGAGATACCCTTTGATGCTAGTTAAGCTATTATAACTCTAGATAGCTAACGATCTATGATTTTTAAAGGATTTCACCCCCTGACTAAGGGCAGCAAGTCGCTCAGGATGAAAGGTGCGAATTAATATTTACGGGACTGCCCTCAAGACACCCCCAGAGATAGGGCAGACTTGTCTTCCGAGAAGCATCTAGAGCGCCCCTTTGGCTCGTTCATCCAGGGGTTAGCCCAACACCTACGAAAGGACGATCACACAGTATATGCGCTACGGGCTCACGGATTCGAGCCCGGTCAAAATAAATTCGCATCTATCACTGAGACAGTTCATGCTTATATGACAGCTGTTCGCTGGTGGCAATCTGCAAGGTCTGTATGCCCTAGCAGGTTATAGTTACGGTACTATGCTGGCCTTTGAGATGGCTAAAGCACTCGGTAAATCATTCCGAAGACGGTGTGGTACAGTTCCCAGGCAGCTTTAATCTTCCGCCGCATATCAAGACACATATGCGCTAGCTCAGTTCTTTAGACTTTTAGCTGAAGCGGTTGATATAGAGATTTCAGAGATCTTATCGTACCGCAATGCGTCCCGTAGCGATGCCCTATCCCGGGTGCTGGTACTCGCCGACGATTCGCGCATGGAGGCGCTCGGTCTGACTCCCGACGGACTGGCTCGGTGGGCTGACGTGGAATATGGCTTACAAAGGATGGCAGTTGACTACAAGCCTTCCGGGGAAATTGGGAGTATCGACATTTTCCACGCCGAACCCCTCAAGATGGCTGCAGCATCGCGCGGGGAGTGGATACATAGGTAAGCACCTTAGCCAGTGGAGAGACTTGTCAGAGAGAACCACGATTCCACGAGGTTCAGGGAGCACATTATACTATGCTTGGGCAGGATCATGTCTCTGGATTTTCTGACAAGCTACGAGCGGCTTTAGGGGATAGAGGACTACCTATAGAAACACGTCCGCCAACAAGGATTTATTTACAGTATTCTCATCATCATATTGGTTGGGACCGGTATATGAGCTTGGTATAATGACGTTTCCTTTATATTAGTTTCTATAGTAACATCCACTCAGGAGATTCTATATCAGCTTGCAAGCCATGCCACCGGGATTCGTGACCCCACAGCCGCTTTTTCGGCTCCTGCACCTGCAACCCAACCAATTAACTATAATAGATCTATGTGTCACAGATCTAGCAGCTGATGCTGCAGGGCTCGTCAACATGGATGCCATTTTAGCTCTGCCAAAAGTGTGGAAGGATCGGATATGGGTTTCTCTGGAATGTCTCAAATATTCGAGTGGATTAGGTAGGTACCTACGTTTATACTTTGCAATTCCAAGTAGAGACGTAAGTATCTTTTAGCTCGGAATAGCCTTGAGTACCTAGGTAGTTAGTTATTTGGTTGGTTATTTTACAGCGCTATGAGTACTTTGATCAAGATAATGTGATACTGCTAATTCGTCGATGATAATACCACGACTCCTTAGGGTCCCTAAAAGGCAATGATCCAGCTGGGCTTTGACTTTGATATTTTAAGTTTCCGTTAAAGGTAGAGTAGGAAGTCGTGAAAGCGGCTCCAGTGTCACGAGGTGGGACTAAACAGTTGATAGACTACAGCATACAGGTCATATACCGCATCTTTTAGCACAAGCCGCCAATATCAGGCTAATATCAGGCTATTCCATCATACATAATTTGCATAGAATAGGCAGAGATGTTAAGAGAATTCATTCTCACAAAGATAAGAGTCGGCTTATTAGACTCGTAGGTATCAGATTTATCATCAAGAAATACTTGGTTTATTATACAAAGGCAGCCTAGTTTTGGATATATACAGCTAATTGGATAGTACGCGGACATTAGATGTTAACGGACCGGCATGCAAAGTCGCTTCTAGCCTGTCCCCGGCCTGTTAATCAAGAAAATGGTTGAAGAAGCCATCCTCTCACGAGCCAAACGGCCATGCTGATAAGCATAAGCATAAAGAACCACGTTAAACAACCCGCCGTTACGTGATCCCGGAACGTCTGCGCTGCGTCGCCCTTACTATTATTATGCGGGAACGGACGATCAGGTACAGGAACGTTCAGGATTCTACATAGCGGCTCCCACCCTTGGCTGACTTCGTAAAAGAATAGCTTCTCTGGAGGTACGACCTGCCTTAGATGTTCCTCGTGCCTGCGAAGCGTGTCCTCCTCGATTTTGTCCTGGTGGTAGCGCCATTTCATAATCTGATGGAAGCGTTCGCGCCAAACTCCGTAAACTTGGGTCTTATGCAACCATAAGACCACGATAGGGAGGTACCACGTCCCCATGAGACTGTTCAAATAGTTCATACTCTTCCACCAGGACTTTTCCTCTCTAGTAGTTGCTATTACTATGGCCTCGGGATAGACGCGCATGATTTCAGGGGTGAGCGTCGCAGCGGGGCAGTCCATGGTTGCAACGTAACCGTCGAGCACCTCCGATATGAGCCAATCAAGCTTCTTCTGCTCGGAGAACGTCTGTGCCTTCGGAGCGAGCTCCATGATATCGAGCCAAGCTTTTATTTGGTTAATCGGGCCCCCAAGGGACTGGATCCCGGAGTCGTGGACGGGGCCATCGAGAAGAATGGTGAGAGCTTCGTTGAAAGTCTTCGTACCGGTACGTGACCTATATACAGTCAACGGCTGTTTCTTAAGTATTACGACGGTATATATACACTGCGCTGGAACATTTCGGCCAATTCATGTCCAAGGACATATGGTCCTAGAGTAAAAGATTATGCGACTCGCTTGGACTTACATTCCAGCACCAATGACGCGAAACTTGGTCCCATGAGGACCCGGTAGCGAAGGACCTTGACCCATTATGACGACTTCGGTCACCAATTGGCGGTTCACACGACTCCACAGGACTGCAATCTCACTGTCGATATTTCAATGTTCTAGACGCTCGAACTGTCAAAGCATCAATGGCGTCGTATGAGCTGAAAATGGTGTCATCAATGGTGTCAATGGCATTTTTATACTTTTGACAATCGTACCCCCGTGCGTAGCTCTCGACAAGCTGCAGTAAGGTTGCAGAGCGCCAAGAACCGGGAAACGTATAGGTGATGCGCATTTCTCGACTATATTACCTTGGTTACACGGTTGATCTTGATGGCTAAACTGCAATATACTACGCGTATTACTCGAGTATCTACATGGCTATGGCCGATCGCTCACTGCCGAACGGCTGAAGCGGCTTCCCCATGCACCTCACTCGGTCTACAATATTGGTTCCCAGTAGGCTGATTGCCTTGTCTGTCTATGACATGGTAGTGTTCTCCGAAACTTCCCCAAAAATCTCCAACGCTGCCAACTTCTGCTTCACCTGTACGCAAGTGCCAAGCCGGCTGAAAGCAGAAAGCAGACCCAGGAACGCAGATCTGGCATTCTTCAAGGCTTGCCATATGCCGACGCAGATCAAGCTGCGCAAGATCGACATAATCCCTCTCGTGATAATCTATAAAGCAGGTTGATCGTCACTCCTAGTTTCGCAGGATGGCTAATAGGCGGGCTTCCAAGGCCCGCGCAATGCGACGAACTGGTTCCCGGACTTAGATAGCCCGGGGGAGGCGGCAACATTGCCCTTTACAATTCTCGGATTTGGATAAGTAAATCTGGCGCCTCCATATCGCATCGGATCATAGTTGGAACGGTCAGAACCTTCACAGGAAAAACAGCGAATAATATGCTCCCCGGCCAGTCAAGAGTTAGGTACTACCTAGGTTAATACGGCCATTTCATCACAACTTCACATGTCAGCGCTGACATAAGTTAATACTCCTTTCGCGCCCTTCTGGTAATAATGCGCTTCGATTCAAGAAGACGACTTATTACGAGTAATCCTACACTAAAGCCCATGGCTTTTAACATTTTCTAACGCGTCTTAGAATAAAACACCTACTGTTCACGATATTTTCTAAGCTATATCACACTTCTCCTAGACATCCAGTTACCCATCGAAGAGCGTTGTCTAAAGAGCGCAATGGGGGTTTTGATTCAGTAATAGGATGACGAGCCGTATTTATTGTAGTACTGGGAACGGCGCGATCTATAATGTTTAGCTGCCAACTAGAAGTACTTTCCCCGTGGTAAGTTACCTAAATTCCACGAGGAATTACTACGACCTCAATATGGTTCAATTAAATTTGAGAATCATTTCAGTTTTGTTGTCATAGCAGTTATCAATACTGCCTGTTGTGTTAGAAGCACACAATCTACCACTCAAGTGTATAAAAGTAAGATTTAGTTGAGGATATTATAGATCTAATGTTCTAGAATTTAATACTCTATCATGATTCCTTCAAATAGCTTCATCTGCAAAATTCTCGTAACCTCGCCGTTGTGGAGAAATTCCATAATAATATCGCTACCTAAGTCGTACGATCACGACGTGGTGTAAGAAGCGTGGAAAAAACGAAGTTGTCCCGAAAGAGACTTCGAGCCTAACTACGGAAGCCCGTGGTAATAAGTAACTACCGAAAGCATATTGTGTTCTAAACATTTCATTTCGAATCCTTAAACGTACCAAATTTCTGCAAATAATCATCTTGAAGTGACGACCTAGAACAATCTTACAAACGGTCTCAGCAACAGAAAACTGTAATCAAATGAAAACAAGCTATATAAGAATAAAGCTCTTTTTGTATGACGAAGGAATTTTATTCTCTTCTAACATTTTACGTGTTGGACAACCTACCAGGGGCCAATAGATTTACATCTAACTCTTCATGTAATAGCATAGTTGTCTCCTTACTCTTTACTCACATCATCACATAAGAGTAATAAGATCACTGTACAACACTGGACCATTCATTAATATAGTAAGTGAAAAGCAATCCAAGGAGTACATCACGAAAAGTTCCATATTGTTACCGAGACTCTGGGAATATCAACATGCGTTTTTTTTTTAAGAAATTCAAACATCTCATCTAATATATATCAAAGTTAATATAAATAAAATATAAAGCCATTCCTATCAATACCCGTCAATTAGATGTAGATGTAGTCTTACCGGTTGAACCTTGGTTTATATTTATTTTGGTGTTCACTATATAGGTGCTACACAGCAACTATCACAACAGCCCAGTCAATGGGATCAAAACAAATTCGAAAGGCCTCGTGGCGCAACGGTAGCGCGTTCGACTCCAGATCGAAAGGTTATCCGTTCAAATCGGGTCGGGGTCATATATTTTTGCTGTTGGAGTGTATTATCATGGGAACCGTGGATCGGGTTTAACGATTAGGGTCTAGACGGGTTGAAAAGTGTATGCCCTCAATTTATTAGAGTGCAAACACTTACCTGTCTAAGTGGAGTAGGAGTAGCCCTAAACGCCGTGTCCCACACGTACACGCGAGACTAGTCCAGGGTCGACTTAGACGCTTAAAATAACCTCATTATCTTCTACCGAGCAGTAGCTTGAAGCTGACTTTTGGTGTTGTTTTTATTGGCGCCCTAGATACCAAAGGCCTTACGTGTCTTTGATTTGTTTGATGTGGACCAGCTGGATATTGACTACCAAAAACTAGCAGACATGCTTTTCAATATCTTAGCAGCTTACTGAGAGGTAAGTATAGAAATTGCTGACTTTCTAGGTTTTGACACTAGTTGGAATGATATGTGTTTTAGTATGAGTGGCTCTTAGAGCCTCATTGATCACGGTTCTATTTAAATATATGACAAGAAGGTAGACAGAAGTGTAACATTCGTTATAAATAGCGTTGATGCTCGACTCTTTAGTTGGATATACTAATAACTGAACTGATCGGATGATAGAGTTACGCCTAAGATGCTTATCTAATTTCGTATTAATTATTTAGTCTACCTCAACTGTAATACTTTCGGCGACGTGGAAGATCATCTTTCCCGAATATAATCACACCTTTTAAATGCCGAAGGATTCGAATTCGGCTTTAGGCGTATAGAATTTCCATATGGGATTAGTCTAAATAGTAAGGCCGGCATAATAGCGTTTTATTGAAATAAAATTTTTCTCTTATACCGAGACTTAACTCCGCTATCTAGTTTTTCTTTTTTTGAGAGGTAGAGGTATAAATACAGCCCGGCAACTTTTTACATAGTACATTAGGTACGCTAAAGACTGTAAGCTACCTGCTTATGTGGGTACGATCGTCGTGTTCGCATTAGTTGATGCGAATGTTGCGTCCCCTTCAAGGGAAAAGAAAAAAAAAGTTTAGGATTTGAATCCTCTGCGAAAAGGTAGGTCGCAATCGTTGACTTGGTAAATGGGGGGGTTTTTTCCCCCTTCTTCTTTCGTGCATCCTATCTTTTCTTAAATTTTCAACCTCTTTTCCAATTATGTGCTCCTTTCGATTTTAGTGAGCCCTTCCTATTCTAGGGATATCGTTGCTGCAACTCTAGATGAAGAATTCGTCACTTCGGTTTTGTAACTTATAATGAATAATTGAATAAGCGCGTTTTCATGCAATTAACTTGGTCACTTTAGCGTCATATTATAATTGAGTAGATTTTTGAAAAGAACAAGTGATGATATACATAAACTCCTATAGCACTGCAGGCTTATGTCGTGATCAATATAGTCTTAAAATCTACACGCTCTGACGCTGTGGAGGCCGAGAGGTTGCATGCGTAGGCGCTATAGGTAAGTAAGCAACCTTACGAATTAGGTATACTTCCCGAACTCGGCTAGATCTTCGGCTCCAAGCCCAGCAAGCGCGAAGTTATGTCGCGGTAACATTCAATCCTACCATCTTCCATCGCTGATATGTTCAGATGCAAGGTTGAACTCGGGGTGTAACCCCCCGTCTCTCATACTATTTTTTCGACGCCCTCAACTATACCCTCCTGTATGAAAGTCCTGTATGAAAGTCGATATTTTGGACATAGGGAATTACCGATGGCGACGACAATTCTGTATCGTAAATATCCTAATTGGAAGACTGCTACGTTACGTCATAGTTGTACTATTCTAATGCTGTTTTCGAATTGTTCTTGACGAGCTGACGAGACGTAATAGTCGATTCTTACGGCGGCAACAATTCAATTACTGTGTACTTCTTTCATAAGTATGGCTGTATGGCTCGGGATGTCGGATAGTCTCATGTATGTTCCGTAGATCATACTTTCGGGATGTCAGCTACAAGACAACAAGACTATACGAAGTACCCCATCCGATTACAAGCAGACTTTTACCATAATTTTAAAGTCGTACTATGTACGCGTCTCGAGATCTTCGGCACGGTGGAGCTACATCATACAAGATTAGCATCACACAAGATTAGCTTGGTCTATCACTCGCATCGCTACCACTCGAACTAGGAAGCAGAGCACTGTTCTCTCGGGAGTCATGCCGGTGGGTACTGTGTATTTATCCTCGTCGCGGCTTCGAAGGATTGCCTCTGGCTTCAACCAAACTGCCGGGTCAGGGGACCTCGATCAACAACTTGGCCATCTTGGCAAATGCCTTGGAAGCTATTATTAAAACCGTTGAATTACGAATAGACTAAAAAAGAAGCTCGCCTAGGGATCCTGTCTAGTTTAGGTCCGCGCTACGGATCTCATATCCGCTGTTACTATGTAGGCGGGCTTGGACTAAATAGCTTGATTTGGCGCCACTCGGAAGGTGAAGAAGTCCCACAACGGACGCGTTCTCCCAATGAAGATTTTCACGCCGGTCAAGTTTTATTATTACCATAATACGCCACGAAACATCGTCAATGGTTCATTTTTCATGTCTTGTCCAGAATCGATCCAAAGCAGTGAGACCCAGGAAAAGCGCACCCGCTCGATGCACTGCAGGACCGTCAGCTTCGGAGAATGTAGAGCAATAGAGCAACTCGGATTTTAGACGGATATGAACCAGATGCACGTTGGGCGGCGGCAGCGCTGTAATTGGGTGAGGACGGTTCGCCTAGACACGTTCAAGTGATTGCGAGAGGGGGAACACGCAGTTGGGGCCGAGACGAGCAAGATCAGCAGGGGAATAGGGAGGGTATTAATAAGACTTTCAAGCCTAGCGATTGCGTTTTTTCCACGATTGACAAGATTGACAAGATTGACGCGATTGTCGTTCAAATACGAGAGCCTCACCATGCAGCCATGCAAGACCATGCGCGCTGGCAGATGCTGGGCAGATTAGGTACTTGGTAGGTATGAACGGGTAGATACTAAATGGAGACAATTGCGGATATTAGGTAGCAGATATTTGCAGCATATTTTTATTTTTATTTTTATTTCTTTTCTATATTCCGTATTTTGCAGTATTTCGTACACACCGATAGAACTTTGGGAAGTAGAAAATCGGAGCTCACGATGTGCCAAGCCTATAAATTCTTACGAGGACCTATAAGTATGATAAGTATAAATGGGGAACGTGGCTCGATTAGGAACCCGTCCCAATTTCTTTGATTAATGTGTGCATTGTCCTCTGCCCATCACTCGTTCTGTCGTTCCTGTGGTGGCCCATCACACTTGGCTTCTCCGAGAGATCGTCTTGGAGGGTATCTCTCACGGGCGAGGTGGACACGATCAGGAGACGCAAACACCGCATCCGGTCCGTTTATCGTTTATCCCCAGAAAAGCTTTTAATTATGTCCATACAAGCTATCGCAAGCGAGCAAGCCCGCGATTTGCCAGTTCGCAGTTCGCCAAAAATACCTAACCTACCTACCTCACAGCAAACATAGGTACAGCCCAATATTCCCGCACCCTGCCAAACCCGTCTTTTGGTGATCGACTTTATTATTTCTGATGTGTCTTATGTGTCTTTGGCTACCACGGCTCTCTTTTTTTCCATCGAATTCCATTCCTGCGAATGGGGATGTGATACGATATCGGCCGAAAAGGTATCCCGCGGTCTTGGCTGCGTCTTAAACATCGCACCCTCGCAGGGCCAGTGGTCAGACTCGGTAGGAGCCGACGATGCCGAATAAGACGGGCATTCTAGGCGAGCACCACGTGGTAAACGTGGTCAGCTTCTGTCTTTGGCACGTCTGTAGCGTAAACTAGCATATTGGGACGGGACATGCTTCCTAAATAAATTCGACCTAAGCCTGTATGTAGAGTTACCTTTCTCTCCATTCGCTTAGGCGGCAATCCATTCCATCTATTCCCTGTCCTATCCTGCCTAAGCTGCCTATACATATGTAGTGTATGCATATATGTATACCTACCTAGGTATTTGCCTGGCTTCTCTGCTTGGCCTGCCTGGTGTTGTAGGTACCCGTCGCGCTATTGGCAAAGACCCTTACATAGTATTGTATGTAGTAGTACTGTAGTAGGCAGGTGGTGTTGGTGGGTCTAGCCCGCCAGCCATCGTGAAGTTATTGATGGATCGTGCATTAGAGCCAAATTGGGATGGATATTAAAGTTGTTAATCCACACAGACGATCCATCCCTCAAGGGAACTTGGACCTTGCTGAGCAAACCCCCCAGCATACAATTTCTAGTCTAGCTTCCCCAGAAACGGAGGGGAGAGCCGTCGCTTTGAATTTATTCTTCCATCAAACGCATCAAACGTACAATCTTCTCCTCGTCGCCTCAGCCACAACTACAGCTTCAACTTTTAATATCTAAACACTCCCTTCACGTGTTCGTGCTCCCATCTCAATAGGAAATCTAGAGAAACACCGAACCCAGTATCCCAGTATAGTGCTCGTAAGTTGAACCGGCCCACGCCTCCGTCCCATCGCCTAGGAGAATAAAAAAAAGTCTTATCTGACTTGGCAGCAATAGGTGCACCTAACCCGCCGGCTATCATAGCATACATACATCCCACCCAGAGGAAAACAGCAAATATATCGACAATATGCAGATGCATACGTGTGGCAACTGTGGAACCGAGTACACGACAGGCAGCTGTTGGTACTGCCATCCTCAAAACAAGCCTCAAGTACCTATGCCTCAACATTTGGTAACAGCACACGCGACACATATCCATATCCATTAAGCGGATGAAGCCGTCTCCGCGTTGATATAAGGGGAAGAGCGCGTGTTGTTGGGTTTAAAGGAAAGAAAAAAGGACGACTTTCAATACTACGGGGTCCCACGGCCCTGGGACCAAAACCACTCCCACTCGTTTAGTCTCTGAGGAGACTACCTCACGAGACCATGCTATTTCTCCGTTACACTTCGTCTTCACTCGCCTGCTGTTCGTCTTGGAACAGCACACACACCTAGACGTCAATTCGAGCTTTTGGCGTATCGAATCTGCAACAGACACCGGATTCCCTAATGGGCATCATCAGTGCCAATATCCTTTATTTTTTCATTTTAAAACCTAGAGGCCCCTGGGAGCGCCTCGTCGGCCTCTGCTTCGAGGTCTTGATTTACATTTTGATAGCCTTCTGGCTAAAAGCTTTACGAAGAAATGATCAGGGGGTTATTGAGGGATTATTATCAGTTACCTCGGAGACAGTTGGCATTTTACCGGCGTTACAATGATATCACTAAAGGGACGGGCATATTTAATTGAGGAAAAAAAGTTCCACGGTTGTTCAGACGGAAGCATTAATTCATTAGAATCCACCCCCCGGGCTAGCATGCGATACCTTCACGATTAAGAATGTCAGGCGCATCATACTAAAATAAAATCTTTATAGCTTTTGTGTCTACACTCTTCGAAGTACTGTAGTGTCGCTATTGCTTAATTCTAATAGAATGCTATTATTATTTATTATCTCAATCATGATTACGTCGTGACCTCAAGCTTCAAACCATTAACACCTTCGGCCTAGTATGGAATTAGGTACTCGATCTTGATTTAATAGTATAGTGAATATAATCAACATCTGTCATTGCTATTGATAGCGCACTGCTCGTAGACTAGACAACCTTCATAGCCGAGTACGACTCAAACTGATCTAGGCGCGGCATCTATCGATTACATCGACGGGGCGATATGAGGCCCGTACCGATTCCAGCATATCGTCGCCAATCCGCACGATACTAGCTCCAGGAACATCGGGACCTCAGCACCGGCAAGTCCCAGACGCGATCCACCCAGCCGCGAACCCGCATGAAGAAAAAAAAAAACGTCCGAAAGAGCACTATATAACATGCGGTCCCGAAACGGGCGAATTTTTCTATAAATAGCGCTTCTAGACCAGACCCTGATATGATGTCCCCCCAGAACGGGAATGTGACACGCACATACATACATACCTAACCTACGACATACATATATACATACTTAGGTACATACATAAGGCGGACCCCTATCCGGGGAGCTTCAAAAGCTTATTTCATTTAGCCTTTTTGGCCCCGATGCCCTCCCCTTCCCCGTGGGGACGGGGGCTCCCACGTATCACAACAGGACGAAGTGGATGGATGTTTAAGGCGAACAGCGAATTCGGAAGACCAAATTTGGCTGAGTACCTACGTACTTTGTGGCAAGGGGGATGTCGTACAGAATTACCTACATAGTATACATACGGATCTGGACTTTTGTTGGCACGAGTCGGAGGTTTACGTATGTAGGTGCGTACAGCAATCGAGCATCTTGGGTGTCACTTGTCGAAATTAGATATAAGTCACGAGTTGGACATGTTAACTTTCCGAAGCTATATCACAAATTCGTCCAGAACGAGGTTCATTTTGGGTCGGAATAATATCGTCATTGATCGTTCGTTAAGAGAGTCTTGGCCGGTATGTATTATATTAATCATAAATGCTGTGTCACATCCGAAATATACCATGTCGTGCAGTGGCAGCCTTATGTCGCCCCTGATATTATCGTAAGAATAGGAGGGTATTTAAGATTCATAGGTAGGTAGGTAAGCAACTGTGAGATAACCGAGCCAATGACTATGATTCTAGATTCAAAAAGAACATGGCTGCAAAGAGCCTCATTTGGAAATATTAACTAAGCTTATATGCACCTATATGCACCTAAATATACAATGGCACGGTGAACTCTTATTATGATTCGATTCTGTCCCAGCAACAAACCTCAACTGCTGTTGCCAATGGTATATCTACCCAATACACGTATGTATGTATAGCCAGCACAATCCAACCGTTACACTCATATCTCCCTCATCTCCACGATCCTGGTTCAAGGACTCCGACCCCGACCCCGACCCCGAGTCCAGGCTCTTCGTATCCGTGTGACGCGGTCCCGGCACACATTACCGCATATGTATGTAACTGTAGTCTGGACCACTAAATATAGTCCCTGTAGTATGTATGCAGCAACTTAGTGATTCCTGAAATTGCGGGACTCTACATATATCCAAAATACACCCCAACCAAGATAAAGATATCGAGTCCACCCACATTAACGCACCAAGAAGCGAAAATATATTAACGAACCTATCGAACGCGCGCATAATATTATAGACGGGCGACCCCTAGGTAGTGTCATTCGGGCAAGAACGGGTTCTCTAGCTGCTTCTCAACGTAGACGGCGGTGCCCGAGACTGAGACCTGGACGAAACCCAGTACCTCCTTCTCCTCGAAGTCCAGGCCGATAACGGCGTTCGCGCCGCGCGACACGCAGTCCCGTGTCATTCTGTCGACAGCTTGGTCCCGCGCGTTGTACATGATATGCGTTAGACTTTTGACCTCGCCGCCTGCCGCTGCCCCTTTTAGCAGGGCCTTGGTGTCTTTCAGCGCGTAAGTAGTAGAGCCGTATACGGCACCTAGGACGCGCGCGACGCGGTAGCCGGGCAGCGTCGGCATCGTAGATGTCAAGATAGACGGGGCGGTGCAGTGAGGTTCGTTTTCCGGCTTCGCGCTGCTGAGGGTAGGCGGCGCGCCGTGGTGGTTCGGGCGGCCGTTGCCGTTCGGCGATATCATCAACGTCGAGCGACGGTTAGTCAGCATTTTGGCGGTGAACTTGTAGCGAAGATGATGTGAATATATGTGAATATATATATAGGGGGTTGTCGTTGATGGCGATATACGCGGATGTAGTCCCACAGGCCAATTGCGCAAGCAAATTATATTATGCGCTTTGGCAAAGAGCAAGCAAGAAGCAGGTAGGGATGATACCGAACCAAAAAAATGTACTGTGCAAAACGCAAACCGAATAATGTCGAATATACCCCCTAAGCAGATCGATCTGCCCCAGAGATCGAGCGAGTTTTATCCGATCAGGAGGTAAGTACCGACGTCATTATTTGGGTGAGGCCTCACGATGCGAGCGTAGTAAGAAGAACCGAACCGCGTCCGCTTGCAATTTCCTATCGCCTGAAACGCGAGTTGGAACGTGGCACGAGCTATCGTCTGGACATGCCCTCGATCTTCTTCTGAATTGTCTTGCGCGCAGGGATCCCCCACAGGGTTTCTGCAACGTGCCAAGGAACCCCTTGTCGTGGGCGAGACTTGAGGGCGCATACAGATACCGGTCCAGCGTGACGGGACTGTGACCGCATTGCAGACTGCAGACTGCAGACTGCAGACTGTAAACTGTAAACTGCAAACTGCATGATGAACCAAGGAAGCAGTGACGTCGTTGATGGTCGAGATGTTTGGAATGGCAACACCGTGTTCATAAGAACTGACTCGCCCATGGGTAGAGTTGCGTGGAAAGGGGACATGCTTAAATGCCTCGATTATGCCTCTTCAATGATATGTTAGAGAAATGATACAATTTCAGAAATTCTCATCACGAGCCCTAACTCAAGTTTGATGGTACGGGATTGTCATGATGCAGCGAGACGTCACGATATACATAACAAGTAAGTAGGTAACTATTAAGACGAGCTGAGGTCTTGGGTCTTGACTGATTCCAAATCGGTTGGGGGGGGATTGTAAAACATTGTAAATAATTTTCGAATTGTCCCAATATTATCCCCTCTCGTTGGCCTAGCCAAATACGAATTGAGGTCATCAAGATCAAGATCTAAATTATTTTTACATATTAACATGGATAGATGGAATCTTCGTAGGGCTGGGCTGAGCTGAGCTGAGTACGTAGGTACCTAAGGGCTTACATTATGTAAGGTGAAGCACATTTGGAATCCGCGGTACGGATTACCTAGTGGTGCAAAGCAGGAAGCTTAGGATGGCACGGACCACATATTTACGTTCCCTAACCTAGGATGTACCCAAGGTTGTTACTCGAATTAGTGTATATCGCATCATTTTGTAGAGGGGTGGCGTCGAGCGAGATTTGTCATTGTTCGCGGGAGTCGTGCCCCTCCATTTGGAAGTCTATGAGCCTCTGATGTGGAATCAAGCAACCACATTAGGATATCTAACCTACCACCTTACACTAACAGCACAAGCAAGATAGGTAAATAATAAATACTGCAATTATTTCGAACCTATTCCTAATATTTCCAAGTTACCTAGCTTCATCAGTTTATTTATGACCATATCGTCAACCGCATTATATTATATACCTAAATACCTAACAGTCACCGTCGTAACCGAAGCCCTTATCTTATCGCCATTGCGCCCGCAACGCAATCGTAGTTAGTCGCAATTGCAGCTCGCTGTCGCATCGCAATAATGGCCTTCACCATGCCCAACTTCGTGTCGCGGTTCTTCCGACCCTTCATGTCTAGTACGCGCTTAGGAATAACCGCCGATACTAACGGGGGTGGCACCAACGGTGCGTCCGCGTCCGCGGTCCCCGAGGGCGCCGAGAAGGCCACTCTCGCCGCCGGCTGCTTTTGGGGCGTAGAGCACTTATACCGCAAGCACTTCGACGGCAAGGGCCTCTACGATGCCCGTGTCGGGTACACTGGCGGCGACCTAAAAGGTCCGACCTACCGCGTCGTGTGCTCGGGGCAAACGGGCCGTACGTTTCTCTCTCCTATCCCTTCCTTCTTCCTTGTCTTTGTCGTCCCCTTTTCTTTTCTCTCCTCTCTACTTCTGAATAGGTATCAGCTAATATGCCATCGTAATCGCAACAGACGCCGAGAGTGTACAGCTGCACTACGACCCTTCGCGCATAACCTACCGGCAGATCCTCGAGTTCTTCTACCGGCTACACGATCCGACGACGGCTAACCGCCAGGGCCCCGATGTCGGGCCTCAGTACCGCAGCGCCATCTATTACCACAGCCCCGAGCAGGAACGCATTGCGCGCGAAATCACGCAGCAGGTCAGCGAGCAATGGTATAAAGGCGCTGTTGTTACCGAAATTGTGCCCGCTGACCAATGGTGGGATGCTGAGGATTACCATCAGCAGTATCTACATCACAATCCCTCGGGCTATGAGTGCCCGACCCACTTTCTGAGGACGTTCCCGCCGCTGAAGTGAATGTGGAAGATATAAACTGCTGGTGTAGTTTACCGCGCCATGCGATTTCAGAGATATTCCGAGTGTCGCAAAACTCGGTACTTGAGGCGTATTAGCATGGATGGACCCACGAGAGACGAAGGCGAAATGATTCGTATAGGCTTCAAAACTAGATGTTGATACTCTCCTCATATATATAGGAAGACGCTAATATTAATCATATATTGGTTTCAATGCGGACCTATAGACTCCATGACCTAACCTATTCCATTAGTTTCCTGTCAAAACAAAAGACCTCCCATGACCCTGAAACGCCCAATCATGCGTATAAATACCGCTTTGTCGAGGTCAAATTATTAGGGACATCATATTCCCGAGCTTTGGCGGTGATGATACCTGGGTGAGGTATTATCTCGTCAGTAATCCGCTTCATCTAGCGGATCCGGATCCTCTATCTGACCCGTCTGCGGATTGCAGGTGTGTCCCGAACTCCAGTTGATGTATTTTTCTTTCCCGCCCATTGCCCGTGTACTCCATCCGTAATTGTGCATCCTCTCTATATTAAGCTCGCTGATCTTGGGCCGATAATCGTGCTTCGATGTTATGTCCTCGAATCTCTCACATATATCGCCGTAAATGAAGTCCCGTTTGACCCCTCGACCAATCAGAGGGTCTCGATGGCTATCCCATTTCTTACAGAAGTCAATCTTACCAACGTCCAACCACGTTGTTAGGATAAAGCCCCAGTTGAAAGGCTCCGGCAAGGGGACGACATCGATGCTATAATCAGTCGTACATTTGCGACAGCCCAGAACATCTCCCAGCAGCGCGGGCACGTCCATGTGATTCCATTTAGTCCCAGAAGATAACCATTTCAATCTTTCGTAGATCATGTGCCCATCCTGTTTTGATGCGTCGAACGACTCGCTATTAAAACAAGATGGTAAATGCCGTACCTCGATTTCACCAGAATGATCGGCGGTGCAAAAGGGCTCGGTCCACCGCTTTACCATCGGCGCGTAGATACTATTCCAATCCCGATGATTGCATAGTGGATAAACCCTGGGCAACGATACAAGCGCGTGTGGTGTTGTATCTCGTAGTATCTGTCTGAACAACCATAGTGCCAGCACTGACTTATCGATGGAGGAGACCACTTGCTGCTTTCTGAGAATTAAATCATCGTCGCGATATCTTATGCGCAGGGAATACTGAACCATGAATCCCTTTTGGTACGATGTCTGTGTATTATTGACCTGCTGCAATAGATGTCTATATTCAGCACCATGAATTCGGTGTTTTGTAATAGTACGAAGCAACTTTCTAGTTGCGCGCGAGGGCATATGATGCTCCACAGACCAATCGATACATTTAGGGGCTTTCCGCGGCGCAAAAGCGCGGTCTTTGAATGTAAGGAATGGATCGTGGAGCACTTTGCACTTATAGCAATAGACGAGATCTAATAAATCATAGTCTAAAAGGCTAAGCAACGACCCTCGGATCTTACTCTTAGAGCCATCCATTTTCTTAACAAATGCGTTTAGAGCTTTATATGGAGAGGTTTCGCTGGGGTCCAGTAGCTCAAGCTCCGTACACGAATGCAAGAAACGTGACATTAATTCTTTATTGACGAGGGCTAGGCATACGATGTTGGCGTGGGTGAGGTAGCTAGTTATGTTGTCAAACAGCTCTTGGGGAAGAAGGAATAAGTCAGAAACATTCCCCTCGGATCGGATCTCCCCAAGTGAATGAGTTACGCTAGCCTCGAGCTTTGGAGTATCGCTGTTGGCATCGCTGATATTGGTCATAGCGGCGCTGGAATCAGCAGGGCTGACTGGGTTGCCGATAGATGACTGGTCATCATTATCAACGACATCATTAGAATCCCCTTCATCATCAACATGACTCTTGCGCCGCCTGATAGATAATATCTTCAAGATGCCCTGCATTCGATGAGACTGCCGCAACTTGAAGCGAGCGTTACTTTATTAAATGATTAGCTCTTAATTCGTGAGGACAAGATAGCTTGGACGAGAGTAGCTTACTCGAATAATGATGTGCTATTAAATGGGGCCATATCATATATGATATAGCTGATACGGAATCCGGAAGAGGGTTCCAATGACTGATTGGAACCCTCTTTGCTTGGGGGAAAACAACAAATGAGGGAGATGAATTAGACGTATTTATACCAAAAGTCAATACGAACTATTGTGATATTATATTAATGGGTTGCAATGCAGGTAGGTATATAATTGTGAGATATTGCGAGATGTTGCGATATGTTGCGAGATGTAGTCCGAAGAGGTTGTTGTCCGGCGCAGAGGTAAGTACATGTGCTTTAGGTATTTTAGGTATATATTGTACCTATGCATTGTACCTATGCAGCTGCCTAGGCGAGAGTCAAATTGTCATCAATTGAAAGTGTCATCAATTGTGCTGAGGGTTGCCTTCTCTCCCTTTGCCACAGAGTTGGGACTAACCGTTAAATCATGGTACGAACTATAATACGAACTATATCACATAGTTACATAATGAGGAAAGGATTGAGAAGAAGGTCGGATTTACCGGCCTCTCCATTCAGGTCTCAGCCTCAACTTTCGATGGAATTTCGAGGGGTTATCGAATCAGCTGAACCCCCTTATCCCATATGAGGTACAATACATGGGTGCCTAGCGGTGAGTGGTTAGTGTGTTGCGCGTGTTCGGATTGTCGAGTCACCCGAGAATATCATACTACCAATCAATCTAATCAGGGGCTATTCACCCATGATACTATCCCCAATTATTTTACTATTTTTATTTGGCTATGCTAGTTTATACATTTTGTATGTATAGTCCTAGACAATCCTTTCGTTGCTAGGAGAGAGGAGAGTTTCCATTCTGCCTCTGATAGCCAGATTAAGCTGGGCATTATCAGCCTTATACTTAAGCCTAGCACTTAAGCCTAACCTCTTCTCTTCATCTTATCATGATAACCTGCCCTACTAATAAGTCCTTATCCTAATCACCATCCGATTACTTCCTGCGATTCTGCTGCATCAATAAGATCTGGACCATCCTGACGAAAATGTTCAAGAAGTCCAACTCGAGCGAAATGCTTTCGTTGACTGGGTCCTTCTTGATGATACCCTGTTCAGCCAAGCGGGCGTGGTAGAGGATCTTCTGCACATCGTATAGCGTGAAGCCACCAAAGACTGCCAGACCACCGTACAGCCAAATGCTCTCCGAAATTGCTAGTGATCGGACGGCCGTGACCGGTAGGACGAGCGGGGCAAGACCCGAAACAGCAACGATTGCAGCTCCGGCAAGGAGAGGGCCACCGATGTACAAATACTTCTCTTGCTTAGCGGTAGCGCCCACGATCGAGATAGATCCCATCATCGCAACAGTATAGAGGCCGGCACGAGCGATCAGAGGACCGGGTAAGAAAGCGACAAGAGGGGCGATGAAGGCAGCCTGGGTAGCATTGAACGCGACCCAAAGGGCGTACTTGGGGACGTAGCTGTCTTCTGTTAGCTACGTGTTGATTTTTTATTTTATTATTTTTTTTTTTAGGGAATTGAAAGGAACTACTCACTTATCAGGATCGATAGCTCGAGTTCCGAGCATAGTGCCAATGCTGAGAGCCAGACCTCCAATAGCCACAACCCACGGGTTCGTTACCATTATTCTGTAAACGAAACCGCTCTGAATCATCTGCCGCGCCGTGATACCGATGATGCCGATACCAAGGCCAGTGTGAAGGAAGGTCGAATTAAGGTAGGATCGCTCGTATGGTGGCATACCGCCATCCTCTCGAGTCTCGCGGTTGAAAATGGCGTTGATTGCGATGAGAGTGCCGCCGAAGATTGCGCCACCAGTTAGCAATCGTCGCATCGTCGAGCCAGAGTCGGCCTCGGGGGCAGCAGGTTGTTGTATGTATGTTCTTGACGATTTCGTGAATGCATTTTTCGGTGTCGTTCGCGACAGCGCTGATACGAGCGTCGTTCGCGATGTGAAGAAGTTGGATGATCTGGTAGCGGACTGATGGAAAGCTCGGGCGGGAACTACGGTTCGAAGAGAGGATTTGGAGATCTCTGGCAACCTGGATGCCAGGCGCGCAGGTCCCTGACGGAGAGTAATCGTGAAGGACATTGTTGCGTGCTTCGCAGGTAAATCGGTTATGAAAAGCGACAAAAAGGACGATTAAAATTGGACGATTTGTTCAAGTTATATTATAGAAAAAGATTGTGTACAATGCAGACAATGACGCCTGATTGATGCTCAGTGGAGGGAATGGCTGATGTAATAACCCACTTATGACTGGTAAAAAATGACAAGTGGAGGCGGAGAAGGAGCTGGAAAGAGCCGACGGGCTTCTGTGGGAAGCTGAGCTTCTTAACCCCGGCGCTACTCCGGACATGCATGTATGTAGGTAGGTACCATAGCGGCAAAATGTGGTTTCGTGGAATGATTGCTAAAATTGGAATGGCCTAATAAAATGTGGAACCCACTGCAAATTTAAGGCCTTTAATTGGGTAATATATAATAAAAGTGGGTCAAAGCCTGGAACCATTCCGCAAATGTCGGAATGGTTCCTAAAAGTGGAATGGTCCAATCATATTTTTTTTTTAAAAAAAATTTCTAAGTTAAAATTTTACTTTTTTGAAAGTAAAGCTTATAAGGATAAAAATCAATTAAACTTTCGTACTAATTCGATGAGACTGGCCACCTCGTCCCATTAGCTCAAACGTTTAAACACCCCCACTGTGGGGTAACACAAACGTGGGAGCTATGGGTTCGAGGACCAGTCTTTTCAAATTTTTAGCGTTTTTTCTAATTTTTAGGAGGGCATTCCAACTTTTGGAATCATTCCAACCCTTGTGGAATCATTCCAACCCTTGTGGAATCATTGTAAGCCTTGTGGAATCATTTGGTCTGAATTGAAACATTATTATACATGGAATCATTGTAATAGGTTGGAACCATTCCATGAAACCACATTGTGCCGCTATGGTACCTAAGTACCTCTTATAGTTATACTGAAAACGCGAGTTGCAGTTTGAGGTCCTTAAGTACATATCAGGTTCGTAACGTTGATGGCTGATACGTAATAGGACATATACTCTTAGGTCGCATACCTTTTCATGTCCGATTTTAATTTGATTAGATCTACTCATATTTACTCATTATTGACGTAACTTGCCTTATAACACTATGGAGCTTCTAGAGATACGCTTCATATCAAGCACTCGTCTTCACGAAACCAAACTCACCCAATTTAGGGTTGACACGCAAGCAGTAGGTAGGTATAGAACAACGAGGCACATAACTGATATACATGATCATGAGAACTAACTGACTGACCACTTCCGTAAACCCGGTACGTTGCACGTAAGCAGGCTCTGGTGTTTCGAGGCGATGCCTCTCCCTCGCAAAGCGCCGTCGCTATTGGCGAAGGCCACAATGTTTGGGTTATGAAGAGGTAGAAGAGACTGAGAGAGCTCTCTTCAGTGCTTTCTCTTCTTTTTTATTTCTTCTTCAAGGTGGTTCGGTATCATCGCTGCTCTCCAACTACGCGTTGCATACTCGTATTCAAAGCGAAACACTCAAAAAACGATGTCCGAGACACCACCTTCCGTGCTTCAATGGCTTCGCCTCTCAAATCGAGATGTCTCTGACATATGGATTGGGTGCCTAGTCACTATCTCGGCCAGCACCTTCTTAGCACTTCATCTCAGTGTGGAGCCTTATACTCCTCCGGCGACCCCAAGGTCATTGCTGAAAAAGTGGTGGTTATCACGTTTTAATCATGAATTCCGACGACAAGTACTCTGGACAATCGTAATGGTTATTGCGCCCGAGCTGATGGTCGGGTTCTCATTTGGTGATTGGCGTGCAGCGTCTATCGGCTCTCATATGTTTAAGAGCCTCGGAAAAGGACGTGTTAACGAATGGTCCAAGACTCATGCCAGTTTTGCAAATATGGGCGGTCTCAAATTCAAAATGAAGACCGATTCACCCAACGGTGCTCAATTCCGTTTGATTGATGAGAAGGTCTTGCTGGAAACATTTAAGAATGCAGATGTCTATAATACGACCTTCAGGATCCTAGGGTGTCTCATCGAAAATTATACCATGCCACTAATCTTGTTCCTGGAAAATATCTTCAAGCGCTTTTCTGATTGTTTGAAGAGTTTATGGGCTTCTATAAAAATTTTCGGAAGAGCAAAAGCATCAACAGCCCCTCCTCACGATCGATCACCAGCTATATGTTCCCCCACTCAAAACATCGAGCTCACCAACTTAAACACCCAGCCCGGAACCCTAAGAAATAGTGTTCGAAATAGACGTGAAACGGACGAGCCAATACGGAATGAAGCGTCCTCGGCGCAAGCAGAGAATTCGGGATCTCATGTGCCAGGCGAGGCTATAAGTTCTATGGCTGCATCAGCCACTGGTGATAACAATGCATCTCAACATTCACGCACAGACAGGGATAGAGGAGCGATGGACCTAGTCCATGGTGAAGTAATTCTCTATCTAAACGCGGCGCAGATTGTCGTAGGCCAGTATCTAGGTATTCTCGATGAAGGACCCTTATTAAACGAAGAAGCTATCGAGGACAAGAGCAAGACCAACCCTCTAGCGAAGGGTATCGCAGTTATATCGCTGTTCTGGTTTATCTTGGGGATATTCATCCAGCTCTTCCAGAACGAGGAACTCACCCAGCTGGAGCTCTCAACTTTTACGTATGCGATCTGCGCGGCTATCGCATATTGTCTGTATTGGACCAAGCCCCAGGCCGTCGAAGTCCCGATAGAGCATTCAGTTATGAATTCAGATGCCGTTCGCTCGATAACCCATAACGATATGGACATTCTCAAAGACTCCAGTGGCAGTCCCTTCCTAAGGCGAAACTGTACCCCGCGGTTCTACAAAGACAACAGAATAGTAGAACCGTCAGAGCCAGTCCCCACAGACGTATCGCTTACCGTGTTTGCTATCGTTGGGTCTAAAGAGAAAGCTGTCTTACTATATGACGCTGATCTGGGTAGCATAGCCATGGGCGTGGTATTTGGGGCTATATACTGCCTTGGATGGAACAATGCCTTCCCCTCGCGCTGGGAGCAACTTGCCTGGCGCATATCATCTTTAACTATAACAGCGTCCCTCATACCGTACTCTATCGCCAACGCCATCTGTACAATAGCATTCGGTAGGCTCACGGGCAGTAGGGCGCGAATGACGCATCCCGTGCATATCCTGGCGCTTGTTTTTCTGGGAAGTGTTTACGTTGCCTGTCGATTTTTTATGCTTTATGAGATGATTCGGGCGCTGATCACATAGACTATGTAAAAGGGGTAAAGTCTAAGATCCACCAATATCTCGGAAATCTTTAATGTAATTGTATTGTCACGGGATTTGTGAAACAATCGATTATCTAATATTTGGAGGTTTATGGTTTATATTAAAAACATTTCAGCCCCTTCAGCCCCTCTCACGGGCATTTTCATTCGAATACACTAATAAGTAAGAATACCAAGCACCGTATAAGAACGCGATATATACCTGATAACCTGCGCTGTTATGAATTTGAGCCTTCGATATGGATGGTCTATATTTTGATACATTTGGCGAATGCCCGATCGACAGCTCTATTCCGACTGATATTCAAAGCGGTTACTCGTCTTGTTCTGAGGCAGAAGAGATCCCTTGTCCTAGATGTCTGAAAACGCGCGGAAAGCTTTGCCGGAAATGCAAGCTTAGGTTTCACGCTCGTGGTGATGCCAAAGGGAATGCCAAATCATCGTTAGAGCTCGTCTCAAACCAGAAACCAAATATGTCAGATGACCATACCGCGGGACAATATCTAGAAAGCCTTGGGCTATCGAAAATTAAGATGCCGCATCGGCTGTCGTCAGATAGTTCGCCCACTAAATATGACGAACCTACGCAAGCTGATAAAAAGACGTCACAGTATATGATGTGGGGGGAGAGTAGCGGCGAAAGCTATAGGAGACGAACCAACAGAGAACGGAGCTTTAACAAATACCCGGAATGGGATCAAGTAGGGTACGTGGAGTCGAGATACAGCGTATATCAAGAATGGAACCGAAAGGGAACCCAGGAATGGAGCTACAGCAAGTATGAAGAATGGCACCAACGGGACTATGGGCAATGCTGGCGCAATCAACATGAGTACCGGTCGAAGCGATATCGAGAGCGTAGTCACTTCATCCAGGGAAGAGCACTACAGCCCTGTCAGATCCGGTCGATGAAGCCGAGCGTTGATCGCGACGAGCCGCGCTACATGGCTGAGATATGGCAATATACTTCTGGAAATCGAGCGTCAAGTACGCGCTTGGTACCTCTTTACGGTATGCAAAGCTGCGGGATATTAACCCTGCCATATGGTAGTAGAGTATGTGCTACGCAGCGAAAGCTATACCTCAAAGTCCCTGGCGGGTACCCTTGGTTTATACTTTCGAGATGGGCTGTAAGGACATGTGCAAGGATTATCGCGATTGCCTACTCATTCTTTTGGTATGGGAAGTTCCCTGACCCCGTACTGGAGGAACTGGATTAGTCTTCATCTTTGTGGTAGGAAATTTGACAGGGTATACTCAATTTGATGTGTTGGAATTCCTGCAACGAGGAAATATGACTTCACACATATATATGCTAGTGGGGCTCAAAGAAGCGGAAATGAAGCGGTAGTAAGGTTGTTTTCTGCTTTATTCCCGTACGCCATGTAGGAATCCGGAGTCCTCAGGACTGGTGCTTAGGACGAATTATAGATAACGTAGTGGTAGATTATACTCACAATTACGAGTCCTTGCCTTGACAATAACTTTGGGGTTTGCTTTTGCTATCAGGGATCACTAGCCCTGAATTCTGCGTATGATTTCTCCTTAACCATCAGCGATAGCAGCTATGAACACCGATAGGACTAGGAGCATCTCAGGCTTGATGAACCTGAAATAGAGATATGGCGTGACCCGTACGCCCCTGGTGCGGGATAAGTGTGACGGAAGTATGTATGTAGATTTGAAGGCTCGTATTTACACGTTAGGGGTGCTCTGTTAAATTGTTGGAGAAGAAACAGACTGTAGCTTGGAGCTTACATACGTCTGCTCCTTCGTTGGGGGGCATATCTTTACGCTATCATGCTTATTGAAACTTACAATTCGAGTGGTTATACGAACATGACCTCGCCGAATTTTCCTAAGAATATAAGCATTGGGGTTCGTACATGAGCCAGTCAAAATCTGACATATCGCAATCTTGAAATCAAGGTAGTTGAAATATCAAAACAAGCGCTAGAAACACGGCTGACGTTATCTACCTAGATATCTGTCTTAAGAGAAAACTCGCTGCCTTCCTCTTTGACACGTTTCGGTGGTCATCTAACCTAGGAACTCGTTGGAGAACAGAGGGTTGCATTTAAGCTAGACCTTCCCGTTGTAGGTCAATAGTCTAAATGAAATGGGTTGTGTACGTGCATCTTTCGCGACCCCGGTAGCATTGCAGCCAATACTCTTCAGCCCTTAAATCGCGTATAATCCTGAAGTCCTTACATATATCTACAGCTATCTTCGGCATTTGAGAAATTTGAGCAATCCTATTACCTACGACGGGATTGCTTACCGTACGCGTCCACTAAGCATACCAAGACCCAGGAGGACTGGAGGGGTAGGTAGTGGGGGATAGAAGGGCGCTAGAACTCTTCTCGAAGCTCACCCGAGTCAGGCGATCTTCTTGGCCGTGGCCCGTGTGGTCGTATCTTCGCGATTTGAAATGTTTCGGGAGGACTTCGAGAATGGTGACACTATGTAAGTACATACGAAGGAGCGAGTAGGTACAACCTGCCGAATCGCCGACCAGGATTCGATCCACCGTATCTATTGATTGCTACCTAGGTAGTAATCAAGATCTTCTACTCGAAATTGGACGTCGTCTGCGAATCTGTTCTACGCGTAGCTGTAGCTTAAGGGAGAGAACTATACTTTAATATCAACTCTGAGCTAGGCATATAGTCGTTAGTTCTATCTCACAATTAGTTAGGTTGGTGGTTAATCAATTGGTCTAAAGTCCTCTGTTGGTATATCCAACCAACACAGCTAGGCGCCTCTCCTCTGATGTAGCATGTATTACTATATAAGTCTTTGCGCATTAACAATTGCCAACATGCTGATCCTACAATTCATGGAAGGCGTAAAGAAAATTACTTCCAAATTATTCTCGCCCCATCCGGGTCGCATTTTTCTTGTATTTTCATAACATTGAGTATATAAATAGACCTGTACGCAAGCCGTAGGAGGGGAGTGGTAGGTAATTGGCACGCTTACTCCGAGAAGGCTGTTGGATGTTCCCAGTATCCGGTAGCTGTTTCAGTATATATTATGGGCTTGAATAACAAGAGTGAGATTACGGCGTGTAAGGCCCCTTTGACCGTAATTCTGGGCTTTGAAATAGAAGCCTAAATCCTCAAGTAGTTAGGTAGGTATCGCAAGTTTTACGCCCCTAATATAGCCAAGTACTACGGATACGGGTAGTTAGCTCGCCAAGGATTTCTAATCATAGCTACCTATGTTATGTCTTCATAAGGCTAACAGGAAAAGGGAACAAGTTCAATTGCTCTTTAGGGTTCTGTCGTAATCATGTTTCCTTATAGCATCCTTGTTCTCTTGCGTCTTCTCTTACCCGAGCTCTCATGGCTTTCTTGGAGGTATGTACCTGAGCGAAATGGTACCTTGAAAGCTCAGACTGGTATAACCCTAGTAGCCGTGGACCCTACAGTTGCTAAGTTTAGCAACTGAATCCTCATCTACAACCCCGGAGGGGTTCCTACCTATATGTAGCCCGTGCATTTCCAGGGGTAGTTCGGTGCCATTATGCGCTCCGTGCTTCAGAGCTTCTCTGCTTCTTTGTCCACGGAATCCTTCCATTCGATCTCTAAAAATCTACAACGCATCATTGTCATGAAATACGTACAAGAGAAAAAGCAGCTATAGCTGGCAAAGTCGATGAAGAGGTCCCACACTCCCTTCACATATCGGGGTAGATCTGCATCAGCTCGACGTGTTTCACCTCCCGTCATTTTTCTGGCCTTACAGCCTCGACACGTAAGTTTTTTATACCGTCTTCTCCGCGATTTTCCTTGCTTAACGCACCTGTTATTTAGTACCTCCTAGCAATTAAGCACCTAGCACCTGAGAATACCAAGCCTAGGTAGCTCTAACCGCCCCGGGCTGCGGTTTTCTGCAGCTGCACGCACGATAGGTCGCATACAACAAAGAGGGCGACATCTTACATTACCTACATGCACATCATAATTTGGATTCTCACACCAAAGACAGTCATCATGTTTCTGAGCTAGCCTGTCTTCCTACCTTTTTTCCGCCTTTAAGTTTGTTCTTGATATTATTATTATTATTACTATTATTGTTTGTAGCCCTCGTCAGCGTGCTCGCCCCTGAAAGGATAGAAGGACCCTGAACGTCCCTCTTTTATTTTTATTCTTACATGCGAATACGTATGTATATACGCACTGTCTTTGGAAAGTTGCTGTACCTCCAAAGTACCACAAAGTAGAGCTTCTCTCGTCGAAGACTTGCGCCTCATCAACATTCAGCGTATTGGATTAACAAAACCACCTTTGGCATACCTTTCCGCTTTCCCCCTTCTCTCCATTTTATCTCGGGGCAATTGAATTTCAACAGTCTGCCTACCTACGAACCAAATAATTCAAGCCAGGTACTACCTATGCAATAGATTGTGAGTTCTATATCAACTCCATCACATACCTGGTCCTTGTTTGAGAGAGTAAGATAACCTAATATAGATTTGCATTTAGAATCAACTCCGAACGATCCCCGCTAGTAGAACTTCTCGAACCGCACTTATTTCCTATGCACGCGACTACGCTCCCCGCCATGTATCTTAGTTTCCTGGCTTGACAACTACCTCAAGATCTCCTAGCAGCGCCACTCGAGTCAGCTTTACTGCTAATGACGCCGCGAGCTTTTTTAGCGCCAGAAGCTCCATCATAGAATCGGTTCCAACATATACTTTAGCTCCCGTGCTTCCGCTCTAGTTTCTTCCAAGATCGTCGCTCTCCGCATGATAGATTAAGGAGGCGTAAAGAGAACCCCAATAAAAAAAAATAACGTACCCCGTATTTGGCGCTGCCGCATGGGGAACCCGCGATTTCTCGGCAGGGTATAGCAGGAATCGTTTCTTGCCTAAAGTGAAAGATCGAAGTTTTGCCCCTCAATTTAGAGAGACCAAAGCAATCTGAGGCCATTATCTACTATCTGGAGCTATCCAAAGGCTGTTAAGGGTCAAAGAAGGAATAATCGTTTCTCGGAATCCGAAACTGGGGTAATAGGGAGCTTACATACTAAGCCTATACACGAGGACTCGTGAAGTAGCCATGAGGCGGAATAGAGTGCCAGGCTCTCCGCCTTCGCCCTATAGGGCTCTGGCCCACCATCCGGCTAATGGTCAACCTGGCGACTCCGTCTCCTTGATTAGGTCGTTCAATAGTGAGACCAACCCGACCCGGCCCATACGCCCTTCCCCACTTACGGCTTCGACCATCCCTGACATGCCGCTTGATCTTCTCGACCGCATGAGATCCTTTCCGCTCTTCATGTCAGCTCCCGAGGAGTTTCTGGTAGCTATCGGCAAGCATCTAAGACCCCAGATCCATTCGGCGCACGACCACATCTTAACGGAGGGCGACGAGGCAAAAGCGATGTACTGGTTAGTCCGGGGAGTTGTTGGGGTGACTTCGCGGGACGGCGAGGCCGTATATGCTGAGCTTAAACCGGGATCTTTTTTTGGTGAGATAGGCGTACTTATGAACATGCCTCGAACGGCGACTATTGTCGCGCGCTCGAAATGTCTACTTCTTGTACTCAAGAAAGAGGACCTCGCCCTGGAGCTGCCTAGATTTCCCGATATGGAAATGGCTATTAGACAAGAGGCACACGAACGTCTGACCATTCTTAACAAGAAACGGCAGGAAAGGGGACATAGCCTCAAAGTTGCGAATGGATCGGCGGCCCGAGAAGCTGCTCCGGGCGAGGTATTAACTGGGGATGTCGGTATAATTAAGGAAGGGGCCGTAGTAAACCATAAGAAGAGGAAATCTCCCAGTCCGGGAGGGATGGAGGACCCAACAGCAGGAAGTGCGTTAGGAAGTGGCCTCATAAATGTGCGGCAGACGCTTAAGGAGCTACCCCTATTTTCGACGCTGCCCCCTGATATTCTTCATTTCCTAGGGATGAGTGCGCAACCTAAGACCTATCCACCTTTCACCGATATAATCCGCCAAGGGACTTCCGGTAACGAAATTTTCTTCATTGTGCGGGGCGAGGCGGAAGTGATCCACGATGCGGCCGAGGGGAAGCAAAAACGGATAACACGCTCGTCCGTAATAAGGCCGCGTCTCAGACAAGGCCAATATTTCGGAGAGGTTGCTAGCCTGGGTCTTTCTGTCCGACGAACTGCGACGGTCAGGTCTATCACAGCTGTTGAATGTCTCATGATTAGTGGTGAGGCTCTGGGCGAATTATGGAAACGATGCCCGCCAGAAATAAAGAAACAGGTTGAAGATACGGCAAGGACGCGGATTAGGCCGAAAGAAGATGTCGAAATGGTAGACGCGGAGCCGATGCGTAAGAAAGGCTCGGTATCACTAGCCCCTCTACGGCCTCCACAGGTTACGTTTACAACTCCATCCATACCCGCTTCCCCGGTAAAGGATGAGTTAGATCAGATGGAACCAAAAGATCCCGACCCTTTTCTAAGTGTTGATATGGAGAATCTAAGAAACCGACGTCGAGGATCCCTTGCGCCGCCTATACCACCGCCAAACGAACCTCCTAGCGCCCCAACAAGTAACGGCTTACGTCTACACAAGCTCAATACTAAATTCAATACTTCTACAACCATCCAATCCCCTTTATCATACTTTTCTCCCGATATAGAAGTACCAACAAAGAAAGTCAAGATATTCCCCAGCCGGCCGCAACCCATCCAAGACGCTCTACTTCCTGACGATATCCTGGTGACGATATTCCAGTTCCTCGACCTTGCCGAGCTCATTCGGCTAAGACAACTGTCATCCCATGTGCGCAGGCTCCTAGTTACCTCGCCGAAACTATGTACTCACGTGGACCTCACATCCTACAACCGCTTTATAACAGATGAAGTCCTCATCAATATAATCGCGCCGTTTCTCGGGCCGCGACCGATTTCGATAGATCTTAGCAACTGCTTTCACATCACGGATGAGGGATTCTCTACGTTGTGGAAAGTCTGCGGCAAGCACATCAAGGTCTGGAGGATGAAGTCTGTATGGGACGTCTCGGCCAACCAGATCTTAGAAATGAGCGACAATGCTAAGGATTTGGAAGAGGTCGACTGGAGTAACTGCCGGAAGGTTGGTGATAACCTGTTAGCTCGAGTAGTCGGCTGGGTTGTCCCGGACAACCCCCCGCAGAACGCGAAGCAAAACGCGAATCAGAACCCCGCCGCTACAACACAGCGCCTCCGAGTCCAGCAGCGGCCACAGGCGCAGGCGCAGGCGATAGTCCTCCCGCCTCCCGGCACCGTAATCGGTTGTCCGAAGCTCAAACGTCTCGACCTATCGTACTGCAAGCATATAACAGACCGATCAATGGCGCACATGGCAGCGCACGCCTCAAATCGACTAGAATCTCTAACTCTAACCAGATGTACCTCGATCACCGACGGTGGTTTCCAAAGCTGGGCCCCATTCCGATTTTCCAATCTATCCCGCCTCTGCCTCGCCGATTGCACGTACCTCTCCGACAATGCAATCGTCGCCCTCGTCCACGCTGCCAAAGCCCTAACGCACCTCGATCTATCCTTCTGTTGCGCGCTCTCAGACACCGCAACAGAAGTCGTCGCGCTGGGTCTTCCCGGCCTGCGCGAGCTGAAAATGGCGTTCTGTGGTAGCGCGGTGAGCGACAATAGCCTCGCGTGCGTCGCACTGCACCTCAACGACCTCGAGCGGCTTAGTGTGCGCGGGTGTGTGCGCGTCACGGCCTCGGGCATCGAGAGCGTGTTGGACGGGTGCGCAAATCTCGAGTGGGCGGACGTGAGCCAGTGTCGTAATTTAGAGGGGTGGATTAGGGGCGGAGGTGTTGCGAGATGGGGCTACGATGAGAGGGCTGAGATTGGAAAGAGCGGCGGTAGAATGGCGAGTGGGATGATGCAGAATTCGGATTATGAGAAGTCCGGAGTTGCATTTGTGGTTGAGAAAGGGGCGGGCGCGCTGCGTTGAACGGGACGAGGCGATCTTGGACATCAAAGCTACCTATGCTGTCGGATGAAATCTTAAAAAGGGGGCTGGCTGGCTTGCATTACTTACGGCTTTGGCGATCTACGATACGATACTTTTGCGATGTTTGCGCAACTTATATGGCCGCTGATCCGGGTTGGATCTCGGCAGCTTGTGATATACCCTTGTCACGTCACATGTATGGAGTTAGAGTATTCGATTCGTTTACATATGTGGGATTGCCGTATGCTTAAGCTTGGGTTGTGTATTACTGTCAGATTGACCCCATGGCCAAAAGGTATCATGTATTTTCATACAACTTACGCGGCCGCGCATGTATATTTCATAACAATCCCGCGGAATCTGCTAATCTCACCGAGCTATTGGCCAGCCTCACATCTAAACAAATAGCCTCGTACAATACAGTCAGCTTTATACATACTTTCGAACCTTACATCGGACCTCGTTTGCAGCCTTTTTAATTCGCAATGACTGCATGCGACTGTATAGGTAGTCTTAAATTAATGCACGCAACCGAGTAAAAGCGATATAATTAAACGTATAGGCCTTGTGTCGTAATTAAATTCAACTAATTAAATTGAATAAAAGGCTGTACGGAAAGGAGTAAAGGTATTGCCAGCCAAGCGGCGTGGAATTTAACCAACAAAAAGGGGCGCAGGCTGCCTATTTCGAACAACGAGGGACGTGATTTAACCACGTACTTGAGAACGGACTTAACCACGGATTTAACAACTAGGTACTTATGGGATAGTTATTGGTTACCGTTATAATGATTGAAGTGGTTTTAGGCTTAAATAATTGTATCTCCGCCGCCGAAGCCGCGCCGGGCGGAGGGACGGGTGCGAAACGAGCCCGAAACGAGCGCCGAATGCCCGTTTTTCTCGGCGCGGTAAAGTTGACGGCGTTACGTAATGTGGCTTAATCTCATGGGTAAATTCGGGTATTACCTATATGCCTTTAAAAAGATATTTTTTACTTAAATTTATAAATTGATTATATATTATATAAAGTTGCATGATATGTAATCCCGGTTAATTACCTGTTTTGCACCGTAGTATAAACCGACCGGTACACTGCGCTTAGTGTCACGTATAACACGGCTTCACATGCCTTTTCACGTCCTTCCCCTTTTTCTCATATCAGATGAATGACATCACCGTGGATGACCTCGTAGTCCGCGAGTCCGTTCAGCCGGCTGTCTCAAGTTGCGCTGGTTGTCTCTGAAGTGTACCCTACCCCAAACAATAAACATACCTAGGCATCTCACGCTCCATGCAGGGACTCGCGTCTAGGCCGCGGGGAAACCTTTCGGCTCGCTCTATTAACCAGGCCATTAACCAGGCCCATGGTTTCGGCAAGTGTACGAACACCCCCCCGAAGTCGGGGTTCGGGTCCTTTCCAGTTAGCGACAGTAGGTAACTAAATGGTCGACGAAAGGATCCGACACGATCCACGAGAAAATGCACCACTGTCAACACGTTTTCCTCACCTTCACCCCGCGTTCCATAGAATAGCCCATCCTGCCCACGCATACATCGTCCACTAGACGCAAAGTCACTTTACCCAAGAATCATGTCACGGCCATTCCAAAAGGTAGAGTCTAGAATTTAAAAAAATAATACATATTGCCATCCCCCCCTTTATCTTCGCGATCTCGACTAATATAAATGCTACCGTTATTAGGTAATCATTGTGGGAGCCGGCCCCTCGGGTCTGCTACTGGCGCTGCTCCTTTCTAAACATGGGATTCCCGTGGAAATCCTGGAAGCCTCGCACGAGCTGGATCAGCAGCCGAGGGCCGCTATTTATGGCCCTCCCGCAATCCCAGATCTAAGGCGTGCCGGTGTGATCGATCAGATCCGCGAGAAGGGCATAAGCCCGACATCGATGTCCTGGCGGCGTTTCGAGGACCACAGCTGGATCACGGGTATGGACGCCGCCGCGCTAGCCGACTACAACGGCGAGGACCTACGCCTTGCGTGTCTAGTCCTGGGCGAGCTGGACCAGTTGATGCTCGATGAGTTCCTGTCTAAGTACAATGGCAAGATCAGTTGGAACCACAAGGTTACGGGAACGGGCCAGGACGAGAAACAAGCCTGGGTCGACGTTGAAACCCCGGAGGGTACGAAGAAAATTTACGGCGACTACATCATCGGGTGTGATGGTGCGGGAAGCCAAGTGAGGAAGTCCCTCTTCGGAGACGAGTACCCTGGTTTTACCTGGGAAAAGCAGATCGTAGCGACGAACGTGAGATTCCGAACTCTCCCCTTACGCGGCGATAGTTAACCCGAGGATATAGGTCTACTATGACTTCTCGAAGTTTGGATTCAGAGACTCCAATTTCATCCTACATCCTGATCATTTCTACGTGAGTTATTCTGATGTCGCACGATACTTGTAGGAAGCAAAGGGGGATAACTCCCATCTTCGGAAAACTAACCGAGACACACGTATATAGATGGCGGCTAGGCTCACCGAAGATGGGCTCTATAGAGTAACCTATGGTGAATCCCCCGGCCTAACCTGGGAGCAAATGCTCGAGCGTCAGCCGTGGAAGTACGAGATAATGCTGCCGGGACACCCCAAGCCAGACCAGTACAATCTCGTCATGATATCGCCGTACAAGATGCATCAGCGATGCGCGCCTTCCTTCCGCGTAGGCCGGATCCTATTGGCGGCCGACGCGGCACATCTGTGTAACCCGTGGGGTGGCATGGGTATCACAGGCGGATTTGTAGACGTAGGCGGGCTATACGACTGTCTAGCGGGAATTTGGGATGGCAAGGCGGACGAGTCGATCCTAGACTTGTACAGCGAGAAGCGTATTGAGAAATGGAAGACGGTGATCGACCCCATTTCCCAGAGCAACTTCCGCCGCGTGTCGGACAGCGATCCGGATACCCTTTTAGAGCGCGATCCCGTCATGAAGGCGTGCAAAGACGCCGAGGACGACCTCGAGAAGCAGAAGGCCATGTACCTGAATTTCTTCGACATGCGATACGACTTTACGCAGCATTATAAGACAGCTTGATGTGAGGTACAGGGATGACGCGTCAGGGATATATATGTGTTGTGCTACCGGTGTGTCGAATATATCTGCCTCTTCATATTAGACTTTTTAGAGTAGCTGCATCGAATCCTATGTTATAATTATGAGGGTTTGGACTTGTCGTAGTTCGACAGTGGCTATTTTAACTCTTTTACATCATTAACGCTCACTGTGCTAAATATCCCTTAAGTAGCGACGCAATTTTAGATGACAGAAATGCTAGATAACACAAGAATATACATAGTCTGAGACAATATAACACAGGGTATCATTTTGGTACCACAAGAAATATACGATAGTAAACAATAGGCCCTACAACTTCAATGCTGGCCTCTAGCCGATAAAGCTAGCTCCTCGTCCAAGTTTCTACCGACACACTCGGAAAAGGGGCCCCTTACAAACTGGCTTTTCCCCTGGATTCGAACGGCAATGTCCCCACGAGGAGTCCGGCTGCAACGAACAATGCACCACTCGTGTAGACCGGAGCCGATGTCTGCAGATTGGCAAACATAGCAATAATAGGGGCCATAATGCCGAAGATGCGGTTCGACGTCGCTGTTAGTGCATTGCCGGTGCCTCGGTCCTTTGTGGGAAATAGCTCGGGCGTGAAAGCATATAAGACGGCATACATGATATTACTCGTAAAGTTGTAGGCGCAGTTCCACCCTAATAGACTCGATGAGTTGGTCGCGGTAGTCGAACAATAAAGAAAGACACCGGTCAAGATCGTGCTTAAACCTAAAGCGCCTTTTCGTCCGAAATGCGGTAGTTCGACAAGAGCGCCGCCAGCAAGAGCGCCAGGCACGCCAAGCACGGCAATGATGAGCGAATTGCGGTATGTGATGTAAGTTGACCCGTCGCCAAAGTCTACACCACGAGTGCTCTGGATATATGGGAGGAAAGCATTATACAACGGGTACCTATAAGACGTTAAAAAGTGTAAAAAAGAATAGCAACCGTTTTTCAGACTTACCCGAGACCGATAAAAGCCCATACCACCATTAGCGCCCCTGTGCTATACGCCAGCTTCCCCGTAGCAAATAGAGACCGGATATGAGTAAGATTGATGCTTTCTAACTTGCGCTTTACGGCATCATTCGCAGTTATCCTATTTTCGTATCCGTCCGGTTCGCAGGCTTTTAAATCTTCGACAGTCAACGATGAGGACTTCTTGTTTCGCCGTGCCACTTCGTGAACTATGCGCACTGCTTCCTCATCCAACCCCTTTCCCATGAGATACTTGGGCGACTCGTAGATGGTAAAGCAGAAGAAGCGGAGAATGAACATGATAAGCGTTAGTCCGCCCATCGTGATCATGAAATAACGCCACCCCATATTCTTGGCCCTGGTGCAGTCCGGATCCGTCTGTTGGCAGGTAAAGTTCCCTAGCAGTGGCCACGCAATTAAGTTAGCTACAACTTGGGCAAGAGCCCAGTCGATAGAGAGGATAGTGAGTAAGTATTGGTGAGATCCTGGGAGGAACTCGAGGAAGATTGCAGAGTCGACTGGTAAGTTGCCACCGACGCCAAACGACCAAAATGCGGCGAATACCCCAATAGCCGCGAAATTGGGTGCAGAGGCAGCTATCATCCCCCATACCGCTGTTACACCAAGAGTTAGATTAAAAGCCCATCTCCGGCCGAAGACGTCGCAGCCAAACCCCCAGAACACCGCTCCGAAGAGCAGGCCGATGTTCTGAGCAAGACTTAGCAACGGGGGGCGCGATGGATGGAATTCATTAGTGATAGACGTGAATATGAGCGACGTGACGATCGGCCAAAGATTATCAGACGCCCAGCCGAAACCCACAACGATGAAGAGCTGCCATTGGTACCATCCCATGCCAATATCCTGAATCTGCAATCCAAACTATTAGGAAGACATACCAAGAGCGAGCATCATGGAAAGATCCGTACCGCTCTATTCAAGACTCTCGCTTTGGCCTCGTATACGGGATCAATTGTTCCCTTGGGGATCGTACTGACATCCTCAATCCCAACAGCAATGTCTTCTCCCAGTTGCTGTTCAGTATTCGTATTGCCCTTTTTGACCGGACTCCCCCCCATGATTGGCTCGCTCAATAACTAAGCCGACTCTATACTAAAACAAGAATAGTAGAAAAACGATCGTAAGACTAGCAACGCCGACCCATATATAACAGAAAGCTGAGGTGTCTATACTAAAAGTATACCTATATTAAATGTTTCGGTCGTCCGTAGCTAGAAAAAAGCTTGTACATAGCTTAAATGGAAATCCGGGGAAAGCCCCAAAAATTTCAGCTGCGATCAACGCAACACGAGCTGCATATGACGTGCTTGGAGAATCCTTGCTCATAAATGGTCGGAAACGGTCCTTTTTTACTGGGGGTTGAGGTGCTTACAGACGTACAAAGAAAACATGTTTCAAAATGGAAAAGGAATTGTTAAGAATAGAAACTACCTACCTAATAAGGTATTTGGTATAAGCAATGCTAAAAGGGCAGTAAAAGAATCGAGCGTCGAAGAACCCTAGGAAAAGTCTCTAAGGAGGTAGATATCTAAAACTAAAAACGTGTAGTACTAATACATTCTAGATTCTAGAATATTTCAGTATCTCCCCAGGATTTTCTCACATGTAATAGTCCCCTATCCCTAAAAGCTGTGCCGCCCCAAAGGTGTCAACCAAAGTGTGGCAATAAGCTCAACGCCGGTGAAATATCTCCTCAGATAACTATTATAGGTAGCTACATCACGTAGCCACTTAATAATTCAGACGGCATCATTCATCTCCAGCTCCCAATTCTCCATATCCAATCTTCCAGACGGCAACAGCGCACTCGTATCGCCGTCTAGCCTGGCATCTCCAAACCGCACGTTCGCGCCTGACTCCAGTGTGCCCAGGCCCTTTGCCAGTACGACCACAAGGACGATAATGGCGTGGGGAGCAAATGTGTCAGCGGCCGGGCAGCGGTGCGGCGCGATGCTAAATGGTAAGTATGCGTTTTTCATGGCGTCCGTGAATTCTCCCGGGAGGAACCGTGACGGCCGGAATTGAGTAGGGTTTATCCAGATATTGGGATCTCGATGGCATTCTTGGATATCGGCGATGATTTGTTCGTCATATGTGACGAAGTCAGAATCCTGAGGTTCCGTAGGGACGGCGCGATAAATACTTTTCGTTGGGGGATATAAGCGAAGACCCTCCTGTGAAGGTTAACAGATGTATAGGTATTTCTAATGTCAAAATAGAGACGTCGAGGTCTCCTGTAAAATGTTAGATAGAACGTTGACTTACCTTGGAAAAGTTTACTGCCATCGTCCTCATATCTTTTGATTTCCCGCCCTTAAAACATTTTGGTACACACTCGAGAACTTTTCGGAACTGCTCTCCTGTCTCCCGGTCTACGTCCCGGAACCCGGCGGATATGAATGTCAATAAAACAACGCGCCACATCGTCTCATAGGCCGGAATGATGATATTCAGAGGGTGATCTTGAGCGCTACAAGGGAACTTATCTGGAAGTATTCGTTGTAGTGCTACTTCGAGGAAGATCCGTCCTTCTCGCAATGAGTCCGGTTGCGGTTCCGTTTTCGACTGTACCCAGAGGATATTGATTAATTCAGTGGCGACTCCTACGTCGCTAAGATTGACGTCCTTAGGGTCCACGTTAAAGAATGAATGTAGGGTCGAAACGAACACAAGTTGTCTAGCAATAATAGCTACGGGCAGCGAGTACCTTACGCCTCGAAAGTCGGTTAGAATAAGATCAAGTGTCGTAGAGGCAGAATTGAAAAATTTATGCCACTTCTCGGGATTCTTGTTTCGTAATCCAGGTCCGACCCTTTGTATGAATCTCCGGTAGGTGATTACACTTGTAGTTGTAAATGCGTTGTCGACCCCAAACACATTTACCAGTCTTCCATTGGGTATGGCTCGTGATACGAGTCGGTTCTGCAACTTATTCTCTTGGAGGAACCCAAAGCTTGCAACCGCTCTATTGACCAGAATATATTGTGTGCTGTTGCTTGACGGGGGTCGGTGCTGCTTAATAAAAGAAAAGGAGGATATGAAAGTGATTATTAGTCTTATTAGTATTACGGAAACCCACGTAATATACCCGACCTTGATAGCATCGACAATGAAATACGTTAGACTCATTGTTGCAATGTTTATTCATCCGAAAGAGTATAGGATGGAATTGCCGTCAGGAAGTTGCTTTATATTCTCTATTTCGCCTGTCGAGGCACGCTCGACTTGTCACCTCAGCACCCAAATCCGATCTTGGACACGCACTGTTTCCCATGCTGGTGGTCAACAAAACAAACGGCCACCATTAGAATCGGCCAGCAGCGTCCCGGCAGCTTGTGCTACACTGAACTCGAATCAGGGAGATAAAGTCGACCAATTGGCCACTGGGAATGGCTCGGCCCGGATTTCTCATTTCATGCACCATTATATGATAGCTGTGGGACTCCGATGTGTTGAATAGAATTGCAAACGGAGTTGAGCCAACTATATTCGTGTTTTTTTACAACAATCGAGGTATCAATACACGGGTAAAATTAATTACCTAGGCGCCTAACTCGGTATTCATATAACTTTACCGTATTTGAAAATAGAGGACTGAATTCAGATTGAAGCCAAAAGAGCAGAGAAACAAGCCAGTCATAATGAAAAGGCAGGTAAAATGGGAAAGACGAAAAAAGGGTTGATCAACTCACCACCTGAATACATGTTCGCCTGGTGCTGAATAAATCTTGGGCGGGATGCATAGTCCTAGTTCTTTCCATAGAATAAGCAGGAAAAGACAAGAAGTGACATGTAAGACAGGGCTGATATTTAATCTACCACGATCTTTGATACACACTTAAGCCTTGTCACTTTATAGCAAATAGCAGCACGTCCGGAGACATACCTACCTACAAGGGCATATCTCAACTAGGCTGATAGAATGTGTGTAGCCCTCATTGTTATCGAGGGGGTCGATATACTACTGCTACATGTAGGCAGCCGGTAGCGAATGTGATATTCACACACTGAGTTATAGTATAGGGCTTTCGGATACAGCCTCAGGGTAGGCTCATCAACATCATCTCCCCTATCACGTCCTCCTTCCTCGATCCAATGTTTCTCGGAAGATAAAATCATCGTGGCGGAGTATACGGTGATTTATTTAGCAACTAGGTATGTGATGAAGACCAAGACCCAAGGTCCAAGGTGAATTTGCCTGTATTAGACTTAAATCATCCAAGAAATATCACCTTGTTATTGCGATATAATGACGAGCACCGACCAAACGTCTAAACAAGGCTTTTCGAGAATTCATAGGGCTAGGATAGCAACGCATATGTATAAATCCGCTGGACCCTTAGGTATCTCGGTAGGAGGGACGTCCTCCGAACCCGTCTCTATGGTATCTACTAGTCTTAGAAAGCTTTCTCAAAACTCGCTCGCTCTAGTTCCATTATGAAACATTTCGAAATAATATCCCTGTACCCGAAAAACGCCCCTTATATGCATGCAGCGATGCATCTTGCCTAGTTTCTGCCAACCCGTTTGAATAGACGTTTTCAATCCTGTACCCCCCCTCCCCCCCTAAACGCCAACTTTACCTGTTAATGTCATTTGTGATGATTTCTACGGCCCTAGTTTGACCTGCTGCTTATTTCACCTTAGGGGGCTTTGCGTCCTCTCACGTATCATTTTGAGACGGAAAGTAGTGCTCTTCATGTCAAACGCCTCCGTCTTCGGGTCCCACCACGCGGTGACGTCGATTGTGATAAAAGCACGCTGGGTTGTAATTTCTACAAGCCCAGCCACGTATATCGCCCCCCGCGGAGGAAACCCGCCGATGGGTCGCCATGTCTGTACAAAGGTTTGTTTAAATGCATGCCATGGTCCACTGGTATGTTCTTGCGTAGTCTTGATACCGTACATGTCTTTGGCGCTCTTGGGTTTGCCTGGCTCGGCGTTGGGGATGATTGGGACCGGACTACTCACCCCCGAACCGGAAGAGGTTGTCGAGGGCCTGTGATCTGGTGTCGTTTCAGCAGATCTTTTCTCGACAGGAGAAGTCGGGTCCGTTGACGAACTACCAGTTGCCCGCGTATTTGTAGATGAAAGAGACTTTGGAGTTTTAGAATTGGGTTCTTCGGTGGACTGCTTCAGCTTCTCGACGGCCTGTTGAAAGGAGGTATCTGGGTGAGCGGGCGCGTATCCAAATAATTTAGCAAAATTTGAAGCATTCTGCTTTAATAATGCTCCCGAGAAGCTCCATAATGACAGGGTAAGTGTATCTGGCCAAAGAGCACGTCGCACTCGGATAGCAGTCACGGCATCGACAGTTTCCTCTGCGATATAAGTACCGTCGTCACCTATTGATATTCTGTAAAGAAGGATTAGACTTCAAAGTTAACTCCGCATCGTTGGGGTAGGAATGGGACGTACCCTTTCCGGACGAACGTCGGCGGTGGTCGGGATGGGTACTGTACGTCGAGCCAATACCGTCCTACTTCCATGTTCCCGCCGCACCTCCGGAGAAGCATAGGATGTCTTGATGCGGTTTTGCGAACAAGATCGGCGAGGCCGCCTACGGCTTTGTCAGCCAACGTTCCTTTTCTCCCCCTCGAGCATGTAAATTAGCTTACGTTGAATCCCCCTAACTTTCTCTCTATCCTTGCTAACTCTGACAAAGGCTTGCCACTCCGGGTCGGAGCCTTTGTAGGGGTCGGACGGGACCATCCTCATGGTGAAGGGGAGCGGAATAAATATAGGATCGTACTCTGCTTCTTCCATCTCTTGCCGTTCCGCCTCGGTTAGGTGCTTTTCTTGATCGTCGAGCCACCTGCCGAGGGTATTAAGAACAGACGACGTATATACTTGGTAGCACATATAATAGATGCACCCGGCGACTATAAAATTCCTGCGCGATACAACTTAGCATTCGTGGCGAAGGCTGGAAAGACGGACGATAGAAATCGCATACATTGGCTTGAACCATTTTCGCCGGATATTGACTCTATGCACATGGATAATTTGAGAACTGGGCGGATTTGACCGGTTAGCCCTCGAGGTAAGGGATAGGATATTCGGTCGTGATCGTAGGAGTCGCAACATGGAAGGCATTGTTGTAATCGAGGCGCGCCCGGGATAGGCGGCCGAGGAAGGGGAGAAAGGTGTCAGTCTTCTCTTTCGGGATATCGAGGGATGGACGAAGTGGTTGAATTATTCCTTAGAGGTTCAAAGGTTGCCCGTCTTCTGCGTCGCATCGATCATTTCATGGCAAGTCTGCATCGAAAAGATACTTGAGAGGATTGTCGACGTTTAGATATAAATAATAAATTAGCGAACAAGGCAAAATATTAGCTTTTATAAAAAGTGACTTGGAAAAGCCATTGAACATGTGCTTCTACACTAGAAGTTCGAGACCCTGACTTTGCAACTTTCTAACTTTCAACTTTCAATACGTCGATCCCCACCGTCGAACTGAGACAGTTATTATTAATATTCGTACTGTGCCACGTATATTCAATATTGTCTTTGTCATAATATGTATAGGTACGGGATACGTACATAAAGAGGTGGTTAATCTTATCAGATATACGGAATATATACGGATGTCCCTTTCAAAAGTTTTTTCCATAGGGAACCCCTGTCAAGATTGCCAGCAGCTGTCAAGTGCTCGGCCACCACCTGTCAGCACATTTGAAGATGTATACATCATTATCATTAACTTTAATACTATTTCTTACAATTAAAAGCAACATTGCTATAGCTTAAAAATAGTATATTAAAACCTAACCTTTTTAAATTTAAAACCTTCCTTTTTTTCAAAATTCTACAATTTATTTGAAAGAAGAAATATTGTTTTGAAATATTAGAGTAAAATAAGATACCTTTACCAAATGTGTGAACAGCCGCCGCTAAGCATGGCCAAAGCTTGACGGAGTGACAAGGGTCTCCCTATGGAACGAACTTTTGAAAGGGACATCCGTATATCACGTGTCAATTGTATCAGTAGTCTCCAGATTATGCATACCATCTTGTACGTATGCATTTTCCGGGGTTCGACTAGACTCTCATATCCCTAAGATGCAGCAGCAGCGTCTCATAAGCCCTTCTTCGTCATCTCCATCACATCTAAAACAGCTTCGGGATCAACCAATCTCAACAAAATGAAGCTACACAGCTTCTTACTACCGGCCTTAGCTGGCATTGCCACTACCCGCGCCGAAGACCAGCAGCAGACCGCTGAGGCCTACATCATCAGGCAATCAAAGACTACAACTACCTCGAATCCTCCCTCGATACCAAACGAACTCGCCCGAGCTATCCTCCTCCAGCGCCTCAGCACGCCAGAGCAACCCGCATCTCTAGGACAGCTGTCCAAGTCTCTTCCTCAAGATGAATCTATATCCTACATTAACCAGTTCGGAAAGGCGCCCCGGCCACTGTTTGGGGAGACCAAAGACGCGAACGAACCTCGCCAGCTTGTTATTGCTTTCTCCGGCGTCACGGCTGATAAGCACAAGGACTTCAAGGGCGCCATACCGCGTGTGACTCTCGCCTTCACAGCTCCTGGACTGAGCCGATTACCTGTTGCGGGCAAGAAATCGAACTGCGCGTTCGAACAATCCATCGACTCCGATAACGAGAAGTGCTGGAAAGGCAAGACGCAGTATCTCGAATACGACGTTACCAAGGTACGCACCGTCTCTTTCAGATCTGGTAGTTATATTCACGGCAAACTAACTATCAATAGAACAAGAACGCAATCGCAAAACTAGGACAAAACATCGAGTCCCTCAACGCCCAAGCCCTCGCCGGCAAGCTTGAAACCACCATCCTCCTCCTCGCACCCCCCAGCAGCGAATCCGACGAGCTTCGCCGCCGAGCACTCAAGGAAGAGAAAGTACTAGCCGAAGCCGAAGACGACGACAACGTCATCAACATCCCCACGGCCGATTCCACCGTCAGCCACCCTGGCGCCGCCAACGCCGATAAACCCTTCCACGCCTTCGGCGCTTCCAGCCTAGACTCCTCAGCCGCCGTATCCCGCCCAGCGCCCGCTCCCGTCCTGCCTTCCTGCTTCACCTCGCATAACGCGTGCATCACGGCGACGGACTCGTGTTCAGGCCACGGCCAATGCGTCGATCGATGGGGTAAGGTTGGCGGGGCGAAGAAAGCGTGTTTCTTCTGCCATTGCATGGCTACAAACGAGACTAACTCTCGCGGCGAAACTGGCTTGTACCACTGGGGCGGCTCTGCTTGCCACAAGCGCGATGTTAGCACCCCGTTCTGGCTCTTTGCCGGCGTGTCGATTGCCCTCGTTGCTACTATCGCCTTTGCTATCGGTCTGCTGTTTAGCGTCGGCGAGGAAAAGCTGCCTGGTGTTATCGGAGCTGGTGTCTCGCGGCCTACGAAGTAAGGCGGATGTGCCGATATATTTATATATGGCCAGTTACTGGTCTTTCTTCGGAGTGTGGTAAGGAAGGAGAGCGGGATTCGTAGCGAGCGTGGTCAGGAGGGACGAATAGCAAAGTCAAGGGACTCCAGCCGTTGTGTATATCACGTACGGCCATAATGCACATGTATCATACGTGTATCGATACCGGGGACAAACAAACGATTAATCAATCGAATAAACGGGCGCTGGTTGTTTGGCATATCTGTCTCCACCGTCCATGGGCGGTTCTCACAAGGTTATTTCATTTATGTAGCAGGCTAGGTTCACAACATCAAGATTCGTTACCATTGGACTCGTATTTCCTTGCGTATTCCGAAGTGACTGCTGTAGTATTCCAAGTATTGGGTATTGGGTATCATAACATATTGTATCTAGCATCTTACATCTCCATTTGCGACCTCTGCCTCACCGGCGTAGTCCCTAAGCTATCCAACCCTCTCTGTCCGGGCGTTCCACCACCAGCCCTCGCTTGATCTAAGAGCGACTGCGCGGCCACGACGTTGTCTGTAGTAGTAGAAGTAGTAGTAGTACCACTCACCGTGGCATCCCCATTCTCATTGCCACCGCCACTACCACCACCTTCACCGCTCGCTGTGCCTGTATCAGCGGCCCCAGACATCAACATGCGGTACCTCTCACCAGCCTCGTTAAGCAATCTCTGCACCTCTGGCTCGCGCTGAAGTATACCCTCCCTCTCAGCGCGCAACTCCTCAATGCGTCTCCGCAGCCGCGCCATCTCCTCTTGCTTCCGACGCACGCGCGCCTTAAACTCCTCAACTAGCACGCTGAGATCCGGCAACGGCGTAATTCGCGGTATGACCGCGAGCGGATTATTTGCCGCGGCACCGAGCCGTCGCCGCTGCTGCTCGCGCTCCTCGGCTAGCCCGTCCATCCCCGCGCGCGTCTGCGCCGCCTCGTACGCGGCCCGCCGCTCGGCTTCCGAGTCGTCGGACTCGTCGTCCGAGCCCCCTTCGGCAGCTGTGATTAGGGAGGCCATTTCTGCGCGGCGCCGCCGCCGGGCTTCCCGCTCTGCTTTCTTGCCGAGGGAGAGCCCGCCATCCTCGACATATTCGTCGAAACCCTCGCCTAGGTCCTCGTCTTCGGCGACTAGACGCGTGTCCTTGGTGGATTTGGACTCGTGTCGTCGCGATAGGATGGTCAGATATGAGTCCCCGGTCCCGCGGTCATCGTCGGAGAGCGAGATGAAGTCGTCAGTATCTTTGCTTCCTTCCTTGGCTAGGCGAGCGCGTCGGGCTTTTTTCTCTTGGATCTCGACTTCAGTCAGGATCGAAGTTTTCTTGGGAGATGTTGGATGGGTTGTTGTGGTGTCTACTACCAGGGCGCCTTCGAGCTCGGATGGGTCGAGTATCATCTCGTCGTCGGATGTAGGTTGCAGTTTAGAAAGGTCCTGGGGTGTATTCGGAGTGGATTGTTGCAGCTCGGAGAGGTATTCTTTGCTATATCGCGGACGGTCGTCCTCGGTATCGTTGGAACGCATGGGAAGCCGGCCTAAAGGCAGGTTTTTGGCAATGCCCTTCTTGTAAGCGCTGTTTTCCGCTGCGGCATAGGCGAGTGTTATAGAGCGTTTCGGCGTAGAGACTTCCTCTCCAAGTATTATAGAATCCTCGTCCCCGGGAGTTTCCTCGGCAGGAACGCCAAATGATAGGCGTGAGCTGGATGCCTTTTTCTTCGTTTTACTAGACCCCGACCTTCCTCCTAGCGACGATCGAATTCGTAGGGGTGCATCGCCATCTTCCTCATCTTCTGCTTCCGCTTTGGAATTTGCAGACGCGGACTGCTGGTCGGAAGTTACATCATGCTCAAATTTTTCAATATTTATGCTCTTCCGTAGAGACGAGTGCTTAAATGGTTTGTTGCGACTTGTTTTGAACGAGGGTTGTAATGGTGGTCCCTGGGGTTCTTCTGGTGGATTTAAAGATTCAGCCGAGATTATATCTTCGTCGTCGTCATCTTGAACCGTGATCTTTCGTGCTTTTCGCTTAGCTCCAAACGCGCTCATTTTGTATAGTTAAGTCTCCCAATAAGTTAGTTACGAGGTTCAAGATCCGAAATATTGAAGTTCAATGTTTGAAGGTGAAAGGTTACTATTGGCTTTGTACCTTTGTATTCTGAAGCTGGCAATTATTATCGATAAGAAACTAAGCTATGACATTATCTTATCAGCCAGTCAGCGTACCATGAGCTCGGGTTCTTTTCGTCAACAGTAACAAACATCCTTCCTCCAGCCGTCTTTAGTTTCCACCACCGACTCAAATAAATACTGCAAGATGGCCCCCGCACAACCAGAGCTCAAGAAGGTATGGTATTCCACGATCCTTCAACCTGCGGCATTATTATACTTACTAAAAATTACGTAGTACCTCGATAAGAGACTGTTCGTCCAACTGAATGGAAGCCGTAAAGTCCTAGGCATTCTTCGCGGCTACGATGTAAGCTAACAACTACCTTCCTCCTCAACAACGCGACGCATTTACGCGTTATTATATGCGCATGGGCTAACTATTACCCAGGTCTTCTTGAATATCGTTCTAGATGATGCCGTAGAAGAGAAGGAAGGAGGCGAGAAGGTCAGATTGGGGATGGTCGTACGTAATTACGATACCGACGTCGCGAATACCGACACGAACTAACCGCAATGCTTTAGGTCATCCGAGGCAACTCCGTGGTCATGCTGGAAGCACTAGAGAGAATCGGTGGGGATCGGGACAAATGAGCACACTGGCACATGGCATGCGCAACAAATTCGAGCACGATCCGAGTTGATACCCATACGAAAGCAAGGCAGGAGTGCATTTAGCTACCTAAGTTTAGAGATCCATTTCCTGGGATCAGGCGGCGTTTTTGTGGACGAGATAAGTCCCAAGGGAACACATACCACAGACAAGGCGGGATCGACAATTACGTCTATCAAGTAGACCAGTACTTTATGCTCGAGAATTTAAGGCCTATAATCTGTTTAGAATCGGTTACGGGGTCTATATCGCTTGCTATCAACGCCAAACACGATATTTGAGGCGTTCATATTAATCAATTGACAAAGATAACCCAACATTGTCCTGAATTGGCATGTAAAGAGTTTATACAGTATATTTCTTTTTAATCACCGCGAGATTGCCAAATATTTAAGGGTCAAATAAAGTAGCGTAGCATTCTTGAATCTTGAAGCTAAGAACGCGGTATAGGTACCTATCCACTAAAAACCGAAGACAGTTACAAATCTGATTCTCGGCGAAGCTCTGACTAATGAACCTTTCAATATTACAACGTAAAATCCTAGGTTGTATTTTATGAGATCAATCTATTAGATAATTAAGGTGCAACGACGGTGACGACTAATTGGCTCCGGGTCTTAAAGGTAAACAGGTTTATCCCGAAGACAGATTTCAAACCAATAGTGTATCAATCCATTTAATGTGCTGTCTTGGTAGTCATTGGTTCAAATAGAGATAACTAAACCATTAAAGAGAAAAGGTTCATAACAGCGGCATGAAATAGCGTAGGAAAGTTATTGGTTCTGGTCTAATCAAGTAACTACCTTAAACAGTATAAATTTCTCACATGAATAGAAGGTTGGTTGTATGACAGATGGCGCATAAGGTAGAAACTTGTTAAACTGAAAGCATCAACCCATCTTATATTATCAATTTCTTCAACAGCCAAGATGGTCTTTGTTTCCACGGGCAAATATTAACTGAGTATCAAGGAATTTAGAATCTTGTCCTTGCTTATGATGATAGAATCTCGCAAGATATCTCCTAATATCGCTCGAAAAGAGACACGAAATTTACCTTTCCAAGTCGGAATCCAGTAACCTAGCGCATTACATGGCTTACTCATTGTATACGATAGACAAGACACGTCGTTCCTTGGTTTTGCGGCGTATTACAACAGAGGCCCATGATGTAAATAGCCCATTCGGATGCCAAATTATAACATGTACTGCTTGATTACGAGGCCCTATAGACTCGGCCTGTTTTAAAGTCTCATATTGAAAGGTTGTAATACCATACTTCTACTCCACAAGCCCCCCGAGCATAATAATGGGTTGGTAAAAGATTAATAAAACTTGTAGTATCTCCGTAAAGAATATTTATAGAGAGCGTTTTAATACACAATAATACTATAAATATTTGGCAAGAACTTAAAGCCACATGTAGCTTAAAGGTCGATAAGCTGCATTTCGTCATAAACCCTCGTACCTAAATGTGTTGTACTCTACGCCTAAAACTCTTGTATAAGGTAATGTTAAGGATTAACAAGGTGCGAACCGAAGCTCATTCTCCCATCCCAAGATGGGGGTCATGTGGGATGCGGCACTATACAAGAGACGCATGTCTTATAAATCAACAACATGGAACACAACATATGCAGGATATCTTGCTTTAACCTACGCTCTTGCATTATACAAAACATGCCCGCCCCGGACCTGTCGGTATCGGTCCGCTACCCGGTGTGGTCACACTACAGAAGTTCAGGTTATACAGATCGCGCGAGGTATTACTTTCAAGACGGTTAACTAGTATTACTTTCAACGATTAACTATTTTGATCACTTTCGAAGACTAACAAAGATAGGTACACGGCTATCCCGTATGCTATAATCGCCAAGTACTCAAGAAGATGTAATCAATCCTAAATTATTTTAAGAGGACTTTGGAATATATTTTGTCTTATAGGCAATGCATAACCCTGAGATGTCTATGACTTATTTTTAGGTGTCGGTAGTTCTTATCGGGAAGCCGTGAATTGTGGCGGTCAGACAGAGGCAACCAACCCGCGCCTTATACCAGGGGGTTTAGCAACACGAAAACTTCCATACATCGTCGTCTGCCACTTACATATGTGAGATTTCCAGCCCTACCTGAAGGAGGATTCAACAACCCAGTAAGTAGCTCTTTAATGAATGATTACGTACGATTATCATGGCCAATTGGAGGCCCAAAAGCGGTCTGCCAAAGATCTGCCACCCATGCCTATATCCCGACCTGGATAAGACGTTCAAATGCCTGAATGCGCAGCTATGTATTTGCGGTTAGCCGCACGCTGCAACAACGTATCCGACCCAAAGGATATCGTTACACTGTCCAATCGACGGCGTCGCCGCAAGTAATCAACCAATCACTTTTCACAAGCACCACAGTGTCGAAGCAAATTTATTCAAGTCGAGAAAACTCCCCCAGGCTCCAGCTTCCAAGGTGGACTCCGAACGCATGGGGTAGACTGACAGCCTGAATGGTTGCGTGAGCCGTCTCCAATCATCATCGCAAACAGAGCGGCATCTGCGGATCCTAAAGAAGGTTGAGTTGAATAGAAGCTATTAATAAACCAATCGAACGGGCAGTATAGGCAATCGATTGCAAGGTTGACTTTCATATTCGTGCATATGTATGCTTCGCCGCTTCATTCCTCGGCAAAGAACCAAGAACGCACACTGGACACGATTATCTCCCGGGACCTGGGTTTTGCTGTATGCGGTTGCGACTATTGCTTACATACCTTACTTATATCACGCAGGTCTCTCACCTCGATGCTGACTCCCGCCTTCGAAGATGCTTGGTAGACTACAGCGCTGTAGCATTATGGCTACATAGATCTCTGCTAACCCACCGAGACTCCGGCTTCTCTATCTCATTCACTCGCTTCGCATCTGCATGGGCAAGCTGCTAGCATCATGACTTATAACGACATTGATATTCCGTTACGTGCGTCTCCTGCTTTCCGCTTGCGAGTTATGTGAGCTGACCGCGTCTAGCTGCATTCATAGCAATCGACTGGACTGGCATGAGTATTGCTCTTGTTCCGATAATTCTTCGTTTCTGGTTACGACATAGAGAATCAAAGCCGCGAACAGTAACGCTCAACCTTTCTGACGGCCTCGTGCTGCTCTCGTGGCTCTCTGGCATGGTGTTAATTGGCATCAACACTTGGAAGAACAACCTCCGGCAACAGTATGTCCATCTTCCGCCGGATGAGCTCTACTACGGCGTTCCGAGAGAGCTATCGGCCCACCTCCTCTACGTCTCCTGGATCTCCCTATTCTTCATCTACATCTCCCTGTGGGCCGCCAAGTTTTCCCTCCTCGCATTCTTCGCCGATCTTCTACGTCTAACAGAGAATCGGGCCGCCCGCATCATGCTTATCTGCGCAAGCGTCTTTGCCAGCTGCACATTCGTGCTGCACATGGTGTTATTATCAGCGTGGTGTTCGCCCGTCAGCGGGAACTGGAACATCGAGGGGCACTTATGTTCCGCAGTCCACGACATTAGATCCGTATCCATATCCACGGCCTCGAATATCTCCACGGACCTTATCATCCTTACCATCCCTCTCTTCGCTTTATGCACCATGGGCCAGGAGCGCCGGGAGATAACCAAAACGCGAATAGGAAAAGCGGAAATAAGCGGGATAGTATTTGTGCTATGCATGGCAGCGTTAAGCATCGTAGCGGCTTTGGCGCGATGGATAACATTAATGTTAGTCCGGAACGCGCCCAAAGCCGACATCACGCACACCATTGACGTATGGGCGTTGGTGGAAATAGTGGCCAGTCTGGTGGCTGTCTGTCTGCCGAGCTTGCGGTCATTCCTTAGGAAACGAAGACGACGGCGCTTCCAACAATTAAAATAAGTACTTGATTTATACAGTTAAATATACTAAGCTCGACTAATGAATTATTCCATCCTCTACGAGTGAATGTATAGCGAAGCAGTGTCACTTTTGAGAAATGTATGAAATTTTCAGGGGATGAATATCTGAATAGTCTTGAATTCGCTATGCTATGTCTTACTTCTTTAGCTTTTGATATTCAGGCAAGGCCCATTGTGTCATCCACTTCGACTTGAGGACTTGCGCCGCCGTGCATCGATCATCCGGGTTAAGAGCAAGCATAGGACGAAGCGTATCGTAGATAGCTTCTTTTTCTTCGGGCGAGATTTGCGGATATCCATATTCTTCCCGTGCGTCCTGTATGAGGGTTTTAAACTTAACGTCCCACGATCGAACATGCTCAGCATAGTCGGGTACTAGATCGCGAGTCTCCGTATAATATTCCGAGCGTCCTTCCCATTTATCCCACCAAGAACTCGGCATGCCGCTTGGTCCAAAGAGATCAACGTGGTCCGGCATGATTTCATGGCCGGCTCCAAGGAAGCTCGTAAACAGGTTACATGGGCTGAGGAGATTCCACGTGCAGACACCAAGAGAGAATATATCAGACGAAAACGAAACTTTGCTGTTCTCTGGACTGAATAAGAATTCCGGTGCGCAGTATTCGAAAATGGAGCCCGAAGCACATTCGGGCTCTGCTGGGGGAGCAAAAGAGTGACCTAGATCGACTATCCAGATTCTTGCGTCTTGCACGGGGACTGTTCGATCTTCCTTGCCTTTCTCGCAGCCAAGCCAAGCGGGAACCACACCATAAGAAGGGAGGCTCGGTGGCCGCTTTGCGCCTTCAATAGGAGTGATAGGTTCGCAGGAGGGTTCTCCGTATTTATCATAAAATTGTTGATCCGATAGATCCCGAAACGCGGACGAGGGAAATCTTAGAAGAACATTCTCTAAATGAAAGTCTAAACAGTAAAAGATGCCCAAGTGTTAGTAGAGCTTCCTAATTAAGTTTCCCTGGCGATTAAACGTACCCCCATGGACATAGCCCTGGCTATGCATCGCTGCCATAGATAATACCATCTGTGCAACCAAGACTCGAGCAACGTCCATTTCGAATCGGTACAGGGGTGAACCCTTGAAGTTTTCTAGATTGATCATAGCCGGCTCCGTGACGTAACATGAATGTACGCCATTAACACCTCGTACTTCGAAGCGATCAAGAACCGGAGGAAAAAAGCTGTTTCGTTGGTTCTCGCTACGTCCGGTAGCATTTCTTAGAGCCGATAATATATCTGCCTCTTTTTGCTTGTGGCTACCATCGATAATCTTGATTGCGACGAGCTGATTTATCTTATTATCGCGTGCGAGCCAAACAGTTGAAGAGTCCCCGAATCCAAGTTTATCAACCACTCGATACCGATTATGGAATTGGTCACCTATATGAACAGGGTGAAGACCTCCAGGCGAGTACCGCCAAAGAGGCTCTACGTCCTCGATGAACTGATACTTGAGACGATGAGTAAACCCGCGGTGAAAACGGCGATGAGAGATGTGGCTGGGATAAAATGAGGATCTGACCCGACCAAGTTGCCTTGGTGGGAGCAATGAAGGGATGGTTCTGTTCATCTTGAGTTGTGCCTCCAGTTATTTGAAATTTGAGATGGGGTGAAATAATTATTTTTACTCGTATTATTTAGAATGGCACAAGAAGTAAATATAGCATTTTCTATCTACATAGGTACGTCATGCCTCTGCTGGGTAATAGGTAGTGACTACCGTACCTACACGTGTAGGTAATGTTGTGTGTTGGTACTCGTGCCACGCCCCACTCAATTCTAGTTTCGCAACTCTCAAGTGCCAGAAAGGCACAGTACATTTCTCGTTGAATATGATTTGTTATGCTCTTTGTAATTTTCTAACGATGGCATGTTTTATCTCTTTGAAATCCTTGACTCGTTAAAGGTATAAATAGAAAGGCTTTTTTAACACGGCCACTGTGGAAATGAAGACTAAATACATATAACTATCAGAAATGTACTAAAAGGTTAGTTAAGCACTTTGGGCAATATTGTTTTGGTATAATACTTGATTATCTATTTGATCAAACCGCTTCGGAAATATGAGGGTTAAAACGCGGAATAGAAAGAGCAGAGTTCTGCTTCTTTTAACCTGCTAAACAGTCCAGCACTAAGTCGCTTCTGCTACGATTATTCTCTTAGAACCAATTCTGGCCTTTTGTCCCCTTCCATTACCCACAAAATCACATACTTCTAAGTTGCTAAAAAGCAGTCTTGCTGCGTGATTTTAGCTGTGACATATTAATATCCCAATAAGAAGATCTATATTGACGGTTAATTCTATAGTAGTAGATGTTGAAATGAGTGGTCAAGGGACTACTTTCAAGTACAGTACATGGTATCTTGGCATGGAATGTACATATGAAGGATCTCCCTCTTTACTCATACAGTTGGTAGATTAAGTCAATATACGACTACAGCTCATATACCGTATCTTTTAGCAGAGAGCTTTAAGACAATGCCCTCGAGGCCTAAGTAATAAAAAAGCCTTAAACATATGCATATGCACACTTATTCCTTTCATAATTACTGCTTTCTATAAGGCAGGAAAATTATCTACAAGGTAGCAAGGTATGTGTCTTGAATAGGAAATTTTTACTCGCATCCAACACAACACAACAAACACAACACAACATCCTAAGGTATAAACCTTAGGCATATGTTGTGTATGCTCGGAAATGGGCTTTTAAAAGAGGGCCACAAGCCTTTATGCAGTCACAGGTCTAGTTTGTCGCGGTACTCCATTGTTTGGTTAATGATTAAGATTTTAAAAACAGTCATTTTGGATGATATATCCATAACAAAAGCTTTTCTTCATGTGTTTAGGCACAGGCTTTTATATCTAAGCTTTAAGTTTTCTATAGAACAACAGACTAGTTTCCAGGTCTTTGGTTCTACTTCTTAAGACACTGGATTTAATTAGCTAACATGTATTTCACTGCTTCATATATCTTCATTTCTCAGCAAATCTCAGCGCCATGGATTCAGCCAAAAAGACATATTCGCCTGGTACACAAGACCTTAGGATATGCAACCAACTCAAGGTATTCATGTTTATTGCCACGATGACCATTCAAATTACCAAATACTTTCGCGTCGAAAGCATGACATTACCTCAGGCGCAGCATAAGATTTGGAAGTATGTAGCATTGGCCTATCAAACAGCAACTGACCGCGAACCTAATCCCCAGGAAGTTCTCATCAGGTAAGCAAGAGATCCAAGTTATGAGGCAGCTTGCGAGGGCTGGTTGGAAGCCCCTACTTACCTACCTAGTTACTTGAATCTTGCCATGTACTGAACCATGTCCTATAATCTTAGATCAACACTCCATTGTTCGACTTCTCGCAATACTGATCCTGACGGGTTGCACCTCACCATTTCCCACAAAAATGAAAATCAGATCAAGAAGAAAACACACGTATCGAGTCATGGTTACGTGACGGATGCCACCAGTTTTAAGTTGGGAAAAGTAACCCATCGTGAAGAAAAAATGGACTCTTGTCGAAAACGAAATGGACAACCAGTATGGCCTCAGAAAGTTAAAGAGCTAGAATTTAAGCAACAAAAAGACATACTTGTAAACGTTATAAATGTTGCTTATTGTTACCCTTTTAAATCTTGAATGACATTTTTATATGAGCAATACTAGGTAGTTCGGCAGTAGCTGCATAGTCCAGCCACAATTGAGAGTCGCGCAGGCGTGATTTCCTAGATTAGTGGTAACATCGTTGCTATATTGTTTAGATTAGTATTATAAGAACTAGGATCCAGCTATTGTTTATATATTCGTAGATGCAGGCAGCGACTGCCTTATTGTATGAGAGCCGGAGTCACTGTAGCTACGGATCCACATTACTCCTTTTCTCCCTCAGAGTTGTCCTCAACTCTCTAGTTACTTTACTACCATCCTGGATCATTATTGCGTACGATCCTCCTGGTCCTGACGAGTGAGCTGTTGTGTGCGTCTTGGTGCGGGACTTGACGGATAAGGTTAGTTTTGGCTTGCGGGGTCTTGGTTGGTGAGGTCTCTGGTGATGTCGACTTAACTGGAGAGGTTGTTTCGGTGTGTGGCATTGTGACATTTAAACAAGTAGTAAAGGCGTATGCGGCTTGAATACCTAATAAATTGGCAGAAGGGGTTGATTACTGTTGAATATACTGGCAAGGCGGTAAAGCTGGCAAGGTTGGCTTTACTTATCTCAAGTGACCTTAAACTAAAGATTTGAAAATTGGTTCGGATGAGTTCTCTTACCATATCATAAAGAAACCTCCCTATTAACCCCACACAGTCTTAACATTACAGTGGCCAACCGCGTATACATCCTCGCGCCCCAGTGGAATCCAAGCGTGGAGAGTCAGGCTATCGGTCGGGTGTCCCGGCTAGGCCAAAGCAAGCCCGTTTCGGTGACGCGGTACATCGTTCGAGGAACAGTGGAAGTAGTAAGTGCATACACGAGAAATCTGGAATAATCTACTGTGACTGGTTACTAAAACCTGGGCCAGAGCATGCAGTCTCGACAGGTACGGAAGGTAGATCTTGCAAAAGTTGGATTTCAGGACGGCAATCTAGACAACTCTTAATACGTAGGTAGTAAACGCATGTGCTTTGGAGACCATACACGTAACTTCGACTTACAACTCTACCCTGGGTTCCGTATGTGGTTGCTATTGTAAATTAAGGAGCGTCTGGACAGTAGAAGGGTTACACCTAGGTGCCTAAGAGATCAACTTGGGAAAAGGGGGCTTTTCAGAAACACACTACATGAGGTCATATTACAAATTACCTAGCTTATTTTATCAACGACACAGTTAAGGATATCTTGATTATTAGGACATTCATATCAAAATAATGTCTTCAACATTTCGAACTAAATGTTGAGCGGTGAATTCCGTGGGACGTACTATTCTCTTGAGCAATGTCGCTCAAACCAAGTACCTAGGTACGTAAATGAGTCTGTCGACAAATCGGTACCAACGAAACATCGCAACTGGGCGTACTACCCAACTTTTAGTTTCGGCATCTCATCGGGTTTTCTTTGATACCGGAATATGTGCTCTATGCTCAATACGAAGAAGCGTAAGCTCAAGTAGCATAGGGATCCAGTTTCACCTTTCCCCCACTTGTGCCAGCCATCAACTAGACTAACATATAGCTGCGGAGTATCTATATGCAAACCGTTAAGTCCTAAAGTAGCTGGGTAGAAAAGGAAGATGGGGCACTCTGGACAGTAGTCACGAAGTTGACGCGTGTCCAACCTTACTCCTGAAGGCAGGTAGCATGCCAATAAGCTTCATATTGTCCGCACCAGCGAGTTCGATGAGTCAATTCAAGCCAAATAACTGTAAAGACTTGACTCGATACAAGTCAAGTCAAATAAAATGAAAATGAGGCTTACTTGGCCGTATCGTGGGTTTGACTTGAGGCACTTACGGTATCGATATCGGTAAAAGTCCGGGTAATAAAATCCGCGGGGTCCGATTGGTCAGAGTCGGGGTTTAAAACACCAAAAGGTTATCGTGATCTTAAAAAAGACGATTACAGATAGCCTCATTACCCCTCGTACGTATCAGGCTACGTACCCCGATACGTACTTACAATAAAGTTATCTTAATAGCTTATTACGTCAATTATGCAAAGGTGCTAGAAAAGACCCTGTAATTACCTTAATATAAAACGTTGCCGATTATACAAAGAAATATTGTCTGATAGTTTGCCCTAAATCGACCAATCATATCCCTTAGATATATACTAAAGTGGGCCTGTATAGCCTCAACTTATTTGCTTAATAGGCAAATAAAAAATTTTTATACCTGACCTGGGCAAATACCCCGAAAAAGCTATCTACCCAAGCCAAGTCAAGTCAGGCCCGAGTCAAGTCAAGCTTTTATTTGATTTGTCGAACTCGCTGGTCCGCACTCACGATGGATTTGTAATACACGGCCGGAACGGCTTTTAGATCGTCGCATACACTTAGACTTATTGATATTAGGAAACTGGACCCTTCCCGTAATGTGCGGTGGTGGTCTCGTTGGGGCGAAAGCGGATAGCGAAAGCGATTTACGGTCTTCTATAAACGAAGGCGCCACACAGGACTACGTACGCAGTGAGTGGGGCAGGAGTAACTGGTTCCCGACTCGTTGTCCCTGGCTTACAACATAGGCTTCAGAAACTTAGTAGTCACGGCACTAAAGAGGGCGGTTACAAGGATGCCAACGCATATGTTAGAAGTTGAATCAGCTAGGCTTAAAGAGAATAAAGTGACTGGTTCATAGATTGTAACTTTCTTTGTCTTGGCTAACTAACATGACGATAGACTCCACATAAAGAAATAAACAATCGTAGGACAAACTATTCGGTTTGTAATTTCTGAGCAAATAAAGAGGGGACAATCGAAAAAGAAACCCAATTAAAATATTTATGTCGTGTCCAGTGTCCGTGAAACATGTTTGAGTGCAGTCAACAATTTGAAAATCTCAGTATTTACTATCACATCTAAAGTTACAATAACAGAAGCACACTTGCGTGATTAATAGGTACCTATCCTGTATAGGCGTATATATATATAGATCTCTGGTAGATCATAAAGTGCTAGAGGTTCCTTACTATATATTAGATAATATTAGCCCGGCGCCGAGTGGGGTTGTTTTGTGTCACTACCGATAATTTTATGTCCGCATCCCGGCCGTGGGTCCCACTTTATCTTTCCGCAACTTGAAACAACATCTTACCGCGAGTCGCAATGGAGTCTGCTACTGAGAATGAACGAGATGGAGTTCTCTACTTCGCCTATGGTTCCAACCTCTCTTCAGTACAAATGCGCGAGCGATGTCCTAGGTCTACACCCATCGGCCTTGCGTATCTATCCGGCTGGACATGGATTATCAATGAGCGGGGTTATGCGAATATCGTGGAGGACAGGACCAAAGCAGGGGGCATCTACGGTATTATCTATCGTCTACATCCAGATGACGAAGAATGGTTGGATATGAACGAAGGTGTTCCGTGGGCTTATGAACGGCGATTTATCGAAGTTGATGGTTTGGCGACTACGTCTGCAGCAAAAGGCAAAGGGGAGGGGAAAGGTGAATTAACGGATCAAGAAAAAGCGTCTGAGAAGATTCAGGCCCTTGCATACATCGACTTCCACCGAATCAGACCGAGTCATCCGAAAACCGAATATATTTACCGCATGAACAACGGTATCGAGGAAGCGATGGTACGGTGGGGATTACCCGAACAGTATGTTGATTCCGTTATAAGACCATCCATCCCCGCCGGGGGTAAGCGATAAATTTAAGAACACGGTAGTTGCAAGTAAATCTTTAGCACGTCAATAGCGAATCGTTAATAATTAAACCCAACTATAATCTACCCAATATGCTCCCGTATTTCCCAGTGTATGTTATGTCCACGTAAGCGCCTATATACATGCATTCTCTTCCCAAGACAATAATCCCCATTAATACGAAGATTGAAAAACCCCAATGACTCCATCTCCACCCAGTTCGGATATACTGGTATATACTCCCTGTGTACATGTACAAATAATGCCCCAGGTAAAGAGAACCTAGAGTAGATTGAAGTCCCAGCTTCAAGTTACAATCGTCCTCTGAGTAAAATACAATCCATTCTCATTTGAAGCCCGGCGAGTAGACCCATGCGATATACGCGTGAATAGCTTAGAGGGTGTAGAAAAAGTCTGTTATAATATGGCTAGTCAGTTTGTGTAACGTATGACGGAAGCAACATGAAATACAGCTTAACGTACCTGGGTGATAATCACCAAGCTCCTCCATGCTCTTGTGCCTTAGTTCATTGGACTTCTCTGTGTATTGGTTTTCCACCTTCTTCTTGTTCAGGTAGCCCAGGTAAAATCGAAGAGACACTGTCGAGACTAGCATCATAATGGACATTCCCAGAGCTGCTGAATTACCAACGCTGTCTATAAGTAGGAGGTCAGTAAGATGTTATCGGAGATCATTCTATTATAAGATTGGCTTACAATATGGGGGGTCCTGGTAAGCCTGGTTTCCAGAGATAGCAAATAAATGCGGGAATACATTGAAAAACGCCAAAACCGAACCCCTATTTGCAGGTTAGCTACTAAGAATCGAGACGGTGTGTAAACAGGGTTTATACCTTCGAGTGTAACCGATAAAGGACATGGCAGCCCAGGACATTTGTAGCACAGTGGAGGGAAAAATAGAGAATGCAATTAAGCATGTCGCGGCGAATCGAACTTCTTTGTTTGTAACCCAAATCAAGACTGCGTAGCCTATTACTGCCGGAATGAGGGAGACTGCTTGGACAACTCCTCGGGCGTTCGTCTTATCGGCAATCCTGCTAAAGAATAGAATCCCAATGCAGCCACTCACATACACGATGATGCTGAATAGTTGAGCGTTGACGTCGTCGTACCCGAAACCTGAAATTATATCCGGGAGGAAATTCGATAGTGACGACTGGCAGAAGGAGCCTCCACAGCTGGTGAGCATGAAGAGCCAAAAGTGTCCGTCCAATAATACCTTCCAGATCTGTTTGAATTCCACGCTTCCCTCTTCCGTGTTGTGTGATTTGGCGCTCCTCTGGATGATATGTTGCTTCTCCTCTTCGGTAAATCCGTACTTCAGGTGCTGCGGACTACTCGGCAAGAAAAAGAATACGACAAGAGAAAACACCATAGGCGCGATACCTTCGATAAGGAAAATCCATCTCCATGCCCTCCACCCATTGACGCCGTCTAAGCCGGTATCAATAGCATAAGCGATCATGCCGTTGAAGGCACCGGCAATGGTGGACATAGAAGCAAGGACGGCACCTCGGGTTGCGAACTCAGAGTATTGGTACCAAAAGGAGAGATCTATAGAAGGACTTTGAGTTAGGAAACGAGCCACGGGATAAGGTGTATGCGCCTAGGTAGGCTGCTAAGGGAATATCAACGTACAGAATACACCGCCCTGGACGAAGGACTCGGCTGCTCCAATCAAAAACCGAAGAGCCAACAATTGTCCGCTGTTCGAGATGAAGATGGTCATAACAGTCAAGAAACCCCACTGTTAAAATGAAAGATAGAAATCCTCGTTAGCCAAGTGCCAAATTGGAAGGGTAAAGCTGGAGTCTGTGTATGTCTTACCACTATCATGGCTCCGCTGAACTGTCTGTTCGGGTGAATTTTCTTGATCAAGAGCGTTCCCGGGAGCTGGAAAATGATGGTTGCCACCAGAAGCACGGTCGCTGCATTCGAGTAGTCCCCGGGAGAGAGCTTAAGTTCGTCACTGAGGCCGGCTACCTTGGCATTTCCGAGATCAGATTTGCCCTATACGGCAGTTAGTATACACTACCGAGTATATAAGGGAAACCCTACTAGCGCCTAGTATAATGTGCAACTAACCATCGTAGCGAAGAAGTAAACGCTCGATAAGAGCGGGAGGATGAAGATGTCGAGTTTCCATTTTACTCTACGAGAAAGCTTTGGATCAATCTCTTCCTCCACTTCGCCTTCCTTGGGAACATCGTCCATACTACTGGGAGTAGTCGTTTGTAACAAGATGTTCTCGCGGTATTCCGTTGGCCCTGCCAAGATCTTGTCCGTAGAACTGTTGTAAGCCATCTTTGCGAAGATGGTATAAGTGTGTTGAAGGTTGTGGTGAGATGAAGAGAATAGAGTCCGAATGTAAATGCAGATGTTTACAAGTGGGATGTCTTATAAGTGTCATCCACAACCCGAAAAGTTATCCTATTGAGCGTAAGTCGCGTTTCAAGGCCCCAGCGCTGGGCATTGCAGGGGGATGGTGTTTCTAAAGTAGGTCTCAAGTAGGCGCAGGCTGAGTTTACGACGAAGACAGACTATGGGTATAGTCGTCGATCATAACCCTTTTAGTATGAGTTCTTTAGTATAATACAACACCAAAAAAGATGTTGATGCCATCACCTACCTATCTAGCCTATCTTCAACCATCAATGACCATGTCTCAAGGGTCGTTGGAGTGAAACCCCTCAGAGCATTATGATTTATCACGAGCGGCTGTTTGCAAAAAGCAGCTATTTGCGATTTGTTACCAATAGTCGCACAACCTCCGCGTCATTGTGCAGTGAAAAAAGCTGTCGTACAACCCGGAAGCCAAGAGCGCTCCAACCCGGCTGAGGATTGAGACTCAGCCTATACGTTCCGCTATTGGTCGACTGGGGTATATCGCATGGAGCGAAATTCGCTTTTGAGCGCCGGCTCCGCGGCTAGGATCTACAGAGATCCGAGCGAGATTCGCTCCACCTTGTTCACCCATTGAATCTCAGCGGAACGGAGCACATGTCAATATGCCGGCTGAGTACAAAACATAAGCCGCGCGCCCAGAACCGAAAGGAATATGGGGGGAAATGGATAGGTTACTTACATCCGCATGCAAATCTATTTCCCGATACAACTCTTGGCTCTATCGGCCGTATAACCCAAGAGGTATCTACAACGTAACATACGTACACACACGCACAAACTTATATCCCACACAACATACAACATGGACAAACTATTGAATGCTTCGGTCGTACCACTAAAGTTCCGTAAGAATGCGCTTCTTACTGGTCATATTCCATATAAGTCACTTGCCTCAGATCCACGCATATCTTACACGATTTACGTGCCCGCTGAGGCTTACAACCAACGCCACCCCGACGGAGCTGAACCGGGACCCAATAAGCTTCCTCTGTTAGTTTCCGTCCACGGAACTAGACGTGACGTTTTTAACGTTTACGATCTAGTCCCCCTCGCCGAATCTACCCCGTGCGCCGTACTCTTACCGTTGTTCCCCACCGGCTTAGACGGACCCAATGATATCGACTCTTACAAGCTATACCAGTCTAAAACCGTTCGTCCCGACCTCGCCCTACTGTCAATGCTAGATGAGGTGGCAACCAGGTGGCCTGCCATCGAGACCGATAAAATCTTTCTCATGGGATTTAGCGGTGGTGGTCAGTTCTCCCACCGGTTCTTGTACCTGTACCCCGAGAGGTTGGCTGCCGTAAGCATTGGTGCTCCAGGCCGTGCCACGTCCCTAGACGAAGACCAAAACTGGCCAGCAGGTATCAAGGATGCGGAGAGCGTCTTCGGGAAGGCCGTCAATAAAGAACTTATCAAAAAGGTCCCCATCCATCTTGTAGTTGGAGACCAGGACACCGAACATCACGGCGGCGAGGACTTCTGGGTCTGGGTGAAGGAATACATGAGCCAACCAGGTGGCGGAGAAGATGGACCGCAGACTATCGAGCAAGGAAGACTGAAGACTATCCAGGATCTACAGGACTCGTGGAAGCGCGAGGGTATCGAGTCAAAGCTCGACATCGTTCCAGGAGTGGCTCACAATGCTCGTGGTGTTCGCAGCCTCGTACTGGACTTCCTGCTACCCCAGATTCAGAAGAAGCTCAGCAGCTAGACGGAGACATCAGAACACAGCTTCGATTCTGCTTTAGCTGGCCGCGATACTTATTTTTAGCATGATTCCACGTAGGTAATATGGGTGGGCCTAACTCCACCATTGATAATATCTATCTATCAGGTAGCTACTATGTGTGAAGTCCGAAATTACACCAGGTAATCCTAGTGCACACGTGTTGGTTCGAGGTGGATTTTTACTTCAAACGCTGAATAGACATTATTAAGAAATACTAAAATGGCAATGGTTTAAGCGTACTTTTTTTATTGGCTTAGCAACCCTTCCTCCTCCAAAACAACTTTATCACAATAGTTTCCCCCTTTTCTCCTGACTACATCATCATCGGTAGCGGCACTTCCGGCCTCGTTATTGACGACCGGTTGTCCGAAAACCTCAACGTTCAAGCCTTAGTACTCGAGGGCGAGAAGGGCCTTCCTATCGATCTTAGGGTCAACGTCCTAACCCTTCGGATATCTCTTATGGGCTCTGAAGCTGACTGGCAGTAGCTAGCTTAGTCCCCTCTTATAAGAAGCCGTATATTACACTTATACCCCCGCCAGATCAAGCCACGCTAGACCATCTCTAAATCGACTGGATTAATGCCGAGTATCGTGGCACTTGGGGCCCTATTAAATTCTTCCTCCCAGGCATCGTCGAGTCCGTCCTCGGGTAATCCGATTGGGGGTTACAGCAATACAGCGACCGTCGGTCCGGAAACAAAGACTCGGAGCTACGCTACTTTAACGTACGGTACTCCTATTACCCAAAGACCGAACATATAAGATATCTCAGAGGACAAGGTCCAGAGAATATCTGCATCGTTGATGCTAGGTACTGTCTTCCCGCTTGTCCCCCATGGTAATACCCTGTCCTCGGTTTATGCCGTTGCCAAGAAGGCGGCTGATATCATCAAGGGCTATCGATGCCAGCGGTCTCAACAAGTCAAGTCAAGCAAGTTTTTACTAAAAGCTTGGCCGCCCCCAAGCCAAGTCAAATAAATGAATTTTTTTATTTAACTGACAATATTTACGGATTGGCTTGGGTCTCGGAGCCGGAATAATATTAATCAGATAGCGCCTCTTTCAAAAAACATAAGCCATAAGATGGCGTTATTTCTAAGAACATAAGCCATAAGATCCACATACCTAGCCACAACAAGCTACAACAAACCACTTATCTTAATATTGGATAAGGGTAGGAGTATTTATTTATAATCTACCAATCATACCACGTAAATATATATATAAGTAGGCCTGGACATATAAAATATATCTGGGTAATTGGTCAAATAAAAAAAATAAAAGCTTGACTCATTCAAATATGCTAAAATTAGGTATTTGGCTAAGTCAAGTCAAGCCAAGTCAAGTCAAGTCAAATAATTATTTGACTTGTTGAGACCGCTGATCGATGGAGAACATGTGCCCTGGTACTTGCAAACGATATTTGCATGTGTAACGCATCAATAGATGGCAAATACACCAAAAGCTATCGCTATGAGGCGCTTTATCCTAATTCCCTTGCCCCCCACCTTGCTCCTCTTTCTCTTTAGCTTTTCCCGTTCATCTTGTCGAAATAATCAAGGAGACTTTTGATTGTCGGTTCGACGGTATGCAGTTGATTTAATGCATCATCGATAACACGCGATGTATTGTCGTTAGTATTGACGAGCCGGGACTTGGCATTGTTAAGCTCGTCTGTTGCGAACGGCATCCAGAGGTCAGCTGCGTTAAGCGTATTTTCCTTTTCCGCATCGACAGGCACAATTAGCCGAAGATCAAGATCACGGACGTAGTCGACAAGTAGGAGTATTTGTTTTAGGTATTCTTTTGCGCCATCTTTATCTTTGATGGTGAATGTGGGAAATATCGGTTTCTTCATGTTGGAAAGTTACGTCAAGGTATAAATAATACTTTGTTCCTCGCTCTTTTCCCGTATTGCTATGAAGGAAGAGTTAAGTGTCGTTGGGTGTAATAGATCTATGGAAAGGAGTTATGCCTTAAAAGCTTTTATACGCGCGAGAATGGCTCACGTATCACTTACATCGTACATGATTCTTGAGCTTTAGGATGCTCTAAGGCAACAAGGGTGAATAGGAGGTAACTAGATACTATTGAATACAAGATTGCACTTGCTTATTACTCAGTTACAACTCACTTTTCGCGTGAATCTTTAATATTTAACAGTCAGTTCAGTATCCATCTCATCTATTAGACTCTTAGCAACGTGGAGTTGAGGTTAGTGAATTATAATCAAGTGGTAATGTGATATATTGTGTAACATGAGTGGAGGTAAAGGAACCCCCATCTTCAGCATCAGTCCAACATGTAGTAAAGCCAATAATGAACAACAGCGAGTTCGACGAGTCAACTAATAGCTTGACCTAACTTAGACTCGACTTAACTTGGCTTGGGCAAATCGTAAATATTTTTTTATTTGTATAGCAGGTACGTATATTAAAGATGTACGTATATATTTTTGACAAAGGTAGGTATGTAATTGGTGTATCCATTGTGGCTAACGTGGCTAAGGCTGTGGCTTTATAAGGGCATTCAAATCAGTCCGAAGATATAACCAGGTAAGCCCTGTAAGCCAATATACCTGACTTGACTTGTGGTAGGTCAAGTCTATACGGTTATTTGACCTGACTTGACTCATCGAACTCGCTAATGAACAATGTAACCACCAATTTCCCAGTACGAGAGATCTAGCGGTATCTGAATTGATGTGTTTGCCTGGCATGTTCAGGATTCATCCCAAGTCTCTACAATGTGTCAATACTCTCAGTCATCAGTGACTTGCTAGGGGTACGTGTTAATCAACTACATAGACCTGAAATCAGATAATGATCTCAAGGATCCATAATGCAGGGTCCTTTTGATTTACTCCTTGTCCAAGCGGCGGGGAATCTACGGTTATTCTACCTGGTCCCTGGAATGGTTCCAGGTGTGCATGGCCAAGGGGAATGCGAAAATCGGCTGGCAGCTGTCATGGCCACGCCAGCTTCTTGCGCCACAAAATCAAAAATCATAATGCGTCCATATTGTTCCTTTCATAGACGGCGAGCCGATACTAACACGACGTCGTAAACGCGCCCAATGTTATTACTAAACTGCTTCAATTTGGTAACCAGTGTACCTAGGTAACTACACCCCATAAATGCTGGGCACGAAATGAGTTCTTGGCCAAACTCAGGACAAAATGGTGAGACGCAAACTACCTAAAGCTATGTATATTTGATGCCTGTTTGAAGTATTCTAGAATAATATTAGAAGCAGATTCCCAACTTATGCCTTCACATTTGTTCTTTTTGGTCGGGATCATTTCCAATAGAATCTTATGCACCCTTCTACTTTTAGCACTACGGCATATGTCCTAGTCCTTATTCCGTACGATATCTCGTTCTAATCTACCTAATGCTTGCTTGCTTGGCAGGTCAGCATTAGGAGTTCTGGGGTTCTGTTAGGGCTATAAAGGTGCCATAGCGGCATAGTTCTTATGTAGGTCTGAACTGCGTCTTGTGGGGCTGTTGAATATCGCGCTTATTCCGCTATCAAACACGACAGCAGAAGTAGTTGTCTTCGCCATTTTGGAATGATTATAGGTGTTTTGAGATATGTTGAGATAATCTTACATATTGACAACTTGAGGCTTTAAAAAGGGACCTGTTAAAAGACTCAAAACATGCCACGATACGTACCTGAGGAATAGTACAAAGGTCAGGTCTCAACCAATCAGATGTAAGTGGATAATGTACCGTGTCTCTCTCGCACTTGAAAACACAAGATCAAGAAGAGCGAACAAGAAATCTAATATGTACCAACATGTAAAGGAAGATTTCCCTCGATATACCGAGGGAGGGGAGTTGTTGTTCCTGTGTTGATCATTCCCATCCTAGTAAAACTACCTAGATACTATGTAAAATATCGACTCTTTGACATCATATGACGTTAACCATAGCATTATCGTGACGCTATCTCAGTTCTACAAACAGGACAACAGCAAAACCCGCAAGTAAACTTGCCAATTCAAATATGATATATGATAAATCAAATAGACCATATGAAATATAGCTATTGAGCACCTTTAAACCAAATTTTGTAATCTCTGACTGAAGTCGAAGTCGAAGTCGAACTATTAGAGAGAACGAGAACAACAACCAACCACTAAAGTAAAAACATAATTTCCTAAAATGGCAACTCCACTACGCTCCCTCACGGCCGCAGGTCTACGCTGTGTCCGCACGGGCAAATCCACCAGCGCAAGTCTACCTAGGCCTATGCCCATCACCACCACTAATAACATCCCATCCCGCCCCTTCACAGCAACAGCAGCAATCGCGTCGTCGCCACCGCCGCAACCCAAGATTCTCCTTGAGGATCGAGACTCCGGGTTCGGGTTCGTGCGGCACAACTCGCCGTCGCCGAAGCCGCGTACCCGCTCCGTGACCGAAATCCGGGGACCGTACTACACCGTCATGGGCCAGCGATACCTCTCCGACGTGCTGGAGACGATGGGCACGCACGTCGACGGGCTCAAGTTCGCCGGCGGCTCTTTCGCCCTGTTCGCGGAACGCCCGTTGCGGCAGCTCCTCGACCTGGCGCACGCGCACGGGGTGTACGTGAGCACGGGCGGATGGATCGAGCACGTCCTGGCGTCGAGCGGCGGCGACGTACCAAGCGCCGTCGATATGTACCTGGCCAAGTGCAAGGACCTGGGGTTCGACGAGGTCGAGCTGAGCACGGGGTTCCTGTCGCTGCCGCCCGACGACTGGCTGCGGCTGGCGGAGCGCGTGCAGAAGGCGGGCATGGAACCCAAGCCCGAGCTGGGCATCCAGTTCGGCGCCGGCGGCGATACCCCCGCTGCGGAACTGCAGAGTATCGGCACGAGCGACCCGAGTAAAGTGATTAATATGGCGAAGCGGTTCGTGAAGGAAGCTGGTGTCAAGCGCTGTATGATTGAGAGCGAGGGCATCACGGAGAATGTGCAGAGTTGGCGCACGGACGTCATCCAGGCTATTCTACGAGAGTTACCGCTAGAGAAAGTCATGTTCGAGGCGGCTGATCCGGAGGTTTTCAACTGGTGAGCTTTTACTATTTATTTGAGACCTTCCAGTATACGTACGTGTGGTTTTGGAAGCTGACTGACTCTACGTTCCGTGTAGGTACATTCGGGAATTTGGCGTTGACGTCAACCTCTTCGTTGACCATTCTCAGATCGTCCAGCTGGCTGGACTGAAAGCTGGCATCTGGGGCAAGAGTGACACTTTTGGCAAGATTACTACTTACAGACCTCCGGATAAGGTGCAAATTAACGGGATTTGATAAATAATTTCCAATATTGCTCTTTTGTTTTGTTGAACAAGACCATCTACGAAAGGACCGCTTACCATCGGCCGATGCTGGGTTTACAGGTCAAATGGGACGGGGCCGTTTTCCCTTAATTTTACGTTATGGACGTCTATGAGAGTATTTATTTACGCTGATCAATGCTATCCCGGGTCAGAGTAATAAATACCTAGGTTAGGTACCTAGGTACCTGGCTTCATGGGTTGTGGACTTCACTATTGAGGATATTATTATGTTATATTGACTCAGCTGTGAATATATACTCATGCTATATACTCATGCACCCACAGGTTTAAAATCAGGGTTGAGTCTACCCGCATCTGCAATGTCCCTGGAGTAACCCTTTATGCACAATAAAATGTAGCCGTATGACGCTGGAATCGTTCGATACCACATGCCACACGAGACCCTTCTCTCAATTTTACCCCATCGAAAAGGTCAGAATAGAGGCGACGATGATGCCAGAAACGTAACATTCGGCGTTATCGTATTTAGAGTGGCATTGCTTAATATAAAAAACAAGATGCTTTTCGAGTTCATGACCCCATACCTACCAACTAGTAGAGTACACTTTCAAAATATGTCCAGAGCCAATCGGTGCCCACCCCCATTGAACCTCACGGTTCGGGGAGATCAACCATACACCTACTCTCGACTGCACTTATCCACCGACCCAAAGCAGCAGCATGTGAATGTTTCAGATGCTGGCGGAAGTGATCCGCCCGATAAAATTGCTTCGCTGAGTTGCATTCTCCAAACTTGTGAACCTCTTTCACATGATTGAGACGGTCCTCCCAGTCTTGCTCATTAGCATACATTGGCACGCCCTCCCCGTTCCGAGGGAAGTCTTCTCCGCAATACCCGCACGTATCAGATATGCCGAACTTGTTAATGCTCTCCTGGAAGACATTCATATAGCCAACGTTTAACATGTTCGAACAAGCCCAAGCGTGTCGTCGAACGTGGAGGCTGTTCTCGTGCCTCTCAGCTTCGTTCTTTGACTTAAAGCGAGCGCCACAGAAACCGCACTGATACCGTTTCTCTGCTTCATGAGCACTATTGGATAGTCAGCACGTCTCGAGAGCTTTTAATTAACAGTCTAGATTCAGATAGGCTTTGGCTAGAATTACACCTCTTACCTTAATTCTTCCATATTTTCGAACTTCTTCGGCTTCTTTGGGCAACACTCGCAGAGGAAGAAACCCGGAAGGCTATCTTTGGGAGAAGCGGGAATGTTTATCGGACGTCGTTTATTTAATGTCCTTGGGAGTTCAAGGAAGCTCTCATTGCTGCTCTTGTGGTGCAATGAAGGCTTATGACCCGTCGATGGACTCAAATAGTCGGGATGATCACGAGGGTTAGGTGGGCTTGTTCCATAGAGTTTCGCCATCTCAGCCAAGCTATCCCCACTTCCATTCCATCTGGTCGAACTACTGGTACCATAAGCAAATGAATAAGCCGAAGACATTGGAGAGCCTGGACTGGCTATCGAAAAAGCTCGACTCCGTGCGTCTCTGCTGTCTAACATGCTAGAAGAACTTCCATTTCGCCGGATAAAATTCACATCTTGTAAGGGGGATCCAGCCCGACGCTTCGCACTGGATCGGGTTCTTAGTGGGACTGAAAATCGACCTTGAGGCTGTGTTAATTTGTGAGGCTGAAAGTTTGGAGGTCTCGCATTAAACGATCTATGGCATTCGGCGTCATCAGTCCCTAAATACGATGAAGGAGATAATAGTGTCTCTCCCCTGGACTGTGTGGTTGACAGTACTTCTCCATCATAGTAAAGACGCCTTAAATATTCGACGGAACTGACGGTATCGTATGCCCATGCTTCACCGAGAAGAGCTTTCTGTGCAAGCCGATAGTACTTGATGAGTCTTACGTCCATATTTTGAGGCTCTTCCTCGAGCGACCAAGTCAATATTAGAGGGTCAAATGAAGCCGATGTTGCGTCGAAGAGTTCTACCGCAAGCAGAAGGTAAGTTGAGTAGGTTTGTTTCGTCTCCGACGTGAATTGAAATTCCGGTTGGCTCTCCAGAAATCTAATGGTTCGGCGGACGTAGGATTGGATCCAGAGGCTATAGAAAGCCGATAGCCACCATCTTTTTTCATGAAGTCGGTTCTCTTTTCTGAATATGACTTTCGAGAGCTCGTCTGTAAAAGCTTTTATATTGGAACTCAGTTCCTGAAATGGTCGAACACAGCATACACCGGACACACAATCATCGTGCAGCTCATACGTCAAATAGCCGCCATCCTGAAGCCGTAATATATCGATACAATTCCTAAGACACTTAATAGCTAGTGGAACGGCTTGTGACTAAAGTTGTAAGTGAGTGTTAACGAAGAATGTAAATGATAGAATGGGTACGTAAACTCTCAACCTACTTGACCATACTCCGTTTCATAGGTAATAGCAGCTTTGATGACGTCGAGGATGTGTTCCACGGATTTGACAAGCAGGATTTCTTTCGCTGAAGTGATATCAATGAGGCCCCAAGCTATATGAATAGCGTTTGCTTCGACATCGTGCCTAAGTGATAGAGATGTGTTCGCCGTGATAGCCATAGGCGAACATAAAATCTCAAGCACAACTTTTATGTACGTGTCGCCCTTGGAGACGAAAACATTGTCGAGTCGATCGGAAGCGTCTTGAAGACATGAACCAACGCCCATGTCTTCCAGAATATCCGGTCCTCCTGTTGTTTGATTAAAGATAGAATTCGTATCGACCACGCCATGGGCATTGGACTTGGGACATAAAGAGATGCGTGGCATATGATCCAGCAGGGTACCGCGTTTGCAACCTATAGCTTGCCATCGTGAGTTATTTGTTCCGGACCTAGGGCACGCTTTACACGGTTGATCGGGATCGCACTTAGCATAAATTAGCACTTATATTGATCATGAAGTTGTAACGATTGACATACCTTCTTACGAAGAAACTTGCATCTCCAACAAGCCCCGACGTCTTTTAATGTACGAGACAATCCAATCCAGGAACCATGTCTCAATGAAGAGGGTACTGGTCGTGAAGCCATTCGGCTCAAGTCTTGCTCGTCTTCTGAAAGATCATGATATTGTGGGGTTTCCAAAGAGTTATTTTTTACACCTCTCAGCGAACTAGTATTTCCTATTCAACGATGAGTATTGGATAATGTCCTACGAAAGGTATATCTATTGGCTACTGACCTAAGTTCAAATCGCTAGATGATATATCCATATCCATATCCATGGCTACGTCAGTATGAAGGAAAGGGGATGAGCTGCTTGTATCAGGAAAGTTTTTAGGTCGTCTTCTTGTGGTGTTCCCAGGTATCCAACGAGACGGAGGCAGCGGAGGCAAAGAGTCCTGATCTGTGAATGGCGCTATGGAATCCCGAGTCGTCCTTAGCTGTTGCGAATATTGATCAAGGTCCTTTCCAAAGCTCTTCTTTTGGAGCCGAATTGTCCGAAGAGAGTCATCGTAGGAATATTGAAGGTCGAGTTTAGCTGCAAGAGCTTGGATGGTATTCTGCTTAGACAAGTCGCAGTTCTCGATGTCATGATGGTGAGCCGATGGGTTATTCGCAAACAACACCAGGGATGCATAGTCGTTTAAAATGATTGGGTTATTCATATCTTGAAAACTTAAGCCCGAGGTAGGGTATATGGGTCATATCGGGTCTAAACTTACCCAATACCTCTTCACTACCGGACCGCCTCCGCTCAATACCACTGTTAGCCGTGCCACCATAACCCGGCGTATTTTCACACACAGTGTCGATTGTAGCGGAAGGGATATCAAACTGGTGAGAATTCGGGTCTCCGATTAGCATGTCGATTTCAGCGGAATCCTCTTCTATAAGATCCATGTCAAAGAGAGCCCAAGGCGTATCTTGGAGGTCCTCCAGACGGAATCCTTCTAAAGGTATAAGATTATTCGCCATATTTGGTGAATTGAAGCTCTAAGATAACTTCGATGGGGCCCATCTAAGAGATTGCCTATTAACGATGGCATTAACAAAACACTTTACACGGTTTCGAATAGGCAATGGCTATCCGGAGAGACGGCCTAGAGACGTGAAGACGATGAAGAGCGGTCGGCTCATAGGGCATTAGGGTAGGTAGGGCTACCGTAGGGCTGACAGGGCTGACAGGGCGGACCGCTCCATTAAGGGGTTAGCGTCGGTCGGCAACATCGTAGGGTCGCGAGTCTTCATCCAATCCAACATTGCCATTATCCGATTTATGTACCCACTGCAGCCCGTTTGTAGAGGCGGTCCGCCCGTAGACATGTAGCGGTCTTGAAGTACACGATATGAAGTGCGATATGCCTGTTTATACTGGTCATTTGGTTAATTATTTCAGATTCCTTCACCGTCAGTCACCGACTGTCCACCTTATCCAGCCCAGGTAAACACCAGAGGTAAGGAAGCTGTTGTAGCATTACGAAGATATGGCATGTAAATTGAAAATGGCCGAAATATAAGGAAGCAACTCTGCTGTAATGAAGCCAGTTCCAATCCTTATAGTATTTCTCATTTCCTCCAATTCATATCTACTATTCATTATCATGGCGTCGTACGTACGAGATCCAAGCGCGTTGCGAGGTATCGGAGCATGGGTCCAGTTCGTTGACGCTCCACAGACGAACGCCTCCTCTCTACAAGAGCTGGATACCGAGTACACAGAAGTTCCCAAGAGAAATGGAGACAGCAATGATTCGAAGATCAAAGCATGGGTATCAAACTTTGACTTGAACTTCTGGAATGAACCCGATAAAATTCTAGACGATAGATTAGAGCGTTCGCATTTTCAGAATCAGACCTCAAGTGGTGTTATAGCCCGAGCATCACCTCTCTCGGAGAATGATACGCAGTCAACCATCTTGGCTCTAAGCTCAGACTACAATGCCCCGACTTGCAGAAACCCCTTGTCAATAGGTCAAATGGGACATATTAGCGAGCAATGAAGACTGGGCCGAATTCTTTTCGAATTAAGTCTTGCATCACTGCCAACGGTCAATAGGAAACTTGAGGAATAGAGCATTCAGTCGGCTAATGCATTTGGCGGATTATGTATGGATGTCTATTCAATTAGACATGACGACCCTATTGTCGAATATAGGTCGCTCAGGTGTTCGTTCATGCAAGTCAAGGCAGCTGACATGAGGAGTCGGTGTAGATTAAGATGGAAATTGGGGGTGGGAGGGGAGGACATTATGGATTGTTTAGGAGCAGGCGACCCCTTGTCCTTGATTCGGGGCGGGCCGGCAAAAAACAGCGGTACGCACGTGCCACGTGCATGTAAGCACTTTGCATAGTACCGATGTACCATGCATAAAAGGGAGGAACTGTGCATATTCATAACTTAGATACTAAGATTATATAAGTGAACGGTACCTACAGCAGTGTAGCAACCAATGATGTAGATGGGCACTACCTGCTAATTACCTGCTAATTTCAGTATTAGGTACCTGTTTACGAGCTACCATGTTAGGACCCTTCTCATGTAAAACTTGTCCCAAGTTAAGATTACCTACCTCATAGCTCCCACTTCACAACTAACATCCCAGGTAGGTGGTTAGGGAGGTAGAGAAGCCCAAGGTACCAGAGTTGTCCGTCATTAAGCCAAGTAGGCCAGTGACGGCTGGCAACTTCAAAAGTGAAAACATATCCGCTGACAGGTAGGTACTATTAATATACAAGATCTAGTCCAGCTATAAAGTACAGACTACTCAAATATTTAGTATTATATAGTAGACGATGATATGTAAAGCTACATAGCTCTACCATTTCTTCAAATAAGTCAAAGAACCTTAGCTACCTAGGAACTGATTTATTAACTGGATAGTTGAGAATTATTGATATTGTACTCAAATGTGATGCAAGCCATGATGTACGTCGTTCCTAATGCAAGGTACCCATGGCTAATTTCAAATACATACCTAGCGGCCAATGGAGAATAATACAGACTCCATGACAAGATAACGGTGAACAATTCCGGAACACATAGGTATATCGCTACTTAAAAAGTGAATCCGACGGCATGTGTCCTTAGAAGCCAGAAACACAAGTACACACCCTAAATACTAGTATTTACAAATCAAGACTATGAAAAGACTCAAGATATACCATGTCAGGAATAGTGAAAAGGTTTTAGCTAATCAAATTTAAACGTACAATATACCGTGTCTCCCTGGCACTTGAGGATATATGTCCAGTATGAAAGCGTGAGAAATTAATGACAATGTGATGTGGGTTTACTATTCCCCATGGTATAAGAAACTATAGCCGAGTGGATTTCTACGTTATCTAAACATGACGAATCATTATTAAGGCGGGACTACATGTATGAGAGTATTCTGGGAAGCAAGATAGGTATAGGAGGCTTAAGCCAATCCTACGGGCTTAAAGTCCCACAGGAGGAAACATATGATGCACGGCACCGTTACTCGCGAGCACGGATTCGGCCTCCGTAGCGGGAACGATTATACCAGATTTAGACAAGTCTCCCGCTATACTTAGGAACGGAGGCTCGCTCTTAAGTATAGCAAGGAATATGATCGGATACCGAAATACCGATTGCAACTATACGTTATGGCAGGCTATCTATCACACGTCCACTTGATAACAACTATATATACGGCCTCATATGCTACTTCCTTCTATTTCTCTATCTCTTCACGCCGCGCCTTTTCTTTTTCATTTTCTTCTAACGAAACTCAATTAAGTCATTAACTTCCATTTTGGGTATCGCAACTCTTATTCCCGGCCAGCTCCGAACATCATGGCTCCACTCGTCTCTAGCACCAACAGCTCAGGTCTCATCGACACTCAGTAAGATACGACCCAATAAACTAAAAGAAGCCATGTCAGCTAAAAAAACTCAACAGTATCCATATCACCACCCCAAGCTACTTAAAGGTTATAAGGGATATAGGAGGTGATCCAAGTGGCTGGTCAACTCCTGTTTGGAAATTAGAAGATTGTGTACGCTTCTGCGACACCATTGGGGAAAGCTTCTCTGTCCTTTCCGTTTCTGCACCAGGTCCCGCCATTCTTGGTCCTACTGAAGCAGGTAGAAAGTTGGCGCGGACACTCAATAATGAAGTGTGGGAAGTCTGCTCCAGGGCAAAAGGTCGGTTTGGCTTTTTTGCTTGTTTACCGGACTTCAACGACGTTGAAGGAACCCTCGAGGAAATCAAGCACATATTCGAGACGGAGAAAAAGGCAAACGGGGTTGTTGTTATGACCTCGTACGGCGAGCGGCTGTTGGGAGATGAGCACTTCAAACCCATCTGGGAGTCACTGGAGAATTACAAGGCACTCGTTTTTGTCCATCCCACTGCCCTGAACATTACGCCAGAAAAGGTGGAAGGGTGGCTTCCCGCACCAGTTATTGACTACCCTCATGCTACAACAAGAGCCGTCGTATCACTTCTTATTTCCGGAATAGCGACCGCTTGTCCTAATGTTGACATAATATTGAGTCATGCTGGCGGAACGGTCCCTTTTCTTGCGCAGCGGGCTCTTGGGTTCCTTGCCGAGCCGGCCTTCCAAAGCCAATCCCACACCAACGTCACTCAGGCGTAAGCATTTCTATCCTTGTCCCAACCGCATATGATTATAAATTAATGTCGAGCTTTAGGAAACATGCTCTCGGGCGCTTCTACTACGACGTTGCCCTTTCCACAAGCACTCCGCAACTCAAGGCACTACTGGCCTTTGCCTCTCCATCGAACGTTCTCTACGGTAGCGACTACCCATACGCGTCTAAGCATATTATTTACGAAGACCTACTACGGTATAGCAATTTTGTGGCCAACGAAGAGGGTAAGGATATTAGACCGGCTCGCTTGAGCGAAAACGCAATAGCCCTTCTCCAGAAGCATAAAGCTGAGAACACTATTCTACCCGTGTCTCGGGAGGTTGGGGGCTCAAAGGAGCCGGAATTTGGATTGGAGAGTAACCAGGTCGCTGAACAGGCAAGACATCAGCTAGCCAAGTTTGACAGCTAAATATTCGGGCTTTATCGTTGAAGATAATAATTCCATCCTATATTCTTCAAGAAATTTCCCGGTCTTAATAAAAGTATGTTAATGAGAAGTCCCTTGATGGACTCGTTATAAAATATTAAAGGGGAGTTTTTCGCCATGGGTAAGTCTTATAAAAGTTGACAATCGAAATTAAGTAGGTAGGTAGCTATTAGGATGCCAACCCACTGAGTTCAATGGCCCTGTATTGAAAATCATGTGGATAGGTAAAATAGCTTATAAGCGAAGTACCGAAAGGTATAGAGATATGGTAAAATACATGGTGGTGGGACTTCCGATACCACTCTATAGGCCCCAGTTATTGCGCCTTTCCATTGACAACTACCACTCAATTACAGAGAATCTCCTACGAGCCCATCCAGATGTATCCTTCCTTAGAGATAAGACTACTTCAAGCTAAATATATAAAAATTCGCTATCTTGAGCTATATAGGTGCTACAGTCATTGTTTTCTTCCTAGATAAATGCAAACTTATGTTTATCCAACTTCTATTATTATCTAATACCCCCCTTTCTATTACCGAAGATTTCTTCCGATTGTTGGAGTTAGGTATCGAAGCTTCCGCAATACACATTACCAACTTGTACCCAAAGTTATTTTCAAATTCTAGACAATGAGACTTCATACTCGTATTTTAGGATTCTTCTTCCATCCCATGGTCGAAGGTGATCCAGGCCCGCCCCCTGATGGTGGCTCTCGAGCCTGGCTTCAGATCCTTGCCGGTCACCTCATCAACGCTCTTACGTGGGGATATTCCGCTTCGTTCGGCGTCTACCAATTATATTACACAACTACATTGTCACTACCCGAGTCGCAGGTGTCTTGGATAGGCTCCCTCCAGGTCTTCCTCACGTTCTTCGTGGGAACTCTCTCAGGACGCTCCGCCGATGCTGGGTATGCACAGCACACAGCTCTACTCGGGTCGATCCTGATTGTGCTCGGAACATTCATGACAAGCCTAGCAACGACGTATTGGCAAATCTTCCTCGCTCAGGGGTTGTGTACAGGACTCGGCATGGGCATCTTGTATATGCCGGCCATAGCCGTCATCAGCTCATATTGGAAGAGAAACAAAGCGATGGCCTTAGGACTAGCTTCCTCCGGGAGCGGTACTGGGAGCGTCATATTCCCTCTTATCGTACAGAATCTTCAACCTACTATTGGTTTTACTCGAGCTGTTCAGGTTCAAGGTTATATTGCTCTTGCGTTCGCAATTATCATCAACCTCCTACTCCGACCACGGCTCCCGCCTCGTAAGTCTGGTCCATTGATTGAATGGTCAGCGTTCCGAGAGCCAGTTTATATATTGTTCACCATTGGCGTATTCCTAATGTTCTGGGCTCTGTACTTTTGTTTCTTTTATATTAACACCTACGCTACCTCTATCATTGGCCTGGCTCCTGAAGCGGCCGTGAATTTACTCGCAGTAATTACCGGCGTCGGCATCCCAGTGCGACCCATTCTAGGTTTTGCTGCTGATCGATACTTCGGTGCCCTGCCCACTCTGATCATCGCTCTTACTATTTTAGGTGTACTACTCTATTCTTGGATTGCCGTCCATGCCGTGGCTAGCTTATATGTTTGGTCCGTATTCTATGGGCTCGCTACTGGAGCAGCTCAGGGGAGTAAGTGTTTGAGTTTCCCCTCCAAATTGTGTCTCTCATCGCGAAATGCCGCTAATACTCTGGATCTTAATAGTTTTTGTAGCAGGGCTCGCATCATTAACTACAGACCCTAGTAAGATGGGAACACGGTTCGGGATGGTATGTTCTATAATAGCATTCGCATCGCTAGCAGGTCCTCCAATAGCAGGTGCGTTAATTCAAAGTGAGAATGGAGGATTCACGAAAGCGCAAATCTGGGCTGGAACCGTGACCCTTGCTGCTGCGCTCTTTATATTTGCTGCTGAGTGGAAACAAATGGTGATGTCCCGCCAGATCCAGGGCTCAGAGAAGCTTCATAAAATGGATCAAGGATATACCGAAGCAGTCGTAGTGGAGGTAAACAGCAATGAGCAGACTAAGGCCTAAATCCCTCCCATCTTCCAACGATGACAAGTTATAAAAACCAATGGCAACCCTTGGAAATACGTGGTAGAAGGCTTTCGCGCGGATTGTATTGGATATAAAGCCGGACATTGTACCAAATATCGTGGAGTAAAAAGAACGTATCACTTACTCGCAGTTACTTCAGCTATAGGAAATTTGATACACTCTCATTCTACTCTAGGCCCCTTTAAAGCCTACTCTTCACATCCTGGATTAGGGGTTCCATGGCCATATACTTCCAGAGGGAGAGAAAAGTCCGGCGCAGTGCAGCCAGTGTACGAATTCGCGTCCGTGGTGCAGTCGGGATTTAACGTTGTCGATCCAGAGAGCTGATAGGAAATTCTAGAAAGGGGGGATATTAGCATCATCGAACACTTCCCTTCATACAACTGAGTGAAGCACACTAAAGATGAAATATACTCACTCGCATGTACCCCCGGGGCTCGTGCAAGGCCAAGTCTGGTTGATAGCGAAATGCCATCCCGGGCTCCCGTGTCCCCATCCGGATTGAAAGTGCGTACAGTTCCAACACGTCGGGTCTGGAGTGTTCTCCGACCCACATTTAAACCAAGTAGTCCCATCCTTATCCTGCCACTCGCCGTCCTGCTGCTGTACTATGAAGCCGCTGCACGCTTGCCGCCATCCCACAGGGTTTGCCACAAAAAAGGAGACGGTCGCCATGCTAGGGCGTGGGGGGATATCTCCTGGATGAGTGTCCACTAAAGTAGAAAGAGTTAGCGAGCGCTATACAATACCTACCTACATATTAACTCGAGGGTCAAAAGCTATTACGCGTAGCCCAAATAGCAGGAAATCGAGCTTACATTGGCCGAAACTAAATTCCGTGATTTCAACAACTTGTCGTGAGCCTTCCTTAATAGAACATTCGGCTGTATTAGATGTAGATGCTTCCGTAGCGATTCCTATTGAAGGAATGCTAGAGGCCAAGGCGAGAAAAATGAAGAAGTACGCCCTCATAATGAATTCACAATGCATCTTGCTTCTAGGAAAGAAGGGTTCTCTAGTAATTTGTTTAGTCAACGTGCAATCTCCTCAGTCTAGAAGCAGAGTTACACTCTACGCTGAACAATTGCGTTCTGCATGATTTTCCCTTCAAAGGCAAATAACATGTATATCACCATAGATTCCATATTTTGCCGCCTCTGTATTTAAGGATGCCCGATTCGACCATCTCCGAAAGGATTTATCCAGAGTTGTATTGCAGCTATCGCAAGTCCGTGACGCCGATATATAGTACCATATGTAAATCATCACCTACATACCCTCTCTTAGTTTTACGCTAGCTACGCAATCCTGCCATCTCAAGGTCTTCATATAGAGCCCCTCAATGATCGCGATCAACACCATACCGCCACCAAGCCCGGTCCAGACACCATTCAACTCCAAACCTAGAGATCCCAGCTCTAGCCATATCGTCACGGGGACGGTGGCTATATAGTTTACGACAAGTACCACCCAAGCGGCGACGGATTGGCGGCCAAGCCCACGAAGTATGCCATTCGTACAGCAGATGATGGCATCTATAATCTGGAACACGCCAACGGCAAGCATGGTTTTGGAGACGAGGTCGCCAACTATACGGTCCTCTGAGAAGAATACTGAAAGGTACTTTCGCAGAGAGAAAATGATCAAGCCGTCGGTACCGCCTACGAGCGCACATACTACGGCGTATAACACGGCGGCGCGCCGGGCTCTCGCAACAAGGCCGGCTCCAATGAGATGGCCAATACGCGTACTTATCGCAACCGATATAGAAAAAGGGATATGCCAGGATACGACCGAGATGGTCATCAAAACAGACTGTGCTGCCAAATGATTTGTACTGAGATAGGACGTGCTAAAAGTTAAAATCTCAGAAGCAGCCCATTCTCCCAAGTTGACCGCAGTACCTGCAACGGAAAGCCGCACCATAGGTCCCCAATTAGAGAAGGCATCCCGTGAGAAGCCGCCCCAGCACTGATGTGACCACTTCCCAGTCGGTAAAAGTATATAAGCAAGAAGTAAGACGGGGCGAAGATTATTAGTGAGAGCAGCTCCCAATGCAGCACCGTCGAGGCCCATCCCAAGTTTAAAAGCGAAGAGCCAGCTCAGGAACGCATTGACGGGTGTGCATATAAGAATGGCAATCATGGCGCCTCTAAAATCCCCCTGAGCTTGGAGGAATCGCTTGCCGGCTTCAAACGACGCATATCCGGGCAGGCCAACCAAGCTAACCCACATAAACTTCCCAGCCATGACAGCTAGATGATGCTGCCGTACAAAGATGGACAGCACCCACGGAGAGACAACCCAGAAAGCACCAATAGGTATAACGGCCAAGATCATGAGGAACCACATCCGCTGGACGTGCAGCCCAACATTTAAAAGATTACCAGAGCCATACGCTTGGGCGCACAGCGTATCGAGAGCAGTAGCCATGCCCTCAATCGTAGCGAACCCAACAATGTTCATCGTGGTCATACCAAGGCTCGCGGCAGCGAGGGCGTCTGCATTAATATGGCCCGCCACAAAGGTCGTGATAACGCTATATGAATATTGGAGAAGGTAAGTTGCTATAAGTGGAATAGAGTACTGCGCGAGAAGCCATAACTCCGACCCCCAGCTATCGTTGGTAGCAGATTTCAACGGCTGAGAATCAGATAATAGCGGTGTGGATTCCGTTTGGCCATCGTGAGCCGCCTCATCGTCTCGTATGTCCGAATCCATGAGTTGTGCGCGTCTGACTGTAGAAGTGAGTGATAGTCAAGAAAGTAATATAAATGCAGCGAAAAGAAACCGTTTACTATGTACTTGGGCTAAAAACACAGACATATTCTGGTTAAGGCTTTAAAAAAGAGAAAGAATTGTCAAGGTGGAGTATGAAATACTGAACAGCTATTGGTTGTTAACCAAACCATACATGATAGCTATCTCTCGGTATACCGGGAGTCTAACGCCAATATGTCGTGCAATTTACTCATTCCAATAGAATATAGAAATAATAATATGTTCATGTAAGCCAAATGCTAGGTATATCGTTTGCCAGAACTAGCTACGTAACGGTTGAACAAAGAAAAATTGAGATTATTCTATTCGCCAATTCCTCACAACGCTAAAAAACTATCCTTGTCTAAAAGAAAGAAGCTCTCCAAACGCAGGTGACCTAGCTAGGAATGTTCGGGATTATATTGGACCGCTCCGGCAGGGTCTCTCGAGCTTCACCGCTAATCTCCGGGATAGATTTCGGGTTTAAACCTCTTGCTGGTTTCGGTTCCGTGAGCTTGCCGAGCTATCTACCTTCTAGTATAAACTGAATAAGTCTAACGAATTCTTTCAAAAGACAGCAGTTCGGAACGAATACCGCCAACAAATACACAGCGTCTGAAGATGCTCTCTATGGTTTGTTAAGTTTCTCATCTGCGTAATACACAACGCATGTCAGATCTACCTAGGTTACTTAACCATGCAAGGATCCTTCTAATTCCTACCGTTAAAAAGTGCGGTGGGAGATAAGGAAAATTATACTCTACGGGTAGCAAATCATACCTAGTATGTGTTGCTCATCTCGATGTGAACTCTTGCAGGTAAGGTGAACTTAGATTGGTCATCGTATCTAATTCTTGGCCAGTAACTTCTACCCACGTCGTAGTTTCAAATGCTGTACGACAGAGATATACGCAAAGGGGACACGATTATTACAATTACCAAGCTAGCGTAAAGTAGACATCCTTTCATCACGGATCGTATTTATCGCATGCCTCAAAAAGGATATGCCACCAAAGACGGGCAAATACGTCATAGTCTCGGGGAAGGGCAGGGAGTTAGGTACTTCTCAACTAATAGGTTATCATACATGGAGTCTTTGGTTATAGAAAATCAGGCTCTGACGGGACGATAGCTATCATAAGATTTACATATTGTCCGGATTTCGGGTGACACAGGTGTATTAGATTAGAATCCTCACAAAAAAAGGGGGGGCATAAGCTTGGAGAAATCCTGATTCTCTATAAATTCATTTCTATAATACCTATAGCCTTTCTCCGTATCATTCTACGAGACAGTCTCCTTCCTTGATGACCTCCTGGTACTCCGGGTCATCAGGGTCAATACGAATGACCCTAACGCCAGGGGCAAGGTTCGGCCACTCCATCCTATCCCATATCGAGCCTTTCTTCCATTCCGTGCCCTTTCCCCTTGGAAGCATCACATAAGCTGTACCTTTTGTGGCTAGTGCTAGCGCCTGCGAGCACACTTCCCAAAACTTCTTCTGCTCTGTCTTTTCTGGGTGGAATTGCCAGGAGTCAGGCCAAGTGGGATCCCGCCACAAACCTGTTAATGGTCGATACCCCTTTAGATAGCTACGATTCTCTACAGCCTCCGCTACCTTTAAATGATATCCGGGTCCTGAATAGAAGATTGACGTATTCGGGAGAACGTTGATTTCGGCCAAACACTCATTCAGGGTTGGAAGGCTTCGACTTACATAGCCTGTTGGGTTAGTGGCATCTGTATTGGGAGCATTCCCGTTGTTAGTGATAGTCACAGAGGGCGAACCGGACGTGACATCCACCGGATCTATCACAGCAACCACGAGAGGCTCCGTTGGTTTCTTCATTTAGACGGCTTGAAACAGTAAATACCTTGTAATGTGATATATCTCTTCTGTCCAAGCCCAACTATAGGTATGTCATTAAACAGGTATGTGATGGGGTTTAGCAGGGAAAGTGGTTTATATGTGCCGTCCAGTATTATTACAATGTGATAAAACAATTGTCTTGTTAAACAATGAACTGTCAATATAATTGTGTCATTGTTCAAGTGACTCAGAGGGTAGATATACTAAGGGTTTTAAATACACAATGCTAACACAGAACCATACTTTACGTAGGTAGGTACCTATATAATAACTTGCAATTATGTCGAATCTTTCAAAAGTAAATACGCTTGTTTGTATTTTAACAATGATAGTGCTCAAAGACCCCTAACCTTGGCGTCATTTTACAGCGTTACTAAAGTCGAATGAAGTTATTCTAAAGTCATTCCATTCAATCCGCCCGTTACTTGACGTAAAAATAGAGAAAGTATTGAAACCTATCAAATTACATACGGTTGCATAGCCCGTTTGTTCTGTCTGTCCAGAGCATCCTCATTCGAGAAATGATTTGCACGTGACATATCCAAAGCCTTCAAATCAGGATATTCCAAATAGTATTGTGTCAATATGAAGTTTTCTTCCTCATCTTGTTCAATTCTATCGCTTCTAGCTTATTATTACTTCACATCACAATGGGTGACCCGCCTGCGCACATACTAATGAGCTTAATCGCTGCCTGTCACGCATGCAATAGCGAGACGCAATGGGATGTACGCTTTATCGACAGTATAATCCAAGGAGGTTACGATATCAATTATAGCGTCGGCCACATCGGAGGTATCTTAGGGTAAAACCTCTTCTTCGGGCATATACCAGTATTATTATGCTGATACTTAGGTTTTGATTTCCAAAGCTTTGCTGTGGGATCCGACAAACTTCCTTTGGTCGAGTATCTCCTTAACCACGGCGCAGACCCTAACGCCAATCTCTATCGAGACACGTATTCGGCACTCGAATTAGCCGTAACCTCTAACGCAAGCTTGTCTATCGTTTCTCTTCTGATCGATCGTGGAGCGGCTGTCGAACAGTGCAGCGCAGCTCTCCTCGCTGCCCGGGGAGGGCGTCTAGATGTTTTGAAACACCTCATTTCTTCTGGTGCTGGGATCGATTCTATCCCCGACAATGAGGATGTGTACGATAACGCCCGCGAGCAAGACGATTGGGGCGCGCCGCTTCATGGAGCTGCAGGGAATGGTCAGGCCGATTGTGTCATATGGTTACTTCAGGCAGGCGCATCTCGTGACATCAAAAACCACAACGGCTTAACCCCTAGGGAAGTGGCTGAAAAGAGAGGACATGCACGGTGTGTGAGAATATTAGACCAGAACGGAAGAGAAGATGGTTGCGTAGTTTCGTGAAGATGGTGTTGGGTTTATAGGTCAGAATAAACTATGACATTCAAACTACGTCTAATATTGAATTGAATAACCTCCGAATCTTATCCTACGGCCTAGAATATAATAGGTACAATAGGTTATTTTATTTATGCCCCTATGATTGCTACGCTGATAAAGGTGTCAGAATCCTAGATGAGATATCTGAACGCGTCTCGTTAAGGGTATGTAAATGCTTACTTTACTCTACTTCAATATTATGCGTCCCCCACAGTAAATACTGGTGAGGGGGTTTACCATGAGCTTTCCATTGCGCGAGGCCAGCTGAAATTCGGGTTAACCTTCAAGACTCTCCAAGCGCTCTCTTTGCACATGTCAAGCTTATTAGGCATAATTTTAAGTCGGGATCGAAGCTCTTCTAGAAGAAACGAACTGATCGACAAAATACGAGGAGGAAGCGCCAAATCCATGCCGGTGTAACACTCCTTAAAATGATATTTCTAAAGAGGGTGGGCAAGCTGCGACATGCCAAGTTACACACCTGCCAGAGGTCCACGCGATAGGAGTCCGACATACAGGTCTGAAATCCTAAGCGCTTGTGGTATGTCCACTTCATCGAGCCTACAGATCGTCTGATGTCATCCGAGATACCGGAACCCGAATTTTCTATTCTTCCTCGTTATAATTGTTATGATTTCATGATTGTAAATGCATATCAACAGTTTCAATGGCGGAGTTGAGAATCCACCGCTTTGGTTGAATAACGTGGTTAAAGCATCTGGGTATAGAAAACTTCACGCCGAGTATAATAGATAATTACCTAGGTACCTAGATAGGTAGTTAAAAGGGAATGGATTTGAATGGCCATGTAGTAAATAGGTTAGGTATATAATAAAACTCCTTCTTTGGATATCGTCTTCCCCATCTAACATTCACCACCTCGTGCCAATTCGGAAGCTCTCTGGGTCACGGATTGACTGTGTATCAGTTAGGACCCAGAGGCAGTCCCTGTCCGTCAACTCCTCCATCTACCAACACTCGAAGCTGTTGCGAGATCACTCATACCGGATTTCCCGCCTTCACGAGTTATAAGATCAAAATATGGACGGCGCATGTAAATTAAACGGCGAATATGTACACTTAGAAATGCTCCTTCCAGAACCGGAAGCGGACTTCTTTAGATGTTGCCTTCTTTGTTGCCTTGTGGATATCACGGGCTAGAAAATAAATTAGTGAGGATTCGTAGGCAAGTAGCAGAGATTTAGGACTTACCGGCTACAGCAGGACCACAAAAGTATACACCGACCGTCGTCTGCATGCTACCCTCTAGACCATTGATGTATGTTCGATCCATAATTCCATCCCGCATTGCTTCAAACATCCTTAGGAAGTTGGGTCGACCAAAGTTGGTGCGCGCCTTGAGTTCCGTTAAGGGATCGTGATCGGCACCAACACTGTTTAGCACGATATTTTGCTGTGTGTCCATATCGAGCTTCTGGGTTAGATAAGTGTGAATCTTCAAGAACTCCACACCGTTACTACCGGGAATGAGAGCCGCCTCATTGCTTTGAGATTCGAGAGATGATAGAAGAGTCTGGAACCACTCGAAAGAGCCGGTGTCCTTGCACACCCAGATAAATTCGACACGGCGGAGACGTCTGGGCGGGTTCGGGCTGTTGCGTAAGTGCCAGATATTCTTGAGGATAGAGGCCCACGGTGTCACACCGATACCCGTACCGATAAGTACCGCGATTTCGTTCTCGAAGACATCCTCGGCGGGCGCACCGTACGGCCCGTCGATTCGAAGTAAGGGCATTTGCTGTCCATTCTGTAAAGCGACTTCGTACATTCCCATAGGATCAACACCTTCGTAGAGCTTGGCTTGTGCGCTACCAGCACCAACCGCATCACCTAATGCCCTGGTGAAATCTCCAACCTGTCGAACGTGGACCGAGACATACGGATCATACGGGCAAGATGTGATAGTAAACGGATGCCATTGGTAGCCGGAAACTGAGGGAACCTGTAGGAAGAGCCACTGGCCAGCCTTGTACTTGAAAGAAGGCTTCTCGAACTGGATTTCCACAACGTCTGTAAACGGCGTTAGCATTACGGGGCTGTGGTATTAATCAAGTTCTCTTACCGTATGGATGGCGAACCACTCGAGTAATCTTAGTGGTACGCTTAGCCCGCACTTCTCGGTAAAGACGCTCGCACAGGTAAAAGGCTCCTGCGAACAATTCCCATCGCCACCCCTGGTAACCAATACAATGTTCCCAGAAGATATCGCCAGCAAATGGAGAGAAGGGCAGAGCAGTGTCGCGAACGAAACAACCAACGGCATGAGTATAAAGTCCAAGGAAGAACGGAACGAAAAGGTGATGCGTGTACCAGAAAGTCTCGAATGATTGTTGGCGGATACGATGATGAGCAGTAGTATACATCAACAACATACAGAGGAGCATCACATGGCCGGTAATGCCACCAGGTTGGGTATAGTGAATCTCAATCGCGGTAACTGGTCGAATCTGCGTCTTCTCCACGTTATAGAAGCTGTAAAATGTTAGATTTGGCTCACTCCAGACTCAAAGACTCAAAGAGCTTAAGGGACATACTTGACATAGTGAGCAGAGACGTGGATGACGGTGAAAAGTAGCATGGCGTAGGCAACCTGACGATGGAACCAAATGTTCTCATCTAGGGGCAGGAACCTGATCTTAGGTCGTATCCATCGTACAATTGTTCGGCATACCGGTAGTAAAATCAACGTCCCATCAATTGCCAAAACTAAACCGGCACCTCGCGATAACCACACGGACCATGATAGTGTATTCAGACCAGCTAGTTTGGGGTCATGGGCCTGTTTCCACCTATAGTTATATGTTAGTGATTGTTGCGTGATACACAATGTTAAGAAGACTTACCATCCGTAACCGAAAAAGAACCAGTGAACCCCCCAAAATAAGACATGGAATATGAGTTTAGTCGCAGTAAACTGCTTCTTTACCAATTCGACGACAGCCATTATGTTAACCGATGTCTCTCTCTCCTACCCGGGATATAAATTCAAATTAAAAGTTTGTCGACCTGCGACGCGATTCTGTGCCTTTCCTAGACGACGACTATTGGGTGAGGGCGTTTGAAGCGAGTGGACGGACTGATCGATATCGATTTCCAACGCTTTCTAAGTAATAACCACCCTCCGTAGCTATTCCTCTTCAAGTTTTCCGATTATTAAAGAAAGTCTTATTATCCAATGTCGCGCACCCCAGAAGTAAACAAAACCGAACCAAAAAAGAGCGATCTGAGCCAGCAGGAGACGAAGGAAAGGATGGCGAAGTAGGGAAAGTCTCGAGTGAGAGGCGGAGTCTTTCTACGTCCTGATTGCCGCGCAAAGGACCAAGAGAAAAAGAATTAGACGTAGATATTGGTGGGCGGGGAGTAAGTCATAAAGGACGACAGAACTAGGACGAGGTGGGCAATGCGATCAGGCGAAATCCACCGTTCCACGGTCAAAAAATGAAAAGAGCAAGGGTAGTATGGATGTACGAAGGTCCGGAGCTTGTTTGGTAGTCTACCTAGGTACAATACCATAAAGCTTCTTGCAGGGGATGAAGGGGGTTTCTCGATATCTCGGATGTCAATAGCCCATGAAACCTTAAGTTAATCGTGAAGATGCCAGCCCGTTTTCCGTTTAATTCGCAAACTGATTTGTAAAGTGGGAATATCGAAAATCGAGAAGTGGAGGGTTCTACCTCCGCGGCTAAACTACTTCACGTAACGACGAATCCTCATCGAAGCTCTTCAAAGCTCCTCAGGGAAGATAGACTATTGACTCCTCGATGGCCAACTAGCGATTCAACTAGAATAATAGCTGGGGTAGATCAAACGGAAGGGGAGCGTTTCGCGAGTTGTCGATGCGGTGTCAGATTTGCATCCGATGAACACTGAATTCGATCGGACGGTATGTCAGGCACGGATGATATTCCAGAGCCACACCCTTGTAATGGTGGGGGAAGAGTTGAGACGGGCGGCGTTTGGAAGCGCTGCTCTTTGGCGTTTCGACAGGGGGGAGTTGACCCTTAGCTTGCTATGGGATGTAAGTGCACGTACCTTTTTGATGACAGTACGAGCATTCAACAGCGTATGCGAATCGAAATCGGATATGTCAAAATATAATAGGAACCATATTGTCGGAACTGGATGGGTGATCGGGGTTTATTAGGTAGAAATATGCAAGATGTCTTCAACATGTATGTACATAAATTAGGCGCCGGTAGGTCAAGACCCTTTTGTGAAAGCCAATTAATTGTGGTTAATAACAGAACAGCTATCGAGGCTTGTCCAGACGGGCGGTTGCTGAACAGCGCGGATTCGTCCAAGGTTAAGGGCGGGATATCGTATGTGACCAATAGAATGAAGTGAGGCCGTGACACTTTGACCAATTCGACTTATCCTCCAAGGCCCTTGCACATACATATTGCCAAGCTTGAAGTGACAATAAAACGGGTTTAGCCTATCCCGTTGCAGAGAATGGTGCTTTTCCCCTTATCCCACTTACTATGTAGCTTACATATTCCCCCCTCTTCAACCCCCCCGTCCCTGGAATAGTGTATGCCCAAGTTAGACGAGATCCCGTCAACTAATCTGCAGCATGAACAGATATGCATGTACTAAAATCACCGGCATGGAAACACACGCTAGGCTCTTTCGATACAATGGCCTCCTAATATCGCATAGAGATTTTTGACCTTTTTTTTTAGTTGTATCTTCAATGTTGGCTTGGCGCTGCCGAAACCCGAGAAGCTACATTTGTAGCACAAGGGTGACGTCCACGTTGCTGGCCCTGCTGGCCTTGGTCTTGGATCGCCATGCCCTCCTCCATATGAGATATCCTCAAGAAAAGGTCGTATGATTGTAAAAATCAGACCACTTCTGAATAATACTCTTAAGGGCTGAATATGTATATAAATCAGTAGTAGCCGTCATGCCATTTGAAAAGATATTCGTCGTATGATCCTTCCATGTCTACTCACACAGTTGCTACTTTTGAACCCTTGGGATTCGCTTGGTATTGAGAATGCGACTCATGCCTCTTCTCTAGCAAGATCTACAGCTGACATCCACTATTTTCTACTGGGCATTGGATCAACGAGAGATTCATCTGAGTGTAAGATGTCGGAAACGAGGACTTCGGTCTCTCACTGCCTTGACTTCCTATGGCAACTCAGAAGCCCTGAGCTATCAACTACCTAAGGCAATGACGATATACCGTTGTGAGGTAAGATCCGAGGAGATACTGCGACGGCTTTCTCATGGTCAAACAAAACCATCATTTACCACTCGTCTCACTATAAGCTTTAGGGTAATGATCACACAAAAGCCAGCACTAATCGTGAAAGTCGGAGTTTGAGGCAACGCCAAAGGCCTTCAGGAGTGACGCTCATGTTACTCATTTACATCGTGCGGAGCGGTCAGCCTCAGAACATGGCGTTGACGTCGTTTCTGGAACAGTCTGTGAACGCAACCCTGATGTTCTGAAACGCTTAGCAGAGCCTCAAGAAAGTGCAGTGTAAGTGTGTACATACATAGTATAACCCTTCAAACGTTAGCGTATGGATCTAGATTTCGATGCTACAATATAGAGTATCCCTACAAAAGATAGGCCAATAGTATTATAGAAATATACGGGTCTTCCTACTAAGGCTACACGCTTAATGCTTATCCTTAGACCCTTGTCCATTCTTCGTTTGGCTTCGTATCGGAAATGCTCATAGTTCATCCCTGATTATTTACATTGACTATGTTCTAAAGCTATCTATCACGAGACCGAAAGGTCAGTAAAGAAGACGATGGAACCCAGAACATCAGGAGCCTTGCAGCTTGCTGCAAGGCCTAAATATATACATGTCTGAGATACCTGACTCAGGGACTGAGTCATGTAGATGTCTGGCGGAGCCAGACGACGACGTGACTCCTGATCGTGACACTATCCCACCTCATAGATGAAAACAAAACTACGTCAGTCGGACTAACGAGCCCGAGGATGCCAATCTAAAATATGTTCATAATATCAATATGTCAATACATGATTTATCTGATTCTTTCAAATTTATGAGATAGATTCGGCGTATAATTTTGCTAAATGTGAGGATAGTATCGACGGCGTGACGATGTTCGATTAGTACCAGATGATGCGTTTACATCCTTAGCTATGGTCCACACAGACTTCATCAAGTTGCCAATTGTGTCTAGTTTATGAGGCGCATATGATATCATTATAATTAGTAGATGATGCGAATAACGAACGAAATGACGTCTCTTTCAAACCTTCACTTCAGTAATCCGCTCGACTGATTTGTATTTGAAGCGCTCGAATCTCTCGATAGTAAGTGTCTGGAAGAATTTTCCTTCAACTTCATCATTCAAGTAACTTATTCGCCACCGGTCCAAGCCTTAACTCGATATTTTCAATATGGCGCCCAGGTACAAGAAAGGCCTAACGGTCAAATACAAGCCTGTCGGAGGTGAGTAGGCTCTTATAGTGTTACTTAGTAACGACTTATTGATCTTGAGAAGGACCTGATTCGCACACTCCGGAGAGCGTTGGAAGAATTGTCGGTGTCCTTACCGAACCAGGTATACAGGCGGATAGGAACGTTCAGGCCAGCCCTGATAATCCTCGATACGAGGTGAGTTCTCCCCCAAGAGCCATAGGTCATGGTAATAACATGCTGACAACTAATGTGTGAGATCATCAACGAAAATACCGGGAAGGCATCCACAATTTACGAGAGCAACATTCTCGGCTTGGCCTAGTAAAGGAGTCGTAACCAAGTTGCCGGTATATGTAAAAACACCGTTTTTCACAATGTCTCGAGGGTACATGTCAGCGGCGGTCCGTACACTGCAATAGGACGGTTAACTTCTGATGGAATGGTCCGAGATTCTTGATGGTCAAATAAACTGGCTTATTGTAATATATTTAGTTCGACGACTGCAATTAAGTTACGCGTAACCACGACACATTTGAATTAGGTATGTTATTGTCTTACAACCTTGTATCGATGGCTCGAAAATCATTGCTGCCTAAACCAATTTCGCCTGTTCGCCGTATCTCCCCTATTGAAGGTTGTTAGAAACAGACGCAATTATAGGTTAGGTTTGGGGCAGCCATAGGAGTTTTGAATATTTGAAGGTGTGGAATTTATAATTCGTAATTTACAATTTATCGTGAATATATTTATCGTGAATATAATACGTGGTAAATAACGTCGAGTGAAGTATCTGCAAGTTTTATGTAATAGCGTGAATGAATGGCTGACCTAAATTCCAGAGGTACTGTACTGTGAAATAATCCCGACTTGGCGTTTGCCCTCAGCCACGCCTGCCACGTTACTCAGCCCCATTCAATTACGTCGCAGGGTTCTTCGTAGTACAGATGTACGGTACCTATTGGCGCTAAACGGTGGAATAATGGTGCCTTCTTCAAGGCACCCGAACACTGGAAACACTGGAAATACAAAGTCCATCTTCACACATGTAAATCCAAACCTGCGCTCGCGCACAATTCTACCGCACACTTGATCCTCACGGTCGCTACTCACTCGGGACGACTCTAGAAACCATATTGCAAACCAAGCAAACCAAGCAAACTCCGACGCTACAATAATACCCCCTTTTATCTTGATCGAAGCCCCTGTCTTACCAAATACGACCCTAGCGATACGGATATCGTCCATGCGAGCCCAATATGGTGAGATATATTTATATTTACATACGCTTGACCGGGGCAACGCTTTTATACTAACCGCCGCGTACTACAACTATAGGGTATAAGTAGACGACCGAAGGACAAATCAGGCGGAGCGTCCCGCGCTGGTGGCGCAAGAGCGCAAGATGGCGGTGCCAAACCTAAGAAGGCTACTTTCGAAACGACCAAGAAGAAAGAGATAGGGGTTTCTGATCTGACCCTACTTAGCAAAGTGTCGAACGAAGCAATAAACGAAAACCTAAAGAAGCGATTCGAAGGCCGCGAGATTTATACCTATATTGGCCATGTGTTGGTTTCCGTTAACCCCTTTAGGGACCTCGGTATCTACACCGATCAGGTCCTCGAATCGTACAAAGGCAAGAACCGTTTGGAGATGCCGCCGCACGTCTTTGCGATCGCCGAATCGTCATACTATAACATGAAGGCCTACCACGAGAACCAATGTGTTATTATTTCTGGAGAGTCAGGAGCTGGTAAGACTGAAGCTGCCAAACGGATCATGCAGTACATCGCAAACGTGTCTGGCGGTGATAGCGGCGAGATTAAACAGATAAAGGACATGGTGCTAGCAACGAACCCGCTGCTCGAGTCTTTCGGAAATGCGAAGACATTAAGAAATAACAATTCCTCCCGGTTCGGAAAGTACCTGCAAATACACTTCAACGCCAACGGAGAACCTGTGGGCGCTGACATCACAAATTATCTGCTCGAAAAATCACGAGTGGTGGGCCAAATTACCAACGAGCGAAACTTCCACATATTCTACCAATTCTCCAAGGGAGCTTCTGAAAACTACCGGACTATGTTCGGTATTCAAAAGCCGGAAACGTATACTTACCTTAGCCGGTCGAAATGCTTCGATGTCGACGGCATAGACGATCTGGCCGACTTCAAGGACACGTTGGACGCCATGAAGATTATCGGCCTTTCTCAGGCTGAGCAGGACGAAGTGTTCCGCATGTTAGCCGCCATTCTCTGGACTGGAAACATCCATTTCATCGAAGGCGATGACATGAATGCTGCTGTGGCTGATCAGTCCGTCGTAGATTTCCTCGCGTACTTGCTTGAGGTCTCGCCCGCCGCACTAATCAAAGGCATAACGATACGAGTCTTGACGCCAAGGAGTGGCGAGGTAATCGAGTCCCCAGCGAACGCAGCCCAAGCAAATGCTACCAGAGATGCACTTGCCATGGCTATCTATTACAACCTCTTCGATTGGATTGTTGGGAGAATAAACCAGTCACTACAAGCTCGACAACAGACAACGAACAATATTGGAATTCTCGATATTTATGGCTTTGAAATCTTCGAGAAGAACAGCTTTGAACAGCTCTGCATCAACTACGTGAACGAGAAGCTACAGCAGATTTTTATCCAACTTACTCTTAAGGCCGAACAAGAAGAATACGCACGGGAACAGATCCAATGGACACCCATCAAGTATTTTGATAATAAGGTCGTATGCGATCTCATTGAGCAGATCAGGCCTTCCGGTATTTTCGCCGTTTTAAAAGACGCCACTAAGACAGCCCACGCCGATCCCGCTGCGTGTGATCGTACCTTCATGCAGAGCATTAACGGAATGTCTAACGCCCACCTTACTCCTCGCTCGGGAAGCTTCATTATCAAGCATTACGCCGGCGAGGTTAGTTATACCGTCGAAGGAATAACCGATAAAAACAAGGACCAGCTCCTCAAGGGTGTCCAAAATCTGTTTCAGCAGAGCTCGAACCAATTTATCCATACGTTATTCCCTCATTCAGTAGACCAAGATAACCGCAAGCAACCCCCAACCGCTGGTGACAGAATAAGAACTTCGGCCAATGCTCTCGTAGAGACTTTAATGAAGTGTCAGCCCTCGTATATCCGGACAATTAAACCGAACGAAAACAAATCGCCAACAGAATACAATGTACCAAACGTCCTACATCAAATCAAGTATCTAGGTCTACAAGAGAACGTTAGGATTCGACGTGCGGGTTTTGCCTACCGTCAATCATTCGAGAAGTTTGTCGAGCGTTTCTTCCTACTGTCTCCTGCTACGTCCTACGCGGGCGAGTATACTTGGCAAGGAACCGAAGAGGCCGCGGTGAAGCAAATCTTAAAGGATACGAGTATTCCGAAGGAAGAATGGCAACTAGGTGTTACCAAGGCCTTTATTAAGTCTCCGGAGACGTTGTTTGCTCTAGAAACCATGCGAGACCGATACTGGCATAACATGGCAACCCGCATTCAAAGAATGTGGAGGGCATATCTGGCTTACCGCGCAGAGTCGGCCACCCGAATCCAACGATTCTGGCGGAAGAAGAGAGTCGGTGCCGAATATCTACAACTTCGAGACCAAGGCCACAAGGTTTTGCAAGGACGTAAGGAACGGAGACGTTTCAGTCTGCTGGGTTCTCGACGTTTCTTGGGAGATTATTTGGGAACCAACGCGTCAACCGGGCCAGGGTCCCATATACGAAGCGCTATAGAACTATCGAGCAACGAGAGGACCATCTTTTCGTGCCGTGGAGAGGTTCTGGAGGCCAAATTCGGACGATCGAGTAAACCCAGCCCTCGCATTCTCATCGTGACTAATAGCAAGTTTTACATTGTGGCGCAGTCGTTGGTCAATCATCAAGTCCAAATAGTTGTTGAACGTCAAATTCCTTTAGGGACTATTAAGTTCATCGGAGCTTCATCATCTCGCGACGACTGGTTCTCGTTGGGGGTTGGGTCACCTCAAGAAGCCGATCCGTTATTAAACTGCGTTCTAAAAACAGAGCTATTCACGCAATTGCAACGGGCGATGCCTGGCGGTTTCAACTTAAAGATCGGCGAATCGATAGAATATGCCAAGAAGCCAGGAAAGATGCAAATCGTAAAGGTACTAAAAGACTCGCAACAGGCCGTCGATTTCTACAAGAGTGGGGCAGTCCATACACAACCCGGGGAGCCTCCATCGTCAGTATCCAAGCCGACGCCGAAAGGCAAACCCGTGCCGCCCCGTCCGATTACTCGGGGCAAGCTTATTAAACCAGGTGGTCCCGGCGGCAGACCTTCTCGAGTCACCAACTCCCGTCCTAGTACTACCAAGCGTGGTCCGGCGGCGGTCCAGACTCCACGACCAGTCCCAGTTCCAACTCCTGCTGCCTCCGTCACAAGCAGCATTCCAAACCATACTCGTAACCAAAACTCGACATCGTCTGTGCGCGCGCCACCTCCGCCACCACCTCCGCCCGCCGCTCCCCCAGCAGCGAAGGGCAAGATGACCGCCAAAGTTCTGTACGACTTTGCTGGTCATAAAGAGAACGAACTCTCGATAAAGGCCGGCGAAATCATCGAGATCGTCCAAAAGGAGAACAATGGTATGTAGTTAATTCATATAGATGAAGTACTTATTCAAGCTGGGAAAGCCTACTGACATACTTTAGGCTGGTGGTTAGCAAAGAACGCCCAAGGACAGGCGTGGGTACCTGCAGCATATGTCGAGGAACAAGCAGCAGCTCCTCCACCGGCACCAGCTCTAGCCCCGCGGGCACCGCCGCCGCCTCCAAGCCAGAACGGAACAGCAACGGCAGCACGGAATAAACCTACGCCTCCACAGCCTCCAGCGAAGCGACCTACTGCCGGAAAGAAGCCCGCACCACCTCCACAACCCCGGGACTCGGGCATGAGTCTAAACGCCAACGGCGGCTCGGACAACAGTCGCAGTAGCACGCCGACACCCAGCGTCAAGGGCTCCCTAGCTGATGCCTTACTGGCGAGGAAGAATGCCATGCAGACTAAGAAAGATGACGATGACGATTGGTGAAGCAAAGCATCAGAGTAGAGCTGCGTTTTGGTGCAGGCGTTGGCTTTGAAACATTTAGTCTATACATACCTAAGAATAGACGCACACCAGAATTATAGCGAGACGGGACGGGACGAGACGAGACGGCCTTCCTGCGAGGCTACGGAATTAACAGACCTTAAGTCTCCAACAAGGCGAGAAGCGAAAGCAGGGCAGGGCAGGGCAAGTTAGATATCAAATGGATTCTACCATCACAACGAAGCGTGTAGGGTATTGTACGGAGCGAGCACGATATGACACGACAGACAGCCTTGCATAGTACCTAGAACAATAACGTGCTTAGAAAGACGGTATATAAAGAGAAGAGAAGAGCAGAACTTTGAAAGAGTCGGCGAATTATATTTATTGACATGTATTTATTTTATCTTTATTATCCTATTTGTGACATAACCCAATAGTAATAATCGTAAATTACCTAGGTGCCTACCCAAGACATACATACATCATCATCAATCATTACGTCTCTTCATCATGTTTTTTTGTGTGTACTTTCCTCCTGCGCAGCAATTCCGCGAGAGGCACGTCCTCGTCTTCTACGGGGATTAATTCCTCCCGTAGTAGTCGCCGCGGCTGTTCCTCCACCACCGCCGGCTGCTCGTCGAACTCGGCGTCCTCGTCCACGCCGTAGTCGCCCAGGTGCTCGCCATCGGCGTTCACCCAGCCGGACTTGCCCTCGTCCAGTATAACCGCGGCGGCAGCAGCAGCGCGTCGTCCCGGGCCTAATCTGCGATCGTACGCCTCGTCGACGAAATCGTAATCGCGGTCGTTATTGTTATTGTCGTCGTAGCACTCCGGGGGCATCTCCATCTCCTCCAACTCCCCTAGGATCCGCGACCGCGACGCTTCCCACCGCCGCAAATCCCGCTCCTGCCGTCGCCGAAACGCTTCCCGCTCGTCGGCGGGGTCGGCGTTGTTGTCGTCGAAGCGCGCCCTTTCCAGAGCGCGGTCGGCTTCGCGCTTGCGTGCGCGCCAGGCCTTCGCGTGGCGGATCTTGTCGGGGTCGGGGGGCGGCCACATGCCCTCGCGGTCGTTGAGGCCGTTTTCCTCGTAGGACCAGCCCGTGCCGCTCATTATTGTTGTTATATCGCTGCTGCCGCTCTCGTCTTTTTTGAGGAGGGGTGCGATTCTTGGCTCGCCGGCGAAGGGGAGGAACCATAGTAGGGGGTCGCGGGTGCCCATGGCGGCGGCCATGTTGGCGAAGATGCCGATGTCGTAGGGGAACTCGATGGGATCGAGGGCTTGGCGATCGCCGCCGGGGGCGTGTTCGCCTGAGCCCCACCACGACGAGTACGTGTCGTTGTCGGAGGAGGATTCGTAGCGGCGCTCGAGGGCGGATTCGTGGCGTTCGATTTCCCAGGTTTCGATCATGGTGGTGTTGAAGAGCCAGCCTTTGAGGGTGGTAATTAGTAGGATGCCTAGGGCTAGGCTTGTCACGCCTGCGGCGAAGGTAAGGACGGTAAGGAGGGCGAGTTGCGATAGCGTGGGCCCGAGATATGCGGGGAGGTGACGGGTTTCCCAGAGGGCGAAGAAGCGGCGGAAGAGGAAAGCGAGGAGGGTCCAGAGGGAGAGGTTGGTGTATACGAGGAAGCGTAGAAAGTGCGGGAAGGTCTGCAGGGAGACGCAGTTGGAGGTCCAGGGACAGTGGTGGTCCATCTTGGGGATACAGCGGCGACACGTCTTGCAGTGATGCGCGCGAGGCGGCTTGGGCGCTGCACACTTCTTACACCAGCGCTGTATCTGTTGGGGATCCAGATGCAACTCTCCCTCGCCCGAGTCGTTGGTATTCCTCCTCTGGTTGTTGTTCTTCTTCTTGATATAATCCGGCGGGAAGACATATCGGCCCGGGTCGACGGTGCAAGCCTTATAGTACGTGTACCAAAGACACAATACCAGGCCGTTGAAAGTGTACATCTCGGCGGTCGTCAGCGGGCCCGGGGCGAGATCGGGTGCGTTAGCGAACAGCCATTGCGACGTGTAGGCTAGGAAAGCAATTAGGAGGCAGACGGCGGGGACGGCGAGGCGCTGGAGTACTGGCTGCGTGCTGCCGACGAGGAAGGCCATATTGCGATATTAGGCCATCCAAGTACATAGAAGTCTGATCCAAAAATAGGTTATGTGCCGGGGATTGCTAAGCAGTAAAAGGAATATCGTGACAGGTCAAGTTACATGGTGTGTTGTAGATGCCAAGATGACGCGGTGCCCGTGGCTTCGGGGGCGACGTCACTTATGCAGGTACAGGCAGGGATCATTGCTTTGTTACGTAAACAAATACGGATCCGTACATATAGGCTTAAGATGATGGTGTGGCCGTATGGCTTTGTTACATATTTAGGTAGCAAAGCGATATACCGTTTATGTCAGATATTGAATGAGCCTTCTCTTTTATTACTACCAACCATGGAATTCAGTGGCCGCTCTAGAAACAGTATGTATTAGGTAGGTAACAACTGGGGGCGCTGAGGAATAATCTTCAGATAACCAGTAGCCACATAATCCATCTCAAAGTGCTATTGAATTTCTCTCCTTATCCCCTTTTCAGGCAATGCTGGCTGTCCACACCTAACTCATGATATGTACTTCCTCAACCATACGAACAACGCCCTCTTTTACTCGGTTATCGCCTCCCCATCTCTGCCTTCCGCTTAATACGTTCATCATCAATACCCACGAACTCGAATATTTCGGGAACAGAAGCAGGAAGAGGCTTGGGCTCAGATATCGTGATGATGTCCCGGCTAACCAACATCCGAATATAATCCTCTCCGACGAATTGGATGTTGACTTTAAGCCCTCCCTCCCACTCGTCAGACCAGTATCTCTTCAAACTTGGGTATTCTGGAACGTGGGACATTGAAAAATCAATCCGGAAGTCGCAGTTTACATAGGCGTACCCTGTAATCGTCGATTCTGTCTGAGCAGATGGAGCTTCTGCTTGTTTCGAGGTCGACTCGCTGTCGGATGTAAATATTTTTTTGTAGAGCGTAAGACTTGTCCAGCAGTGCTCTTGCTCGTGGATGCGACAAAAATTCTCCCAGTAATCTATAGAGTAGAATTGGAATTTTTTGTATGTGAAGGAGTAGCCAGAGTCGGTCCCTTTTGCTGGGATTGTATATAAAGTAGGATTGAAGATGATAGGGTGAGTTTTCTTCTCCTTCTTCTCCTTCTTCTCCTTCTTCTCCTTCTTCTCCTTCTTCTCCTTCTTCTCCTTCTTTTCCTCCTCTCCTCCTTAAGACCTTCGTAGACTGCTCGGACGCTCTCAACGTTGTGTCGGTGGCGATCTAGCTCATTTTGGGTTTGTATTTCCCAAAGCTCGTTCTCTTCTTTTAACGTAATCTTGTGGCATTCACGCCGTTCCTTGAGCTGGTAGTACTCGCGAGCGTCAAGCCCATCGTACGACCTTTCCGAGACACCGCATGGCTCTGAATAACACTCGCATTCAACTTCGGGATCTTCCGCTGCCTTGCAGTGACACTCAAAGTCATCCTCATCCTCACTTTCCTCCTCCTCAAGTTCTGATAGATCCTCATCAAAAATATTCCATGGCAAGTCGGGGTATCCATCTTCGTCATCCCATTGGGAGCTCCTGATACGACGATACCATGCTGGTAAATCGGCAAGTGTCTTGGTACCCTTTTTAGCCTTCTCCATCTTGAATTTGGGTCGTTTGTTTTTGAAATTTTTGCGTCTGCTCTTGTGCAAAAGATGATTAAAGGGTTGTAAACTATCCTTATATTAAAATTGTGGGTTTCTGGCCAGTTGTTCGTGTGATGGCTCTCGCTATGGTTTTCTAGTGGCGTTGCTATGAGTATTCTGAGGCAACCCTTTCAACCTAAGAACCATGTACCAAGGTACTTAAAGTACATTAAATGTAAATTGTTCGCACAATACAAATAGATACTGTTGAGGTAGTCAATGTAGGTTCCCCTAAAGCTTCGAAAAAGGTTCGCTCTTAATTAGCCCCTGACATATCCCCTAATGCTTAACCAATAAAATATTAAGTATAACACGCCTTGTTACGAATCTATATAACCTCACAAACCTTAATATCTATGTTGGAAGGATATAGTTCGTGGCCAACAGCATAGTTGAAACGATGTTAACACTCAGACACCATGAGCAACCTCTTCAAGCCAAAGCCAAACCAAATACAAATCCTCATAGCGCAGCAGTTCCCCAGAGATATTTATACATGCCCCCTCTCCCCCTCCCCTTCATCATCAACCTGCCCGTCATTTCATATACAACAAATCCAATCTCACAACCAAACATCACCACGCCACTTAATCTCAAGCCAAGGCTCCAAGCAAGCAAGCAAGCAAGCAAGCACACACACAAAATGCAACTCAAGCTCCTCGCCCTCCTCGGGGCCCTAGCCCTAGCCCCCATCGCCAGCGCACAGAACAACACCATCGTAGTCATCGACAACCTCGTCGAAATCATCAACATCTTCCCCAAATGCTCGCTGCAATGCCTCTCCGACGTCATCGACCTCAACCGGTGCCGCGTGGCCGATTTAGAATGCATCTGCCACTGGGACCTCCACATAACAGATAACTTGTCGTCCTGCATGACTAGGGGGCCGTGCAAAGGAACCCATAATGGTAAGTACCTAATCTATCTATCTTCCCCTCCCCCCTCGCGGATGCTTGTCTGTAGTTTGTTGGTTAGTCGGTTAGTCGTGCGCGGTACTAACGAGTGAATGAATAGACGTTAGAGCCCGCGTGTGGGATTTCTGCCATAGATTTGATGAGAACCCCCCTGCCGAGGAGGTGGAGGCTGCCCGGAAATTGATGAGGGAACGAATTAAGGATCAGTCAGACTATCTCGATCATTACGGAGGCGGGAGTGGAACTGCAGCAGGGCCTGGTACAACTGTAGTGGGCGCTGTGGTGGCGGCAGCGGCAGCGTTGATCATTTAGATAGGCTATTGCAATCTTTGGTATACCTACCTGTCACAGACATAACAGAGTTTATGGTATATCTATGGTTGGGTAATGGCTCGGAAGGCTGCTCACAGACGTCAGACGTTAGATCGAGCTATGGCATTTATGGGTTATCGTATCCGGGCTGGAAGATACCCTAGCCAAGCTTAGATATAGTGAAATTCATTGCTTCGAATGCAATAGCACACTAAGACGCCTAGGGGGCTAGCTGTCGTACCTGTACCATATTATAGCAAAATGAAATACGTGCTTCACTACCGACCTTGAGAATAATTTTTAAAATTTTAGTGAATCGGGACCACACTGCCTCTGCTTCCACCCAAAAGGTGGATAGTCTGACCGTACCCAAAGGGAAGTTTCATTAGTTATCTCAATTATCAAGAGTCTGTTTTAAATAGCAGACGGCTTGCAACTATAGCTTTAGCAAGTAGAGAATTCCCAATGAGCCAATGTCAAGCGTAGACGTCGACAACATCTATGTCAAACGACTGCATGATATGTTAGCGAGAATAGGTTAGTTAAAGGAGAGCAAAGATATATCTATACCTATACCGAAGGTTTTCTCATGCCGACATGTCTTTTTATTCTGGTGACATGTCGGCTAAGACCAGCGTGGGCGACCGGATGCCCGATACTATCCGGATGCTTTCCCTCCTAATGTACCTAGTAATCAAGTATCGTCCAAGTACTCATATTGGTTCTCTCATCATTCTGCTGCTGCTGCATCATCCTTGTGTCCTTCCGGGCTACGACTTCGGCTCCGTCCCCTGCCGCGGTGAGACTGTCGCGGGCCCCTATTATTAGCCTTGCCCGGAGGTGGTCTCACGAAAGCAAAGTCAACGTTGATAACCTGGTCTAGTAGCCTCGTCTGGTGTGCGCCATCGATAGCCGCACGCGCCTCGTCGAGGGTAGCGTACTCGATGAGAGCGTAACCCTATTTCCAATAGAAAAATTAGAATTCGTCTATCGCTAAATACAACGTGTTATGTAGAATAAGTCGGGGATTTGTTGACTTACCTTGACGTAACCGCTACGACGATCTAAATTTAGGTGTAGGTTCTTGATCTCCCCAAAATCGGCAAATTTATCGTGCAGTGTCTCCTCGTCGGCTTCTTCGTGTACATTGGTAACCATTATGATCCAGCCCTCGATCGATCGCACGGCCGTGGCTTTGGTGTGCGTTTGCATGTCGCTAACCTTAGCTTGAGTAGCTTGGGGGGAGCCAGGCTCATCGATTTCCATTTCGACGTCGGCCATGATGATGATAAATAAACGTGAAACTTTTCGTTAGGATTAGATATTTCGGTGGTATTCGCCGTGAGCTCGAGTAATATTGCCGCTTTGTTTTGTTTTGTTGTCTTGCATGCAATACACTTTACACTTCAGCCTCAAGAGTTTGCGACGTGAACCTCGAGAAGTTGGTGGGTGGGACAAAGTATGGAGAGGATTAAAGAATTAAAGAATTAGAATTTGATTGGTCGAAGCTATTAGTGATTAATGACGGTCTACGAGTTAGGCGGGGACGTGTCACCTACGGATTAGGTACCGGCACTACATAATATATGTACCTATGTACCTATGTACCTATGTACCTCTGTCTCCTCCCTTCCATTCTATCCCCTGAATAACAACATTTTGCATCAAGGTATGATAATGTATCATGTATAATGTATAATGCACAACTATGAACAATCACGCCCTTTTCATGATGTAGGCTTAGGTATTATTCCGTATAATAAACTTAGACACACATATACTTTACCTCAACCAACCAACCAGAAAATACTTGTCTATATTTGCCGGTCCAACATCGCGAAATCAATTACTCTATTCATCAAATCCCACCCTCAAGATAAACTCAAAACCCAATGGGGAACCGCGATGTCGGAGACTAACTTTGACATTATTGGCTCCTTGCGCTGATCTACGGCATCATCCCCGGAGACATATAGGGCGCAATACCTTGATTGTCCAACCGGAATCCTTGTACTCACCCCAGAGGTATCCATTATGACCTAGGGTTCCCTTTGTTGATGTACGAAGTATATATAGTTAGAGCTTGATATTAGGTAGGTAGGTAGGTAGGTATAAAGAAGGTAGGTATAAGTGAAGCTTAGATGCCGCCTCATAGATAGCAATCTGCCAACTACATATTATTTCTATATGTACCTAACCTACCCATAATCTAGGCTACATGACATGACTCCCTAAACAATGACTGCGCAAGAAACTCAGCTACAGGACCTCCCGGTATCCGAGGTAGGCCACCTTTCCACCCCCAGGACAGAAGAAGATGGCAGTAGACCGGCAGAACCTCTCCCACTCCCAATCCAGATCTCACCGTCCGTCCAGCCGGCTGACCGCGGCAAGGCCGCCTACCTCGTCCTGTCCGGTTGCGTGCTAGTCCAGGCGCCTATATGGGGGTACTCGCTCGCCTTCGGCATCTTCCAGGAGTACTACAGCACCCACGGGGCCGCCGTGCTCCCCGACGGTCCCGGCACCCCCGGCACAATCGCCAGCATCGGCAACGCCCAGACGGGCATCTTGTACCTAATGATGCCAGCGACCTTCATCCTTCTAACACGGTACCCGTATCTGCGGCGCTGGTGCGGACCCCTCGGCCTCCTCATCACCACCGCCTGCCTTGTCGCGTCGTCCTTCGCAACCTCGGCGCGCCAACTCATAGCCACCCAGGGGGTCTTGCATGCCATCGGATGCGGCCTGCTGTTCAGCCGTACGTCGCTGTGTCTCGACGAGTGGTTCTCGGAGCGCAAGGGGCTTGCGTACGGCGCCATGTGGGCGAGCAAGAGCACCGTCGGGGCTGGCATGCCGTTTCTAACCAACGCGTTGCTGAATCGGTTCGGCGTCGGTACTACCCTGCGTGCCTATGCCGTCTCCTCGGCTCTTCTCACGATCCCGCCCTTATTTCTCATGCGCGAGTACCCTGTCGCAAGTAGCCGTGTCAATACCACCACTACATCAGAAGAGTACGGGCGACAAGGGCGCCAAAGGCAAGGTCACGTCTCCTTCGCTTTTGCCCGACACTCTATCTTCTGGATCCTGCAGTGCGGCAACATCCTACAGTCGCTCGGCTACCTCATGCCCTCTACGTACCTTGCCTCGTACGCATACGCGCTGGGCTTCCCCTCCATAACAGGCCCCATCTTCCTTGCGCTAATCTCTTTGGCCTCCGTACCGGGTTCGCTCCTAATCGGGCTTCTGAACGACACCGGACTGGCACCCACAACCGTGATCCTGATCTCGTCTCTCGGCAGCGCACTGGCCGTCTTCCTTCTCTGGGGCCTGGGCGGACACCAAGTTGCCGTCTTAGTTGTCTTCACCATCATGTACGGTTTCTTCGCCGGTGGCTTCAGTTCCACCTGGTCCGGTATCCTGCAAGAAATGAAGCGCCGCGATGGTGCCATCGACACGGGTTTGATTTTTGGTATGTTGCTTGGCGGCCGGGGTCTCGGTTTCGTGCTTAGTGGTCCCATAGGCGGAGCTTTGCTCGAGGCAAACCGGTTAAAGACCGAGGATTTCTCGGGGTACGCTACGCAATATGGTCCTATGATCATCTATACTGGGTTAACCGCAACCCTCGGTGCTTGGGGCTGGTTCTGGACGATGGGGAAACGAGCGATGAGAGCCCTATAATAAGCTCGATAAATCATACTTGGATACCTGTCATCTAGATTTATACCTGCAAAAGACGACCGGTCATACGTAGTTACAATATATGTCACCAAGAATAGTCACTGCTTGTCAATAGGAAAGTTTCATAATTTATTCCATTATGCAATGTAGCGGCGCCCTTCCGTGGATGCGCGTGACCTAGGTATCGCCTTTACAATAGGTAGGCTCCTAATGATACAATGAACGCATTTAATGCAGACTCCTTTTTGTAACCCTAACAATGCGTGAGCCTCGTAACTCGACCAAACCACAAAACTCCAACGACCGATGACCCAGGACTTCCAAGTCCTGCCAATAATCCACCATCTCAGTGGCTTAACCAAGACAAATCCGAATGCTCGCCACGCCTCCTTCAGATACCAAGGACGCCGTTCCATGAATGATCCTTGCTCATCGCACCGTATATGGTGTAATCGACGAACTCTTGCGTCATCTCCTGGCCGCTGGCCTTCTGCCCTTCAAGGGCATCGTAGAGATAGTAAATCTGATCTCTCTTCAGGTCTCTTACTTTTCTTATCTTGTCGATCTCAAACCCCAATCGCTTCCACGTCTTACGGTTGACCGACGGGTCGCATTTATCGAATTCTACAGCTCTCTTCTGGAAAGCTTCTTTGAGATGTTGTTCCTCATCCTCCAAAGACCTTATAACCTTGGCTAAGGCCATTGCGGGGTCTTGCGATGGGCGCATTGTACACTGATCTTCGCACTCTTGCTTCTCTGCAACTCGGTCCGTGACGGGAATCGGCTTCTTCGCACGGATAGGCCTCTGACCGGAACCGCGAGAATTAATTCGCGAACAGACAATGCAGTTACCGCAGTCATGATCGCGACAGAGATTATCGAGAACACGCTTGGCGTCCTTGGAAAGCTCGTTCTTGGTAGTATTCGTATTCTGCTTCTCGGCCTTCCTCTGTCCGAGGGTGATATCATCAATAAATAAAGCCGAGGTCATATTTTCTTCATGATCTGTATCGATATCGATATCGAATCGTGCGCTGTCGGAGTTGCGACGATGGAACTTATCCATCTCCGAAATCTGGCTGGGAATGCTCATACCCGACTTAACACTGAACCGTCCTGTAAGGTCTGGTTCTGGTACCGATCGGGATTTCATTAAGTCATCCTGCATGGCTGGTTGGCCAAACGAGACTTTTCGAGGGTTGGTGTCGTCCGACTTCGACTTCCGCACTCCAGTGGCCGAGTCGGTTGTCTTATTTCGCTTATGCGTATCTTCAAATCCTATTTCAGTTGCGGTGCGATTTGACTTTTGTTTCTGAGAATTCAAACGAGAAGCTTGCGACTCCTTTAGAATTCCAACAGGCTGGGATTTGCCTGTCTCTGCCCGTGCCTTAGACGTTCCAGAAACAACCTTTTGTGAGCTTATAGATCGGGGTCGACTATTGGGCACAAAGAGCCGCGGAAGACTTGGGCTGGCCGGCTCACTTATATCGTCATCAAAAAACGATTCGTTGTCGCTCGAGTCCTCTGGTTGAGTGTCGTTTCGAACTTGACGGAGAGCATCTCGTAGTTTAGGCATTTCACCTTGTGTGAAAATGCTCGCAAAATCGGACCCTTGCGTGAGGTCGATCTGTTGTGTGTAGTCATCCTGCATGGGTATGTCGGTTTGAGACGTGGCGCTTCTAGCTGTGGTCTCACTGACGGCCGTCTTACCCTTTGATTCATCGATGTGTGTTGTCTTCGCATGCTGCTTCTTGCTTACAGTACTCATAAAGTCCTTGATTTCTTGAGTAATCTGACGAGCCTCGTTGATAGCGTCTGTTCTCCGATCGAGTTCAGACTGAAGCCTGGCCTCTTGAATGGCACTCTTCTTCAGCTTGTTTGCCAGAGCTGACTCTTTGTCGGCAATGAGCTCCAACTGCTGCGTCAAGGCTGTGTGCTGCTCCTCATACATGGCAACTTCCTCTTTGCTTTCCTTCACAATTTGTTCAAATCGTTCGCCAATTTGATTCAGTTGTTCCTTATAACGCGCGTTTGCGCGACCAAGTCGTCGCTTCTCTTGCTCAAGGGCCACCCGTTTGGATGCAAAATCGGCTTCTAGATCAATAATTTGTTGTTGAAGCTCGGCATTCTCCTTAGAAAGCTCGCGGTTCTGCACCTCGAGACGGTGCTTAATATCCTTGAAGTCGACAGACACTTCACCGGTCTCTGCATTGGTGGCATCGAGCAGCTTCCGCAACCGAGCGACATTATCTTGTAGCTCGTTTGTTCGTCGTTCAAGTAAAGAGTTCTGCTGCTTGAGGACCTTATTATCGTTGAAGAATTCGTCATTGTGACGCTCGAGGCTGAGATTGTCTTGCTTGAGCGCATCTCTCTCCTCTGAAAGCAGCTGGTGCTCGCGCCTGAGTGCCTCTAACTCTGCCTTCGTACCCTTGAGTTCTTGCTCTAGTAACCCGGTTTGTTGGGATATATCCTCATTGTGTTCCCGGAGCGATTGGTTCTCTTCTAGCAAAGATTTCCACTTTTGTCGGATTGAACTGTTATCCTTGCGCAAGGATCTATTCTCCACTTCAAGTGTATTGCCGTCTTGAGAATTATCGTCACGCGACGATTTGAGTTGCCGACGAGCCATGCTGAGTTCGGACTGAAGCTGCTTAATTTTTTCCAAGTACTCGGTCGAGGTCTTGAGAGCTTCATCGCGCTCAGCGACGTACGATTCAGTATGGATTTCGTTGATACTGATCTTGCGGTTTGCCTTATCCAGGCGGGCCTGCAAAGAGCTGACCTGCTCTTCCAATTCTA